AATCAAGTCATTTGTTTTAAAACGTAGTAGATTATTTTTGAATTGTTTATGTTCGAAACTTTATAAAATTAAAGTTCAAACTTATACAAAGGTCAAATGACCGGAATCTTATAATTTTTGAAATTTATTTTTCAGTTTTTACAAGTTCGTGCAAGAAGCGACAATATCTCTTTATAATTATCTGTGTACACCATATAAAATATTCACAATTTGTGCTATGTGTATGTTATGACGTAAAGAAGAACATAATTCTGGGATAAAATTTAACGAAACACATTTCACATTTCCTATTAAGTGTTCAATTGATTGTTTTTTTTTTTCCGACTTCCTTTCGCCAAACAGAGTCACAATAGAAGTTTTTTTTATTTCGTTTGCATTGCTAATGCATTTGTTTTTGTATTCATGAGTGGAATATGTTTTCACCAGTGAGCAAATATCAATGAATCGTTGCATTTCTATGCATGACGCGTGCGGACTTATATACAAATATATCTCAAGAATGTTCCACGGTTGGACAGAAGGGAAAGATTTAAACTAGAATACGAACTTCGGTTTTTCAGTTACAGGTTTCTAAAGTTTCATGACGTGAACAAAGCCCAGGTTTGTCATTGTTGTTAGATCTTTTTGTCCGAATCGCCGAACTCCCAAAGGAATCACAAAGAGAATTCAGCTGTTTTTAAAAGATTTGTGAATCTAAATAAGGACGATTGCGTTAATTGTTTGACAGACAGGCCACGGGGGAAATGATAATATTAAGGCTATAAAGGTGTACGCGCAAGATATTGCCTAAAAAAGCTGACTGACAACAAAGAAGTATACACTCTCAAACAGATCTGATTAAAGCCGCAGCAAGCACGTTTAACTGACGTCCCACAACTAGTAGAGCGGTAAGAAGACATGGAGTCGCAGTTATCGAAGCCTATGGACTTTTCTTGCAGTGTGAAGTATCTTGGAAGTCAGAATGCGATGTACGCGCAAACCGGGACGCTAGAGAACATCGCGCGTCTTTACCAAAAGGGTTGCGCTCTAAACGAGAAGGACACAAACGCAAAACTGACGGTAGGAAGAGACAATGTGACAGTACTGTGTAAAAACACAGAGAAAACGTTCAAGTTACGGAAAATTCTCTTCTGCGCAAGCTATAAGAAGATACCCAAGGTGGTCGCGTTTAACTACCAAGTGTGTTCGTCTCCCAAACGGCTTGAATGCCACGCTTTTCTTTGTGCCTCGAACGAGGATGCAAGATGCGTCGTAGCTGCGCTAACGATGGCATTCAGAATGGCTTATAAAGATCGGAGTTCGGACGGAGTTTATGATGATCAAACTACAATGAACCCCAAGGTTTGGAACGTGGATTCGGCTGAAGAGAAAGAAATGAAAATGAGTTTCGCTTTGCCGAGGAAGATAGGTGAAATCTTCGATTCTCTAACCAATTGTATCACGATATCAAGCTAACCTCAGGCCTAAGAGAAACGTTTAAACGTGAGGAATAATATAATTACGCAAGAGGGATGATCCTTTGAGAAATGTTGCGGTTAGAAGACGTCTGGAACATTGTGCGAGCCGGTTGAGCGTGTAAACCGAACGTTTTTGCACCATAGAAGACTTCTTTGCGCCAAGGAGTGGCTTAAATGCACTAAAGACTCTTTGAAGAAAGCAGTTTGAGCATAGACTTTTTCTGCAAGCGAAGAGACATTCAGTTGTGATTTTGCAATTAATCGAGAACAATTGTTAGCCGTAAGCATAGGCTGCGGTTCATTTCACGTCATGATTTGCAATAACAGTAACTTCGACCTGTTTTGGAAGCGCGATATATGGCGGTAAAACAGACGCGTATCAATATTTGTATCTTAAAATAGTAAACCAACGCATTTTGAGAGTCAAATAAGACATCGGATACTGTGTCTTTGAGAGACCTAAGCAAATAGAGGCTACGTGCTCTGCGAAAGATGGATTGTTAATAATGTAAATTAAAAACTTACGAGCCTTGTAGCGAATTAGGCCAATCGAGAAAGTTCTGTTGGATACGGTCTGTCGGTCGAATGTACCTCCCGCATTAACTTGTGGTCGGTCAAATGTCCTAATTTCGCCCATAGGAATATGAAGTTTTATACAACTGTAACAAAGGATTAAGCTCGGAATGAGCTTTCATGTACTATTTCACAAAAGAGTTCGAGGGTTTTATTTGTAAATAGAGTGTCAACCGCCCTAATGAAAACTGAATTAAATATAAATGTATATAAGATCGATATTTCGCATAATAAAATGGTGTGTGGATGGTGAATAAACTCGTAATTGCTATACTGATCTGTCTATCCTTGGAGTAGTAGGGGAGTCTTCTATACTCGACTAATGGTTAGTGGCGAATGAAGTATTTTGAACATCTCATGATGTCTTGCTAAGTTAGAATTTCAATTTTTTATCTTTTGAAGGAACAAAACTGATGCATAAAGCGCGATCGATATTCTTAAGGTTTAGTTAAAATTTAATCCATATACCACGGTTTAAAAACTATTGCGGCTCAATTTTTTTTATTTTTCTTTATTTCTTTCCTCATATTCCAGCTGGTGATTTTACATGGTTTCAATCTTTCGAACACGTGAACAAACTAACTACAAATAATGACGCTTTATGCCCAGTTCTTCTATTTGGCAAAAACCAAACACACAACGAAGGAGAAACTGATCACTACAACTTTAAAATTCTTCTGCTCAGTACCTTTTTTAGTTTAACTATAACTTTTCCGCAGTCGCCAAAAGCTTTACTAAGAATTGAAGATCATTCCCTGTTCTAGTCCGAATATCGCTTCTAGCCACACCCTCCGTTCCCTTGCCGAGCGTAAACGGTCGACTCCATTCAGGAAAGGCAGGAATCTCAAACTAGACAAGGGTGACGTCACGTTACCATGATAGCACTATTTCTCGATGACAACAAAACCAATGACGACGGCGACGACAAGGAGAATTACAAAAATAATATGTTTACATTAACAAACAACAACTTTGCACGTGCACACGCTATTTTTTACATTTCTTTGCGTTCGTTTCACCACTACGACATGAAACGTCCTAATTTCACGAGCCCGCTTTATGGAGTAGGTGAACACAACACAAAAATTGTCTCTTTCTTCTTCTAAACTTAGATAACGATAGATACGGTCCCAAAGAAAGTTTCGCCAAGATTTCCAAAATTAAATGAAATTGAATAAGATCGGTGAAGTTTGAAATAGTGTGGATAGACTTTTAAGTGACTTATCCAAAAATTTTGCTACCATGGCAACGTGACCTAACGACTTCTCCACTCTATAGCAGATAAGGGGCGCGATCCATTCAACCAAAATTCCAACTGGTCCGACCGGGAAAAGTGGTCCACCTCAAAAGGTGGACCCGTTTTTTCGAAACTTTTCCGGTTGGACCGAACCGATCCATTGAGTTTTGGACCGAAATTTCCGGAAATTTTGGTTGAATGGATCGCGCCCAAGGTAGGGGCCGGGCCAGCCCGGGCCAGGCCCATTTCCCGAAAGCCTCAGTAATTATCGGTCTATCGTGCCTGCAGAGCTGGTCTATTTTTGTAGGAAAAACTGTTTGAATGCAGAGGTCCACGCAACGCGTAAATATAACTGACTGGTTCCTTTTGTCGGATCTCTGATTAAAGCGTGCTGTAGCGAGACGTCACTTAAACTGAATGCAGGGCTACAAAGGGCTAATTTATTATAGACCAATATTTCGGCTAACAAAATTAGCCTTCCTCAGAGCCAGAACTATACCGAACACTCACACTTTTTTAAACATTAATAGAAATAGTTATTTATACTTATAGCTTTTTATTGTTTTTTTTTTTTTCTTTCTTCTTAACAAAGGCGATAACTCGTCTGCGAAGCGGCGCAAAACATGTTTTCTTATCTGGTATTCCTGTGGCACAAAGGCAGAAATTTTCTTGCTATCACGGGCGACTGCCGATTAGCCGCCCCTATTAATTTTACCAGGGGCATCTCGGCCGCAGGAAACTGGACTCTTTTAGACTCGTTTTCTTTTCCTTCAGTCTCGTTTTCGTGCAGATGTCATGCTCGTGATCACGTTCTTCGACCTTCACTTGGCTTAAGTCCGTAGGCCTCGTTATTCCGCGCGGCCAAAGCGTTTTGGGTCACGTAGTTCAACTGAAAACGCGAGGCCTAGACAAAAATCCTTTAAAGGGAGACAAAAGTGAGACAACATTCTGATGACTTTTCAACTGAAAGTGGGTCGGCAAAAGTCGATCCCGCAAATATCCACAAGGGTTTTTAAAAAATCATAATTTCCGGTAGACTTGCTGCGACCGATTCCGACAATTTTTGTTTGCTTGTTTCTTATTTTTGAAGAACTGCCAACTTGACTCTTTCAATCTTTGCTGTTTGTCGTAAGTAGACGTGATTATTGGATATAAACAAGCATTAACGAATCAGTACACTCAGGCTGATTTCAATGGCACTTGAGCTCAACATTCTCCTACTCAAATCCACAGCACCGAAGGTTCCTGTTATCGTATTCAAAAACGGCTCAACTTAACATCACATGGCAGTGAGTGTTTTCTGACTGTATATTTTCAGTGATAAAACGTTTTCTGGTATCAGGCATATAAATTCAGTACGTACCACAATAATTGCTACACTTTTAGGAAATCAAATCGCTAAACTAACTACAAGAACCGACGTTCTATTAGACATTAACCTTGTAAAACAATATCATGTGCATGGCAAGGCGTTTAGTACGATTGCAGGTGGTCGCAGTCATACCGGGCTTACTGTAGTTTGCGAAACGAAATGGAGCGAAACGAAACGAAATGAAAATCTGTACTTTGCGAAATGAGAATCCCATTTCGTTTCGCAAACTACAGTAAGCCGTTTTGACAGACAACACTATGCAAAAGCTTGTTCACCGGGATTGCCGGTCTAAAACGTTAAAATATTGTGGTTAAAAAACAACAGCCAACTTTGCCAGGAACTTTGTCATGGATAACCCTGTTTACACTTGACACGTCTGACTCGGCTTTGGACTTGGTATTAAAGTTAATTTTCCTTTTAGCAGAACTTCATTGTTGTAACAGTCCATGACAGCTGGCCAAACACAGACGTTCATGGTTTGTGTTTTTTCTTTATTTTCCTCAACTTCCTTCACAAAGTATTCGTCTAATTTCGATCTGCTTTCAACTTCATCTATCGTCACGATCTTCAGAGGGGGAAGTAAGTTTACCATTCGCCAGGCGATTCTCAGACATTCTTTGATGAAACTCTTCATCCTTTCGCTTTTCATCTTGTAGTCTTCCAGGTATGGCAGCCAAGGATAACGATCTTGCCAAAAGTCACGAAAAGATGTCAACTGAGTCACAAGTTTCTGCGAAAAAAAATCGTTCATGTTTCTGGGAGGGACGTATCAGTGGTAACGCGAGGATACATTTTGGACATATTGACAGCCAACCACAACTGAAAGCATAAGGAATCAGTTGTCAACCTCGTCCCCAGGGCCGCTTTATTTTCCCTTTCCTCTAAGGGAAAAGCCCTGGGGACGAGTTTGTTCAGTTATAATATTGTTTGATGTGACAATGTCAATGATAATAAAGATGAATAGTAAAGAATGGCGTTTATTTTATAGTTATGATGATGGTGATTATCATATATCATGACTATGACTTCGTTATGGACGCAATCGATTACATCTTGACTGTCCCCTCTGTGATAACCTGAGATGAGACCCAATTTTAGCAGTTCTCATACATTCTCTCTAACGGCTACCGCTAAAATTGCCTGCCGGAATGTAATTTTCAAAGCGAAACGAAATTAGAGCCTGATCTCAGGTCACCTCTGTGAAAAATGCAACGCCTCTCCAAAACCTGACACCTAGTGTTGTTAAACCGCCGTTCTCCAGTTCGTCCCTATATTCAACTCTTTAAAATAAGACTGACTCCTTTACAAAGACAGTCAGACAGCCGACATAGGATCCCATGCTCTTGTCAGTGTCCGCTCCAACGGTGTCCGTCTTAAAGTGTTAAAATTAACTATGCGGGAGTGTCACTGAGTCTTTGAGACTCTGGACCTGTTCCGGACAAAAAGAGATGAATTTGCAACACTGTTCCGGTCCAGACAATGATTGTATAAACAGAAACCCTGTTCCTGTGGCTGTTTCAATACAAGGAGAGAGTAGTTTCGCACCTAAGCTTGATTGAGAATAATCACAGATTAAGGATGTGCGACCCTGTTCTAAAGTAAAGCTGAAATAAGATGTACCTCTCTTTCAGTGATAAAGGGTGAATTTTATACCCCCTGTTCCCAGAGTCAGAGGCAAAAAGCCATATCCTGTTGCGCGGCACAGACCTGTATAAACTATATACCCCTATTAATTAAGGTTGCTTCTGTGAAGAATGATGCATGATCCATGTTTCATAGCCCGCGGTGCATTATTGTAGCAGGTCTACTAAATTATGTGCCCACACCGAGCCTAGAAACCTAGAAAGCAAACGCTGCTACCGCTTCTATGCTTTGTCAGTAGAACGTTAAGACAATGTATTTCAAAACACTGAATCCTAGGCTTCAGTTTTAATTTAAAACAGTGATTTGAGGTTAGGTAATATGTAAATGCTGCAAATCTTCAACGTGTTGCTTGGCTTGTGCACGTGGGAATTTTGGATGGAGATAAAAAAAACTCAAATTCAAGGTGTTTGTTCATGAACTACAATAAATAAGTTAACGTTACGCAAATATCTATTTTTGTGGTAATTTTTGAAAACCTGAATAGAAAAAAGAATAGCCAAAAGATTTGTTTTATTGAAATAACCAGTATTGTGGCCCATACAAAAACGTAGCTTAGTCAGGCAGTAAAACCCTGTTCATTTAAGGTGGCTCCGTAATTAATACAAGAGCATTTAGCTGTGACCAATTTTCCGTCATAACTTTTTCGATTTTAACGCGATGGCTGCGAAACTTTACAAAAAACAACAGATATCATTCCGCAATAAAACGAAATATTCCAATTTCATTGATGGTAAATATTTCTTGAGAAATTAGCGCTTAAAAGGACCCTACTGTTCAAAGAAAATCGCGTCTAGTAAAAAATTTTGCTGATATTTTTTACTGAAATTTCTGGTATCGACTTTAATTGATATAATAAATATGCCAGAGGAATTTCAGAAAAATCGTTGGAGCAGAAGTCCGTAACTAAAAGTCGCTCAAAATTCAGCTGTGAAATTGTTTTGGAATTTCAAAAATAAATTACTATCAGGAAGAAGGAGACACCAGTTTGAATTTTCAGGACAAGTAAATTCAGTGATTGCTAATTCTGAAAACAGAAGCCGATTGCCTATCGTGCTATTCTTTAAAAGGTACTTTTCAGTTTTAGAAGCACTATAAATTGCTCCAAACTTTGCTTTGACGTCGAATGACTTGTTCCTCGACATTTTTAAAATATCCCTTGGCAGTTTTGGTTCAAACTCCTGCTACATACATTTTGATGTATTGCAATGCATCCTCAACGGCTTTTCCTGCTGTACGTTGTTTCCAATTCAGGAAAAAGGTATTGGGATTGTAAGCTACCTTGTATCGAAGCTCAGATAGAACTGTCCAGCACCTTTGTTTATGACCAGAAAATAAGCACGAGCGGCAGCTCTGCGAGGAATTCGCACCTCAGCCAGGGGGGACGAATGACAATGATGCCCATGTCTGTGAACCGATCTGTATAAACATGTATTGCAGAGCAAAACATAATAATCAAGAAAAAAAATACCCATTCATTGAAGGAAGGAGTGACAAAAATTTCAGAGTTGTAAATTTATTCACGGGCAGTATTTTTGCGATAATTTTATTTTGCACTGTGATGTTATTCGGTTCACAGGCATGGTCATCATTGTCGTTCGTCCCCCCTGGGTGAGGTGCGAATTCCTCGCAGAACTGCCGCTCGTGCTCATTTTGTAGTCATAAACAAAGGTGCTGGACAGTTCTATCTGAGCTCTGATACGAGGTAGCGTCCAATCTCAATACTTTTTTCCTGAGTTGGAAGCAACGAACAGCAGTAAAAGTCGTTGAAAATGCATTGCAATACATCAAAATGTATGCAGCAGGAGTTTGAGCCAAAACTGCCAAGGGATATTTTAAAACTGTCGAAGAACAAGTCATTCTACTTCAGAGCAAGGTTTGGAGCAATTTATAGTGCTTCTAAAACTAAAAAGTACCTTTTAAAGAATAGCACGATAGGCAATCGGCTTTTGTTTTAAGAATTAGCAAACGTTGAATTTACTTGTCCCGAAAATTCAAACTGGTGGCTCCTTCTACCTGATAGTAATTTATTTTTGAAATTCCAAAACAATTTCACAGCTGAATTTTGAGCGACTTTTAGTTACGGACTTCTGCTCCAACGATTTTTCTGAAATTCCTCTGGCATATTTATTATATCAATTAAAGCCGATACCAGAAATTTCAGTAAAAAATATCAGCAAAATTTTTTACTAGACGCGATTTTCTTTGAACAGTAGGGTCCTTTTAAGCGCTAATTTCTCAAGAAATATTTATCATCAATGAAATCGGAATATTTCGTATTATTGCCGAAAGATATCTGTTCCTGTTTGCAAAGATTCGCAGCCATCGCGTTAAAAACCAAAAAGTTATGACGGAAAATTTGTCACGGCAAAATGCTCCAGTATTAATTACGGAGCCACCTTAATGTTGTTAAAAAAGAAGAGGCTTCTAATTTCTTACTGTGAGATTTTAAAAATGAAATTCTTCAGCTCGCTCATGCTTCTTAACAATTGTAGCAGCCATTCGATTTGAAAGCTCTCTTGAACGCCTTCTCACAAGTGGTCTCCATTATATGATTTCAATGAACGTGAACAAGACTGAACTTCCCGCCCGGGGGGAAAGGGGGAAGGTATTGCCATATGTGGGCTATATAGGTATGTGCCACCGTGAAGGGTATGGTTTTCAAGCAGTTTACTCTAGGATAGGGTATATAAATCAGAGAGTTTGGGTCTAGAGTAGGGTATCATTTTTGAGGAAACTGATCAGTTGGTTGAAGATTTTATCTAGACTAGGGATTGTGGTATAAGGTTTTGTTTTGGCTAGACTGTGCTAGTGACCTCAGAAGTTTCTGGAAAACAGCTACTCTAGGATAGGGGGACTTGGGGAGTTTACTTTAGTATAGGGTAACAAAATTCAGCTGAACTAGCTCTGGTATAGGTTAAGGGTTCCAGGGTGCCAGCGGCACATCCCCACCCAGAAATTCCTTAAGTACCCCCCAGGCTTCCCCTCTACAAAAGGGTTTACCATAGTGCACTGAAGGCTATGAAACATGGTTCATGGGAGCAACCTTAATTGAAATAGGTGTATTTAACAATTATTCCTCGAGCTTGAATGGGCTCTGAGTCAATAGCCCATGGGCTATTGACTCAGAGGCCATGAGTGCGAGAGGAATAATTGTTTTAGTAAAATCCAACTAGTTGGTCAAAAATATCGAGAATAATTTAGCTATTTAAAGCTAGACTTTAACCCTTTTTTGCCGCCAAAAAGTCAGCGCTTTTCACTACTAGTGGGCTATAACATATAGCCTAGTAGTAGCTCAGCCAATCACAACGCAGCATTGATAATAGACCACTAGCTGGATTTTACTCAAAATATATATATAGCGTATGTGTACATACCGTGCGGTACGAAACTAAGTAGTAGTAAAAATGCCCAAGTCAAATCTCACGTTGACACCAGACATCCTTGATTACACTACGCTCTAGCTAGTCCTTCTGTTGAGCACTCTGCCGATAGGCGTGCATATGCATCAACTGGTATATATATATCTATATCTATATATCTATATATGCACATACTGATATACACAGATATAAAAGTGCCTCCGAGAATTTCGGTTACTATTAGAGTCCAAATAAAAAAAATCATTACCTCCTCTAAGTCTGTTAGATCACAATCTACTGCAAGTTCTTTTAAAACAGAAGAACTTGCGAATTTGAAGGAGTCGGTTGAAAGTAAGTGTTGCATTTCCTCAGAGATTTGTTGCTCAGAGATCCTTTTTGCCTGTTTTAGAAATAAAGCTTTATATCAATCGTGAGCATACAAGCCTAACCTATCTTATTATTCTTCTATTGTCATTATGATATTCAGTACTCTGTAGAACTGAAGGGCGTACAAAATACTTTGTTTAGTCCACAAAGCACCCCCCCCCCCCGACGTTTATCTTCCATTCGTAAACAAACGGTATGCTATCATTGGTAACCAAGCCTTGAGTTGATGTAATGATCTACAACTGAGGGTTGTTACAAATAGGACATAAAAAGCCTAAGCCAAAGTTGAATCTTCATTAAAAGTTCGGGAAACAGCAAGATGTCATCTGTTATAAAAGTCTTGGTGATGAAAAACAGTGAAAATAATAATTATAATATGCACTTCTCTGTTTGGGTGTTTGGTAGTGTATAGTGCTAAAGGACAGAGGTTAGCGTAAGAAAGGCCCGGGCTCGATTCTGGGTTTTGTCCTGTCTCACCTGCATGGAGGTTTCTTTAAAATGCACTCCTACAAAGGGTGCGCTCTGAAAAAACCTCGGTAAAGCCTGTTGGATGAACTCTTCTTTTGTGCGTTCCGCAAGTTCGTAAGCAATCTAATTAAACAACAGATACATAGATGACACACATGATTTGAATATGCCATCAATTCAGGTTTGACATCTTTCAGATTTTTGAAAAAAGAGGCAATCATGGAAAAACCTTCAAACAAGGATAAAGCCATCTCAGTTATGAAACACAGGAGACTCGCATCAGTTTAAGATACAGTAAACGCATAAGCCTAGGATCCTAAAGCACACATCCCATTTGTGGTTCACACACATTCCCAATTGCCAAACCACGCAGCTCTGAATCAGTACTGACTCTGTATACATATAAATGCTAAGTTTCTCTCCTCATATTAAGTCCATTATCATACTATAGCCTTACTAACAAGCGTTCATTAACCTTTCAGACTGGTAAAACTCGACCTCCGCCATCTTGAATTGAAGGAATGATCTCTATTTAGAAATAAAGCGCAGGATTGCTTTCTCGGTTAAGCACACATGAACATTTGTCTTAGAACAAATGGTAATTCGGTTTGCACGCCTGACCACAAGATTTTCAAGTAATCTTTTTGAATGACTTTAAAAATAATGGGTTATTTACGTATCGCTTTTGAATTGTTTTGTTTGATCGCTGTAGATATTTTGAGGTTCATCGGGCGGCATATTTTAGATCGTGTAAAAATAATGACGTACCATAAATATTCGGCAAGTCAAATCCTTTCTGTACCAGTTCTCTGCCCTATCAGGTTGCTTCCCAAACACTTCCATTGCTTGTCGTCGAATGGCCCCGTCCAATATTTTGCACTTCTGCAAGACATCACTTCGTTTGTTCCTGCTTGTAACATCTTCAGAACTGCTTTGATAGCTGCGATGATTCATTTCAGAATCGTTACTTACCCTGTTTGTTTAAAAGAAATGATTGATTCGATAAAACCGAGAGTGAACACAGGACTTAGACATGAACAAAAGCAATGCATCCAAAACGACGTTCCTTTCCTCCTCTGAGTCTCACAAAGGTCTTAGCTAGGGACTTTGTAAAGCGGCTTTACCGGTAAATTGAAAAGTATTCCACATACCTTTGCCTTAGGTTTTCATTTTGAGACATAATCTCTTCGTTTCTCTTTTTCAAATCACGATTTTGCCTTTTCAGCTCGTCATGCTGGTCATATTTTTTCCGCACCATCTTAAGCATGCAGTTGTTGGCCTCCAAGAAATCGTTGAGGTCCGATCTATCGCCCATTGCTGAATCTGTTACTTCTATCTCAGATGGCTGTCGTTGTTCAAATTCTCGATGAGGAATCAGGCCACCTTCGATTGCCTTTGACGGAAAAGTTCCCATGCAAGGCCAGAATTTGTACCGAGGCGATCTTGATGTGAAAATTGATTCTTGTTATTTAAAACTTCCTTGTTTGTTTCTGAGAAAAAATGGGTGTGGCAATTCTAAGAAAATTAATATATTCAGTAGACCTTGAAATTCTTCAGTCAGCCGAATTGAGTTTCGAGAAGATTTGTTCATATTAACGTTTTTGATGCGTGCTGTGCGAACACTGATCCTAACTGATATATGTGGAAAAATGATTGTATAAGTGTTTGAAGTCTCGTTTCTACCGACTGGACTAGACAATACTATTTAGTCTGAAGTTAACGAACCTTTCAGGAAAACAACATGGCGGCAACAAATGTTCCCAAAAGAGATGTGATTATTGCAATCGACTTTGGTACTACATACAGTGGTTTTGGCTACGTTTTCACCAACGCCTCCGAAGATCACATTTATATCTTTCAAAAGTGGGGACGAGGCCAAGGAATGACGTACAGTAAGACGCCGACGGCCCTTTTGTTGACAGAGAAAGGCGAACTGCACAAATTTGGGCATGCGGCGGTGGAGATGTATGCCAAGCAAGCAATCTCAAAGAAGGACTGTAAGAAACTTTTGTATTTCGATAAATTCAAACTATTGCTTCACTCCAAAGAGGTAAGTCTCGGTCGACTGAAGAATGCTTGTGTGGACAATATTGTCGTTTGATGGTAAAACACAGCCTAGCAAAAAATCAGGTTCTGAATAAATAATTTCACATACGTTCTTTAAAGCTGATTTCGAGACAACTAGTTCTTTTTGCTTACTTTAATTAGGACCTAAATGAGAATACAGAAGTGGAAGCAAGGAATGGCAAAAAGTGGCCGGCTTTGGAAGTCTTTGCAAAGTGTCTTGAATACTTGAAAAAAGTGGCAACTGATGCCATTAACGAGCGTCATCTTAAATCAGACAAGGACAATCCAGGTGCTGAAGTGATGTATAAAGATTCACAGATTCAGTGGGTTATAACTATTCCAGCAATATGGAGCATTTCTGCGAAAGAGTTTATGAGGAAGGCCGCCTACAAGGTGATAACCATGTTCACAAAGTTATTCGGCATTATAGAGTTTTTACACGGAAACGACTAAATGCTTTCAAACTGATTAAAAATATAATTGCAGTTGACAGCATATTCAAAGATTTCAAAATTGCAGATTACTCCGTTGTATGGAGGAGATATCTTACTGAACTTGATTTGTATTCATAGGCAGGTATAGCCAGCCCTGAAGATCCCGACCAGTTGATCCTCGCTCTTGAACCTGAAGCTGCCTCGTACTACTGCAGAAAACTGCCCTTCAACAGGTTCAAAGGAAACCGGGGAGATAGTCGTGTCGTGAGGGAGACACTGGACAGAGAAAAAGTTCCATATATGGTAGTTGACAATGGAGGTTAGGTTTTATGATTTTTTAACTAGCTACCAGAACAACTATTATGGTAACGATAATGACGATAGCGATAATGATGATGAGGGTGGTGATGTTAACGGTTGTGAGGGCGGTGACGGTAACTATGGTGATGATGATGATGATAACTACAGAGTGGTGGAGTTGGCGGTGGTGATAAGGACGGTTGTGTGGTGATGTTAAGCTGGGTGGTGAAAGTGTTCATGATCTTGGTAATAATGACAGTTGTTTTGATGGTGGCAGTGGTGCTCATGATGGTTGGTGGTAATGTAACAGCAACGACTACGATGAAAAAACGATGATAACGATGATAACAATGGTAATGACAATATAAAGTTTTCTTTTAACAGGTGGGACTCTGGACATAACTGTTCACGAAGTTGATGCTGTGGACGGGCACATTCTAGAAAAACATTGTCCTTCTGGTGGTCTCTTCGGAGGAATACATGTTGACAGAGAGTTTGAAAACTTAATGAGCAGAGCATTTGGCGAATTCTTCATGAGACGATTTAAAGAAGATTTCCCGAATGACTGGCACTCTATTATGAATCGCTTTGAGACCCACAAACGAGCAGAAGAAGACGTCGATAATGACGAGATAAGTATTCCCCTACCTTTAACCTTTATAAGGTCTTGTAACCAAGACATTGGAAGCGATGACGACATCAATAATAGGATAAGGCGTTTTTATAAAGACCAAGTCAGTGTTAGTAGCGACTATCTGAATATTACCATGAAGACTCTTGGTGACCTACATTATCCAATAGTGGCCAAGATTGCGGACCATATCCATGAACTTCTTGCTAAAGATAGCCTTCGGGATGTCAAAACAATGTTTCTCGTAGGAGGGTTTTCTGAAGCGCAGTTTCTGCGAAAAGAAATTTCCCGCCGTTTTAAAGAGAAACGCATACTCATTCCACACGATCCCGAACTCGCCATAATTCATGGCGCCGTTGAGTTTGCTCAAGATCCCAGCTTACTTCGAGCCAGAGTCATGGGCAGAACGTACGGCGTGGACACTTGGACTAGATTTGATCCGGATGAACACCCTCCTGAGAAAAGAGAAATTCGTCCACACAAGGTATACTGCCGTGACATTTTTGAAACTTTAGCGGCGAAGAATGAACGAATAGATATCGAGGAAAAAAGATCATACACGTTTTTCCCTATCAATCCAAAACAGACGCAAGTCCGTTTCGAATTTTACAGTACAATCAAAGAAGATGCTCAATTCATAACTGACCCCGAAGTGGTAAGCGAAAACGTTGCGATAGTGGTTGCTAGTCCTGACACCACAAAGGGGTGTGACAGAGAATTGAGACTAGATGTTATGTTTGGTGGCACGGAATTAAAAGTACAAGTCACTGACGTTGAATCAGGAAATGCTGGGACAGCATCAATTGAACTGGTGTCCAAACCCGTGCTCCACTCCCGCTTTCACTAAAAAGACGTTTTCAAAGCACTATCAGAAGAGACAGACCATACTCTGCTTTGGCAGGCAAATAAATAAGGCAACAATAACTTTAAAGTTAAATACGCTGTATTTACTTTGCATGAACAGAAGCAAGACGTATTTCGAAGAAACTCTGCCAAATTTAGCATGTGTTTAGCAATAGCTTTATTGGTATCAGGGACTGACGGCAGATTTCCCAGACTATGGATAGCCAAGATGCATGGAAATGTATAGCAAATTTCAAAATTTAAGCGAATGAATGGCTGAACGTTTTAAGTTCTTTCTGTGTGTTTTGTTTTCTTTTTATGAAATGACTTTACTTTAGTAACTTTCAAGTGTAGTTTTTTCAGATTTAGGCAAGTAATATCGATTTTCGTGCTGTATATCATCTCCACATTCCCCTTTCTAGTAAAGAAGGGTTTTGTTTGCTTGTGTAATAGGTGTGATAGAACACTTAATATTGGTATTAAAAAAAAAAAAAACGGCACTTACTTTGTGTACCGGAGACAGATGATGTAACACAAAAGAATAAAAACCATGAAACAATATCAAGCAGATTTTCACTGAACGGAAAACAGAGAGAACTTTTGTAGGTCATCTGTGTCCGATATAAGATTTGACCAAAAAAACAAATGCCGCTCGTAAGGAACGGTTCCTTATTATTTACACAAAGTGTCGGTTAAAAAATTCATGCATAAACATTTACATTTAATTTTGGGAGAAGCACTAGCCCCACGGCAAAAGTTTAGCCAACCCAGGTAAAGTTGACAGGATCAATCTTTTTGGACAGCCAATACTGTAGCTTACTATGGCTGTGCCCTGATAACGGGATACGTATAAAAAAAAAACGCGTACAATCCTGGTCAAAACGTTTGGGACACTTAGTAGTTTACATACAGTGATTTAACTTTAACCGTGAAATATAACAGGTAGTAGAATCTAGTACTACGCACTAACCCCAGTAATTCTATTGTCTTCTTTTGTTTTCCTCTCGCTGTTTTGCACTTTTTGTTAGTATCTGTTTCAAGGTTCAAGTGAAATCACTCTATGATCTGTGCATTTTCCAATAATCTCCCTCTTCCTCCCCCCGGACAGTATTGGGTGTTACAGGTCAAACACTTTTGAAAAATCTTTTTCAACTTTGTTCAGAGTAGGGGGAAACCTAGGCAAAGCCGTATTTACAACTGTATATTGATGGTCACTCTCCAATTTCTTAACAAAAAGGGGAGGGAAAAGAGAAGTGTCCCAAATCCTTTTGGCCACGATTGTAGTTTACAAAAGAGGAACGTACATATTGAACCAGATTAAGCTTTAGGGCGGATTATTCAAATTGCAATGCTAGTATAGAATCCGGATTTTGGTTACTTTACATTTAAAGTATATACACTTTCTTTTTGAAGTAGTTAAAGTGATTTACGGAGGATAGAAATGTATACCTAAGCCTAACTTCGAATCAGAAATAGAACACAATAGCTCAGTAAAACGTTAAGCACATAACATTCACCAATGTATATCAAATTAAAATTTTTTTTTCCGTTTACAATCATTCTTAGAAAATAGATTTATTGCGCACTTTGGGCCGCTACAACGTGGTTCCTCTTTGGAATATGTAAGACATATCTTAATATCGGACGTAACCGCCAAGTCCGACGTTCACCACTCAAAAGGCACTGTATTTTAACCCAAAAAGTAGTAGCTATACGTCTCACATAAGAATTTTTGCAAATGACTCCAGGAGTTGCAAACAGAAACTCTACAATAGCATAAAAGGAAAAAAGGACCCAAATACTCTTTTTTTTTTTTTACTTAAAATTTCATTTTTTTATCAGCTGAGTTTTTCAGTGTGTAGCGGCTATCTGGCAATGACCACACGTACTCATCTGATTTTTTCCTGTGCTACTAAATTTAGGGCGTCTGCACGATGGAATCGTTACCATATTACTGTAAATCCTCAAAGTTATGTAAACAAATTAACCCCTCTAATCCTGAACGTCCGAAACCCCTTCGCTTCTTGCACCACCTGTGAGGACATCAGTCAGTAGCGATAACTTTGATGCACGAAGGAATCTTCCGAAGCATGTGTGTGTTAATTTGACGGGTATCTTTGAATCAAAATCTTGACCAGCCCTCACTCGTACTTCTCCAACAGCTCTTCCAACAGGAGTGAAGCCTTCTCAGCCCAGCAAAAGGCGAAAAGGAAAAGAAACGAAAAAACGAGCAGAAAAGAAAGCGAAAAAAAGTCGACAATTATCTTTCGTTTCCTTGTCGGAGAACTATCAAGTATGACACGTATAACTATGGCGCGCAAATATTTAAACAGAATCGAATCAAAACCACCTTGATTTCAGTCACTAAAATTTAATTTTCCTGTAATTAGACGTAATTCTCTCTTATCTGTCCAAAGATGTTGACTCGCAGGGTTGAAAACGGGTTTCTTTAATTCACATATATCGTTGATGACCGCGCACTTTAAAATTTAATACATGACATTACTTTAAAAGTACAAGCTATGGAGAGAAAAATTGCATTCAAGATATTATACAACTAACATTTTAAACTCTAGATAACACATTCTGACCAAAAAAACTTCAGGAACATGAAGTCTAAAACCAGAGGATCAAGAACCTTAATTCAAGAACATGCGAGGAATTTTGATTGGTGGAGGTTTGCCTCAGGGGGTATCTGGGTTTAAGTGGGAATGTATCTATGGTAAAAAGGGGGAGACATCGGCTTCCAAGAGAGCTCCCCGAACCCCCCCCCCGTTTTAATCCCCGAGGAAAGAGTCAAGTAAGATTTCTTTGTCCGCGAGTAATATTTCAAAGGTGGCAAAGAGCTTCTCATTCCAGTAAAATGAAAGTGGCGCGAGACTACATATTTAAGAGGTTATTTACAAATAGATAAGTAGTAACGACATATAAATACTCTGTATGCGCTAGGAGAGAGATATTTGTCTATGAGAAACAAGCAAGTTTGAAATTTGACACTTGTGTTGCATTTGAACCGGCTGAAAATCACAAAAAGGTTAGGTTTGGAAACAGAAACTATTCAAACAAATCTTTTCACCCATTTGAAGAATTAAAAATACTTTAGTTCTTTGAAAACGTAAGGTGAAGCTGAAGTTGCTTTGATTATACAGATGAATCTGCTAGTGGGGCAATTTCAATGAAAATTATGACTTTTACATTAGAGAAGTCTATAAAATCCTGCAAAAGAAATTTGTCAATTTACAAGGACCTTCTAAATAATCTTTGAATCTATGGATGAAATCCTGAAGTGTGACAATTGAAATTAAAGCCACTGAGAAGTATTCTCCCACACAAGATGGTTCAAGCATTTGAATCTTAAGTGTGACCATAAAAAGGATAGCTATTACAATAACTTTAACAACACTTCCCTGTACACTTTGTATATCTCAATATTTTACAAAGTAGACTTTTCTAGGGAAAGTGATTTCATTTTGAACTATGCCACTTTTAAGTCGAACAGAGCTGCACGGCGTTACACACACAAATGGCTTCAACCAGTTGCCAACAAGGAAAGGGTTTTAAAATTCATCGTACTATACATTTTGGATCTATTCCGTATTACAAAAGAATGGAGAGAAAGCGAATGATAAGAGTACACGAAAAGAGTAAAAAAGGAGGAATTCAAATAAAAATAAAAAAGGAAATTAAAAAATTGCACTCCTGGAAATGGGTAAAGAAGGTGATTTGTACAGAACTACAGCCCATCAAACTCTGTGTTTGGCTAAGTTCTGTAAACCATTCAAATGCCACACGTGTATGCCTCCGCTTGCTGAAGCCGTCAGAGCGTCTCATCCTTCTAAATAACACACGCTTTCCTCCGCTTGTTAACTTGTTTTAGGCCGCACGCCTTTGCCTCCTCTATTAGACTAAAAAAAGTCGCTGGTTTTCAGTTTGGTTACTGTTTTCCTTGTTTATGCGTAATCACTTCCCGGTAAAACAAAAATCGCACTATTCCTCTTCCGTCGTAGAAATGATCTCTGAAACATTTGTTCGTGTTTACGCGTGAATTGTAATGGAATGGCGTTTGATGAGGACGTCCGATGCTTGAGAAAGATGTTCCACTTGTAAAAGAGGTGTTAAAAACGTCAAAGGTTCCTGACATCCAAAACGCACAGCTGCAGAGAGAAATGATATACATGAAAAAAATTAATATGCCACTTTCAGCGAAAAGTTATCACCAAAGTAACCAGCCTACCCAATCACAGTACGGGTAGAAAATCAAATAAGCCAATCAGAAGTAGGGAAAATGCCTTCTCTTGTACTTGCTGTTTTAGATATTTGAAATGTTTTTACAGGAAGGAAAGAAGGAAGGAGTCATGGTTGAGAGGACAACAGACGTACCCTCTTTACAATAATTATATATTAACATGTTAACAGTACTGAAGCTCGGACGTCAGCATACAAAGACGCCATTGGCGGGCGCTTTCGGTCCATTTTTTTATGAGCTTACTGTACCCACCCAACTCATGATGTGAATGATGTGTTGAAGGTTGGCCACAACCACCGGGGGTCTACTTCCCCTACTCTTTTCGAACAATGGGGTGGGTTCTTTTACTTCCCACAAGAGCAGACAAGTGTAAGTGCTGTGAGACGGGACCTATGGTTTTTCGTCCTTATCCGAGAAGACTAGAAAATCTAACCGTTTCCAGCTGTCATGATGTTATTTTTACGTTTTACTCCGTTTGGTGGCAGTTCCGTCAGTTTCAATTTTGCGTAAATTTCGCTACACAGCTCCTTCACTGGTTGCTACGCGTAAGTTGTGTTGCTACTTACCGTATTATCTGAGAAACATGCAGCTACTTTGTCGCCTCTTGGACTCCACTGAACCTCAAATATTCCACCATTACCATGGAAACTACTAACTAAGGTTCCAGTCTGCATACATTAAGACAAAATATGAGAGAGCATAAATCACATACGAAAGAGATGGAGCCATGAACGCCTTATATTGAAAGTTGACTTTTTTCACTCTTAAATTGCGCGGAATTAAGGCCCTGTGGACAAAAATAATTTTTCGAAAACCTCGGTTCTAGTGTTTAACAAGAACGCATGGAAATTTGCGCGTCCAAACTACAGTTGACTCCCTTTAACTTAAACCCTCGCTAACTTGAACCAAAATCGATTTCCTCTGGACTACCTTCAAACATTTACTACATGAGCCCACGCCTAATAGGCGTGCGCTTGATACAGCGGGCTCAGTTATGGCCAGCGGTTTATCGATAAACAGATGCGCGAAGTCGAAAAACTAGTTTGACGAGAGAAAACAAGATTGACTAGTCCAGAAGTTTGGGTGGGCTTGACTCGATTCAGGCAGAGCCTTCTTTTTTTCACCTCAAGAACCCTTTAAACCCTAATTTCAAAATTCATATTCTCATGTGTTGTCCCTATACGTTTTCAATAGAAGTAGGGAGAATTTGTTGAAGTATCAATCAGATTCCTCTTGTGTGATCATATCCTCAATTCTCATGACCACTGTGTTTTATAAAGCAATGATATTACAAGGAGAAATTTGATGCTGATCACTCTTAGGAGGCTCTGCTTGCAGGGTGAAGCTTATGTTACAGTGCCCCAAGTTAGGCAAAGTTAATCAGCTTCAAAACAAGTTTATTTACCTGTGTTGACCAGATGTTAATTCCTCTATCAAAGGACCCTGAGGCGATATATCTCCCATCAGGACTAAAGGCCAGTGAATATACAGGCTCCTGATGCTTAGCAAGAGACAAAACACAGCTGCCTCGCTCAAGCTCCCACAGTTTTACTGTGGTATCATAAGAAGCACTGAAAATAAGAGGAAATCAATTCAAACCAGGTGGCAAATATCGCAAAAATCTTTATTGCTTTTGTGACATTTTCCAGCCTATTGTTCCCATTTACAAGGGAATGGCATAAAGAGGTGGACAGAAAAAAAAAATAAGGATCAAAAACTACCACCTACTCCTCCCCTAAGCCAACATTAACACTCAATACTAACTTAGGGCAAAATGTTGGCTTGGGGAGGGGTAGGTAGGCAGTTTCCTAGAAACCTAAATTGTTCCAACAAAAATAATAGGTTTATCCAAATAGACTGTACATATAATATGATTATTAAATTGAAGAGTTTTGAAACCTACCTAGCTAAAATAAGAGGAGCATTTGGACAAGCTGTTGCTGGTCCTGTAGGGCTCCACGCTACTGTATAAATTCCTTTTTTGTGGCCTTGAAGATCAAACACCCAGTTATCTTGTTTTATACTCCAAATCTGAAAAAGTTCAGAAGCTTAGAATTCTGAAGTGGACTTGCTGTTCTGGAGTTTAAACCAAGGATAAAATTGAACCACAACATATACACTTGATCCTGGCCTTGTAAACCTATACTTTTCAGCCCTCCAAGTTGCGACCATTTCCTAAAATTTTGAAGCTGGCTACTTGATTTGTAACAAAAGTCTCCCTCAACCAAAAGAATTGGTCGCCAAATGGCAACCAAACAAAACTTCAACTTGGAGGGTTCACTTTTATACTCTGAGGGAGCCTAATATCTATAAGCCTTATGGTTTCCTTTTGGGCACTGCTTCTGTGTGTTTCCTGTACTCTCGTCTTTTTTTTTTTTTTGTGGTGAAAGTAAATAAACTAAACTAAACTACCTTAGCTGAGAGGTCATCTGAACAAGATGCTAATAACGACCCTTGTGGATCCCATTTGATTGCATTAACATCACTCTGCAGTTAAAAAAAGAGAGCCAAGTCATTGCAAACTTTTCATCCAAAAAAAAATTAAGAACAGACCCATGTTTCTTTTGGATTCTCACAGTAATATACCAATAAGGACAAAATTGAGCAAGAAACACTCAAAACCTCCAAACTCCCCCAAGACTAGTTGAGGCACAAAGACACATTCCCAGGGGTCTTCCTTCTTCCCATCCCCTAGATCCCACTGGGTTAGGGGGATAAAAGATCAGGGGAACAGTGTTGCAGTTGAAATCCCCAAACACAAAAACAAGACTTTGTGACCTATGAAAAATACATTCAAGATTTTGAGATCAGATCAAAATTTACCCAGAACTATGATTTGCCACTCCTAACATCAGGGACAATGCAACTGGAAGTGAGGGAGCGGGGGGGGGAGGGATGGGGAGGAGAGGGGAGGGATGGATATTGTATTATTGCCTTGTTTAAGTAAATAAAATGAGCAGGAGATTAAGGCATTCTTCAGAGCAGAAAGTAAACTTACAGTGTGTCCTTGAAAAGACTTGATAGGTTTATCCACACCTATTCTACAGATATGAATAATTTTATCTGTTGAACACGATGCAAAACTACTGTTGTTCTGCCAGTCTACATCCAGTGTAGGAGCTATAAAGAAGATATAACATATTTATTATGACGTCTATTTTTGGGTACTATCTTTATAACTGAGTTTGGCAACAAAAATAAGGTTCCAGTCTAGGTATAAGTTCTGATGCATTTATAGAAAGATTATGCAGCTTCTAAAAACGTTTTTCTTTATGTAGTTAGTTTAGGGTAGAGGCACAGTAGGGGGTGAGGGAATGTGGTAGATCCCTTTGAAACTTTGTGATGACCTTCAAAATAACGTAGCAGGAATAGAAATTGACTGAGAATTTTGTCAAGCATGGAATAAAGAAGATTTCAGACTCTCTCTCACCCTGGTGGAACCCAAACTGTTGCTTGACTTCCCAGTTACTTGAATCCCAGACAACAGTACTCTGTTAATAGCAGCAGAAAGTAAATTTAATTAATTAATTTAGTTAATTCTGACATCCAAAGTTATAACTCAAGAAAGTTTTCAAACTACACTGATGTTGCTTCCAACTCATGTACCTTATCTACGCCAGCGCTAAGTAAATAATTTCCTTTTTTGTTCCATTTAATGGAAAATATAGGACCTTTGTGTTCACATAGTGTTTTGACAAGCTCCCCTGCAAAAAAAAAAAATACAAAAAAATGATTGAGTCATCAGAGCAGGGAGGTATGCAATGATGGCTTGGATAATGGTTACATCATAGTAATAATGAAGTGAGTAAAGAAGCACCTAAATTTACCTTGTGATTTTTTTACTGGAATTTTTTTCTTGGATTTTTAGCTTTTAAATAATATCTTTAACGCTACAGATCAACTTCTGCATTGTTATGTTGACTCATTTTCATTATTTTCAATACAATTTCTTATTACAGTTGTATTATTATTATTATTAATATTATAAACTTGAGTAAATATGAAACTTGAAGCTAAGTTTGAGTGTAAAATTATTTTACCCTCTGGGCTCCATATTCTAGCTTGCCCATCATAAAATCCAGTTGCTAAAAGTGTTCCATCATTCTAATTAGAAGAGGACAAAGGACAAAATATATTAGTTTTACCTAAATGGGTAGTCTCATTTCGGGAAAGAAGAACACTGACAACAGTGCTACATGGTTTGGTCACAAACATTAATCTGCTAGTTCCTAAAGAGTTATCAATGTTTAAGTGAATGGTGATTGTTCTGAAGTTTCAATAACTTTTAAAGACGTTTGAGAGCAAGGTCAAGAACTTACATGTACTGGTTTACGATCAGAATAGTAATCAGTCAGTTGATATAGTCAGGGGAAAGTAGGTGACAATTAAAAAAAAAACGACATATAGTTCTGCTAGTGTTGGGGTCTTCGGCAAAAGTTGTAGTTTTTGTTCACTTACATTCCACTCTAATGATGTTACATCCTTAGTAGCATTTTTATGGTTTTCAGTGTCCTTGAACTGATGCTGTAACACAACGGGTGTCCCAACTCCTGAATCATTAAATGGCCACAATCTAGCAGTTCCATCACCAGATCTTATAACACAATGACACATGAACTTTCAGTAATTATTTTATAAAAACTATCATTCCTAAAACTGTCTCTCAAACAAAAATATCTTTACATGTCAACAAAACTTAAAAAAGTGTAATAACTTTTCTCGCTTCTGACAGACAATCGTTTAGTCATCACCAAACAAGGGAAACAAGTTTAAGAGAGTATAAGGCAACAAAAAACAAACTAAAATAGAAAATTTTTTGAAACACAATAGTGGAAATTAAGTTTTATGAAACAACACCTACCCAGAAGCTAATAAATCTTGAGAAGGATTCCAAGAACACACAAATACCTGATAAAGAAGGAATTTATAAAATGTCACTAAATCAATTGCAGCGGTATTTACCAATAAAATACCTTACTTAAATAAGTACTGGTACCTCAATTACCATTAAAGGTATATAGCACAATACTAAGGCTCTGCTCTAGCAGAGCCCGGTGGCTCCTGGTGCCTAACTTTTGTTCTCAGGCGACTAGAAAATCTTAGCTTTTTCATAGAAATCATATGCTGGGCACCCTGGATTTGGCTCCCCTCAATTTTTCTTAGAGCACAGCCTTGAATACCATGTAGGAATGGAACACTTTTCAAAGCTCTAAAATTCAGAAATGGCCACTGTTTGAAGATCCCCAAATTTAAGTGAATAACGAAAACATACTGTTCAACTATAATGCAAAATTAATAATTCAACAATATTTTTATACTCCCTTTTCCGTAAAAAAAATAGCTACTATTGACCTAAAAATGAGAATTTTGACATTGTATAATAGCGACTTTACACTACTTGTCAATTCTGGGTAAAAGTTAACTCCTGGTCTCAAATAAATGAAACAATATGATGCAAATTAAACAGTTTGATACAAAAGAAAAGGCAAATTTATTTAGAATGTCTGTTGTTTCAAATTAAGTACAGTGGAACCCCGTAAATACGGTCACCAATGGGCCAAAAAAACTTGGAGGTATTAACAGGGTGGCCAAATTAACGAGGTTTTTTTTACAAGAAAATGTATGGCAGTATCAGCCAGGCGGCCAGAAAAAGTGACCTTATAACGAGGTGACCATATTGTTGACATGGCCGTAAGGCGGAGTTTCACTATATATCATTACCTCAGATTCATGGCCTTTCAAAAGTGTTGCTTTGTAGTTTCCAAAATCGTTAACTCCCCCATCAATCTCCATGATTTCACTATGTCCCTTGTAATTCTCATTAGGGTAGTGGCTGCCATCGAGATTTGATTCATGTTTAATCTCTCTAAGTGGTTTAGTATTTTGTAATAATGTATGCCTTGTAGCAACAATGTCTGGGAGGACAGCGTCAATAAGTGCTAGCTCAGTGTTTTCATCTAGTATTGTTCCATCCTAAAATAGAAGAAACAAGAACACATTTCTTTTAGTCTGATTCAAGTGCACAAGACATTACTGGTTTTCTTTTTTTTTGCCCATGAAAATTTCTGCGAAATCTGTCTCTGAAAATCCCATGAAATTTTACTTCCGTGACCTATCAGAAGCATAGTATAGTGCGATCTATCAGATTTGATTGTTTGAAAATATTGCGGACAGAAGATAAACTGGCTTTGTTAATGCGATTTGGCACATTTTGTATGACGAAAGCAAAGCAAGAAAAGATGAAATGTTTGTTTTAACTTTACTGTTTTAATTTAAATCTATATCATAGAGAAATCTGGTCGCCAAAGTGGTGACTAAACCAGAATTTTTAGTCACCAAGGAGAAAATGCTAGTCGCATTGGTGAGCGTATCAGTCTCAATTTCGAGCCCTGTAATACAAGTACCCATTACATCCTTGGATACAAGGCTGAGCGGTATGAAGCCAAAAAAAAAAACGCACTGAGATCGATTAAGGGAAGAATAATTTATTTCTTTTGATTTATTCTCTTCAGCCTCTGAGCCAAGTATCTTCAAAGAGGCACCCTGCACCAACCTCAATTCCCGTGACCAATGTTCGAATGCATTTATTAATCCCTGATTACTTCTAGCGATAACAATAATAAACATCTTACCTCACCAAGTGTTACCTCTGCCTCAACATACTGGACACCTTTTTGAATGATTGACACCAAAGCCCCAGGGGGTACCACAGATCCATTGATACTGGATTGGTCAATATGACTTTCTACTCCAAAGGTAAATGCTGAATGTTGAAATCCTAGTGGTAAAATAGACATAATAATGAGTTTAAGAGCATTGATAGTCCTTTATTATGTACATGTAATGTCATATAAATAATAATAATAATAAAAAAACAGAGGAATACATAACACTTTTCATGCTGATATTCTCCTTAAATTGTGAATGCAATTAAAAAATGAACAACTCAGGGAGCCAATAACAATTAACCTGGAACCAGCAGCTCCTTATGCCCATGAAATGGTGTTTTCATAGAAGAGTTTATTTTTACATCGATTTTCCACAAATTTTCAGACTAATAAATAAGTGGTACAAAACAGTCAGCAAAAGCTAGAGACCAGATATAGTATTGCTGATATTTTAATGGCATTTACTCTTCCCTTGTTTGCCGTTCCAAATAATGTTGTGACTGAATCAATTAATGCTACATTTTCCAAGCCCTGTTTTAAACTTCTTGATTAAGCATCAAAGCCACCTTTGATCCTTCACCAAAAATGGGTGGTGGTAGAGGGGTAATTGGTGGAGGTTGGGGGTCATTAGCCTTTAGTAGTGAAAGGTTTAATTTCAGTATCACCAGTTACGCAAAAGAAAATATCCACTGGTATCAGCAGTCAAGTGAGTTATTAAAGAATAAAAGCATTTCCTTGGGCCCATAGAAGTTTTGTAAGCGTATACTGTGATAAATGCTTTTTTGGTAGAAGAATAATACTTCAATAACATCCAGATAAATACAACAGCCACAGCTTTTAAATTAAAAATTTACTTTAATTGTAGTCTCTGTTGATCTAGATATCAAAATATTATTATTCAATAAGTTAATTCTAAACATGACATCACATCATCCTGTCTGTCATGTTATGAGGCATGATTTTTCAACAAATCTCTTGAGATTATGAACTCATAGATAACAAATTATTATGTTCCTTGAGATCTTTATCAATGTAATATTTACGTTAGTGAGGCATCAATGCAACATGACAGAATCAAGAATAAAAACAAGTATAATTTTCTCGATTTTAAGGTGTGAACGCCAAATAAAAAATTCATCATTTTCTTAACAAAGAAATAATCAGTGAAATAGAGCGGTTTTCACTTGACTGTCGTAAAACCAAAACCAAAGTAAATACACTAGCCAACCAAAGGACGTAGTAAAACCAAAACCAAAACCAAAACCAATCCCAATTCGACAGTCAAGTGAAAACCGCTCTAATACCACGACCTATTATGTATATTTACTAAAGAGAGGTTGGGACTTCTGATAAACCTTAAAACCACTAAAAAATTAATAAATTAAGATTGATAACAAATGTGTTTTTAATATTTTATGTACAACGAAAACACTGTGTAAGTCTAAGCTTAGTTTTAATTTTTACTGACCAAGACAAAACAATGAAAGATCAAAGCGAGAGATCTTGCATTTTCTTTGATCATAAGACAGAAAGTTTCGGTTTATTAATACGTTAATAATATAATATGTGAGCTTACCTGACTCCTGAAGATATCTGTAAACTAGAAAGTTGACCTCATCGCTGCTCATAGACATGATAAATAACACATAATCTAAACAGTGGTAGTTCTATTTTACGTAGTTAATTCAGACATTGATTAATCCCGTAGAGACACGCGGGAGACTCAATAAATCGCGTCAGACTATCCACAATTGCAAAAATAGAACAATCAATCGATCCTTGAATCATCCAAAGTTACAATAGGATTGCAAAATCCCACATTTGAGTCGTTTCAGCTGTTCTACGATACAAAATGCTAATAAAATTGGAGACTGTTTGTAGTCAAACCATTACTGGTCCGCCATATTTGCTGAGCGCGAAATGTCACGTGGTCAATGGCAGCCATTATTTTACTACCGTGACGTCACGAAGTTTTAAGAGCAAATAAGAGTCTGAGGACCAAATTCTATAAGAGATTTCTCAATAAATGTAGGAAAGAGAAGCCGTATATGTGCATATATGTTCCGTAACCGAAAAAAATCACGCCTAAACAAAGTTGTTTTAACATATTTAAAAAGCGTTTTTTTTTGGGAATGGGTGTTTTGACCCACGTTCGAGTGAGGTATGGACACTAATGAGTAGCCCATAGCCTCGTTTTGATGCATATTTTCGTTCTCTTTGCCATCCGTGGCCATATTGGTAAGGAAAGCTTATTATAGATGAAGAAATCGGTTTGAGAGTGGGTTTTGTAATAGCCATCGGTCGAGTTTGTCATCATATATTAAAAAAACAGTACCCCTTCTATCCCATAAGAGATATATTTTGTTGTCTTTTGAGGTTTTCTCAGAGTAAAATCACAGATAGTGTCACGTTCTAAGAAGACACTGCATTTACACCAATGTAGAGTAAAAATATTCTCCTTTTATGACAGTTTAGGACATTTGATGTTAACATGGAGATTAAAATGTTTTTATTTATCACGACTCTAGGAAAGTCTGCTTTTGAGTAAAGTTTCAGTAATTTTAGTGTACAGCATTGTAAAATTCAGTTGCATATGATTCTTCCTCTTCGATTCAAGTCAGCTCTGAAGTTTTTTTTCGAAGCTCTCCTATTTTTGAAAATGAACTCATTTAAGCTAAATATTTCCTTTGGGCACGCATAGTGCATGCTTTCTAGTTTTTTTACGAGTTAGCAAAATGCCCAAGATGAATACAGTATTCCAGTTATCAATAGAATCTGGGTGTTTAATATTCAGAGTAAAAGAACTCGATGATATTTGAACATTACTTTTTATCATTTTGTATTACTTTTTACATCATCCTGCATTTCAAATATATGAATTTCATTTATTCACCTTTTCATTGCTTTTTCCTTTGCAGTAAATATGGGTCGTGTTATTAGAGGTCAGCGTAAGGGCGCTGGGAGTATCTTCAAGTCCCATACCAAACACAGAAAAGGAGCTGCAAAGCTTAGGCCACTGGACTACTCTGAACGTAATGGTTACTTGAAAGGTGTTGTTAAGGAGATCATACATGACCCTGGACGTGGTGCTCCGTTGGCAGTTGTTAGCTTCAGGGATCCTTACCGATATAGGCTGAGAAAGGAGATCTTCATTGCTACAGAAGGGATGTACACTGGACAGTTTGTGTACTGTGGTAAAAAAGGTAATCAGTGATCAATCCTTGTTACAAGTTTTTGTAGGCACTTTCATTCAACCATATTCTGCAATAAGAATACGTGGATTCACCTCTAGAAATCACTTGTTTACCACAATTATTACATTGTAGCATCTACAAATCTGGTTGAAATACAATATTGAGATGTGTATAGTATTTCAGTGATCCAAATCCCCCAGTAAAATAGATTTGTAACAAGATTTCTCTGTATTCTTGTTCCAGAATACAGTCAATAGGTAGTTTTCATGCAATCTCGGGAGACACAAATAACAGTGGTGAAATGAACAAATGCTGGTGGACGAACAAAGCGAGCAAATGAGCGATCTTTTGTTTACTGTCCACCAGCATGGCGGCGATGACGTAACGTGAAAACCATCTATCAAATGTACCCTACAAAATGAGCACTTTGGATAGATTTGGTTAGCTGATATTAAAGCTAACTGCAACTTTTTTTTCTATCACGGCATTATATTCATGATCTAAATCAACTCTCCATATTGGCTTCTTTCAGCGGCTCTCCAGATAGGAAACTGTTTACCCATTGGCACAATGCCTGAGGGAACCATTGTCTGTAACCTTGAAGAAAAATCAGGCGACAGGGGCAAGGTTGCTCGTACCTCGGGCAACTATGCTACAGTAGTATCACACAATCCTGAAACCAAGAGAACACGTGTGAAGCTGCCCTCTGGTGTGAAGAAAGTCTACCCCTCTGCCAACCGTGCTATGATTGGCATTGTCGCAGGTGGTGGTCGTATTGATAAGCCCATGCTCAAGGCTGGGCGTGCCTATCATAAATACAAGGCTAAGAGGAACTGCTGGCCTCGTGTTCGTGGTGTTGCTATGAATGTGAGTATTGTAAATTAGACATCTGGGCCGGGTTGTTCGAAGCTGGGTTAAGATAACACTGGGTTACTGCAAAATTTGAACTCATATATGAGAGCTTAAAAAGCAAATTCAGTTAAATTCTCTTTACCTACAATTTGATGATTGGATACTCTAAAAAGAATAAAGAAAATTATCCGAGAAAGTGCTTTTGATAACATGAAAAAGAAACCCGGGTTAATATTTAACCCCAGGTTAGCGCTGACCGGCGTTCGAACAACTGGGCCCTGATGTTTGAGGGGAAATTTTTTCCAATTTCTATCATCAAGGGTTACAGAATAGCCACTAGGCAACAGGTCTTTTTAGCAGTGATTTGTTCAAATTGGTGTATTAATTTATGTCGATAATTATGTGCACGTGGCTACAATAAGTTGTTAGATATTATACCAGGATTTTGTCTTCCATTTCTTCATACTTTCTGAACTCTTTTATCCTTTAATGTTGAAGACAATGACTGCAGTAGACTTAATTCAGTGCATTTTTTTATTGCTAATTCCTCAGTATAATTAATGTAACTTTCTAATGAAGAATTGATCCTTTGTGTTTTGCAAAATAAAGAGTGTATGGGAGTTTAAACAGAACCACTCTGTAGGTTAAAATTCTCGCCAGTTATACCATCTTAAAACAACATAACATAATAATGCATTTATACTTTGTTTTCAGCCTGTGGAACATCCTCACGGTGGTGGTAACCATCAGCATATTGGTACACCCTCAACTGTCCGCCGAGACACTTCAGCTGGACGAAAGGTTGGTCTGATTGCGGCCCGTCGTACTGGACGAATCAGGGGAGGAAAGAAGAACCTCAAGGGAGACAAGGAAACAGATTAGATTGTACTACTCTCAGTTGCCAAATAAAATTCACTGTAAATTTGATTGTAGTTTATTTTGTTGCTTCGATGAAAGGGTAAACATGTGGCCTGTGAATACAGTTACCTCTTAATGCTCCTAGGTTTTTGTAGTGTTTCTAATGTGCTAAGGATAAAGTTACACAAAAACATGTAGCAAGGAAAGGTAGCTGTATTCACAGCCAAAAAGAGCAGGAGGTATCTTGCTTGCAAAGACTGCATGCTCTTTGGTTACTGAAGGAAATACAATGAATTTATCAACTGTCATGTGGTACCAAAACACTCCTGCTTTGATGCAAACAGAAAGGAAAACAAAAGAGTTACATATTTTAAGAGGTAACTTTTTTTTGAGAGTGGTGTATGAAAGGAGAGGCAAGAGCAAGGGATAACTCTTGCAGATCACTTTGCTTGCCACTAAAAATGGAGAGTTCTTGTTGGCTACATTTGTTGAAACCAGTGAGTCACAGTTGCAGTATGCCGATGTCCAAACTCACTCTCTGCAACCGCTTAACTCTACTGTTAAACCTATGATCGATTCATCATCACAGTGGAGGCAATGTTCCCTACATTATTCAACTAATGAATGGCTCTTCTTGTGGCTAGGATGAAGGTGACAGTAGTACAGGAGTATTTTCAAACTTTTTTTTTACAAAAGCGGCCTATTTTATTGGTGGTCTCAAACTTCTACTGTACAGAGCATTCTATATAGCTAACCTAGCCTCCGAGGGCAGGCATCGAAAGGGAACCAGAAAGGGCGGAAAAGGGCAGAGGAGATAACCAACAGATTTATCGGAGCCCCAGGAGAGATGGCAGTGTTTGAAAAAGCCACTAGACTCCTTTCAAAATGGGGGAATGATGCCTATTTTTAGAGTCAAACATTTAATAGAGGCTAAAAATCAATGAGTGTAACAGCTTTAAGCCTTTACAGCAAAAAGCCCAAAAGTGTAGCCTGTGAAAACATTCGTTTCTCCTCGCTCTTCGCCGCTGGGGATGTTTCGCGTGGAGGAACGTCTGCGACTAATAATAAATCTGGTAGTCATGGGGTTCCAAATACAAATTTGTCCAATTTTACAAGTCTTCTGGTCGATTTTGGTAAAGTTTTGTGTTCATCTACCAACGAGCTCTAGCAAAACTCAAACGCTTCTTCCAGAGAAGAGTTTATTCCACAAATATTGACTGTTTTGCTCGAGATTCTTCGCATTTACATTTGACCTTTGTGGCCTTTTGTCTTTTGTCTGTCATTCATAGACAATAGCTAAAAGAATGTAACTACTCCGTTGACCAATCAGCACTTCTGACCATATTCCGGACAGATGTTACGTCATCAGTTTGGAATTTCTGTCGCTGAGTCGCAGACGTTCCTCCTCGCGTAGCCTGCGAGCAAGCTCTCCTATTTGGGTAAGCGAAGTGAGCCTCGCGAGAACGCGCGAGCGAGGGGGCCGAGGAAAGGAGAGCTTGCAACCATCTCTCATAAATTTTCATTTCCACCCCGGAAACCCCGGGACTCCACAAAGCGTGAAAACTGTCACCGCAAACGTGCCGCAGATTAGAAAAGTGACAACCGACAGGCGAGGACGCGTAGAATTATTTATTTATTTATAAATCGCTTTCGCAACAGCATCAAAGCAATGTTTTTATATGTCTTCTTTCCACGGGGACATCGAACTTCAACGTGTCCGCTCGGATAAGAACTCACTAATTTGATTCTCGTTTCGTTTACTTTTGAAAAGTCATTCCTACTGCAGTGTAGAAGACTACTCCCCATCGCAATCACCAACAAAAACATCATATATTTGTCCGTCTGGAACTGGAGAATAGCGTTTTCCTGCACTTGGTTCTCTTAAGCTTTACTCCAGTTGCTTCCAACTCTTTCTCTTTTCCTTCTTTACGGTCACGCTACACAGTTACACTGTCAAGTACATGTGTCTGAATTTTTCTACCCAGTAGAATTCAACCGGGCGAAGAAACCGATGTTGGAAAACAGCGCTTGAATCACTCTTCACTTTCACTCTCCCGGTTTTCAGAACTAAACAAGGTGCTTGACACAAACGAATACAACTCAGTGATGAAGGGTTTTCATTTTCCTTCCACAAGAACTACAAACTCGATCCGACTTATCCTCGGCTCGCAATATTCTCTTTACGAGAATTACATCAAACGAGCCCGTCTGCTTTGAGGGCTGAAACAAGTTCTCGGTACCAATCTGATCCCCCTGAGAACCAAATTTGACACACAGACGAAGCGGGTGCCAGCTTAGCCTGTTATCAATCAACTTTGATTTCCGGAACGTCATTTTTCAGCCAATGGTATTTCCCTTCGTCTGGGCGAAGTACAAATGAAAATTTGTAAGGGATGGTTGCAAGCTCTCCTTTCGCCGGCCCCTCGCGGCTTCGCCGCTCGCTCGCGCGTTCTCGCGAGACTCGCTTCACTCGCCCAAATAGGAGAGCTTGCTCGCAGGCTACTCCTCGCGAAATGTCCCCAGCGGCGAAGAACGAGGAGAAACGGATGTTTTCGCCGGCTACCAAAAGTGTGACCGCTTTGATTTATTCACATTCTTTCATGCAGATTTAATCCAATCAGAAGCCAGCTGGAAATTGTCCTCGACTTCTGATTGGTTAAATATCTCTGCATGAAGGAATGTGAGTTGATTAAAGGAGGTCACACTTTCGGGCTCCTTACCGTAATATAATTCCCATAAGGAGGAAACAATATTAGGCCAATATCGGAGGAAAATGCCAGTATCAGTAACGTCCAAAACGAGGCTGCATATACTGTAGAGCCCAGGTCCTCTATGTGATCCAGCTTAATCCCGGTCATCATGGCAGCTCTGTGGAGCTTGCAGAGAGGCAGTAGTCGGATTTATGAACGACATTAAATACAAAGAAAGATTTGTTGGTGAGATGTCCAGTAGTAAAAGATTTCCATGTCAGAAAGAAGCATGTGCTATTCAAAAATGCCTTCAAGGTAAACAAACTCTCGAATTTTGTCTCATATCAATCGTGTTGCACGAGAAGAATACGGTATGTCAAAAAAATTCAAAGTTAATTTTGTCATTAACCTTATTAAACTTAAGCTTATCTTTATGTCAATTTTATTCTGGCCTGAAACTCAAATTGTTGATTTAGTGGACCGCAAAAATTCTTATATCGGAACATCATCTCAGGTAATACCGGCTGGTATCCAGGGTTCTGTTCATACTAATGGGTGTGCCAAGACTTCCATTATCTTGTTACAAGTGAAATGAAAATGGACCAAAAGTTTACATTCATACTAGCATAATGTTTTTCAAACAGTTTTCAACAGCCCATACCTGGGGGGTGGGGGGGGGGGTACTCGATATATCCTTGGGTGGGGAGGTGCGGCTCAGCCCCTCATACCCTGACCCTGTTTAAGACAAAAATCGCTGATTTTCCCACCCTGTTTAAGACAGAATTCCGATATTTGATACCCAGTTTAAGACATTCGTAGAACATAAGCGCAGGCTGTTTATCGTCTAAGAACAGGGTTATGTGTTCCTGTCTAAGAAAAGATACCCTGTTTAAGACAAAAATTGATAAAATCAATACCCTGTTTAAGACAAAAATCCCGAAAAACATACCCTGGCTGGCTGCACGTCCTCATTAAGCCCTTAAAAGGAAGTACCCCCCCCCCCCCCGGGGGCCCATACTAAACCATCTAAAAAGCATTTCTTGTAATGCAATTCCCTTTATACTCCACTCAGTATGAACCAAAAATGATTTATATCCCTTCACACCCAATGGAGAGTTGTTGGAAATCTGTTGGAATTTCTAAAGGAAGGTATGAACCAAAATGGGAATTTCCAGAGGGGGTTCAAACAAAGAGAATCCTTTATTGGGTTGGGGAGGGTGGTGGAGTATGGATATTTTGTGGACCAGTATGTTTTCCATTCTTTTATGTTCAAGAAATGGAGATAGCAGCCCCTTAAATACAACAATTGGTACATTGTAAGCTCTTCTTAACAAACTAATCATTGAATCAAATGTGTCTCTTCAACCTTCACTACTAGAGTACAACTATCAAGAAGATAGATGCCAGCAGGTGATTGAGACAATGAAGAAGTGCTGTTCCAGGAATTCAGCGATTAACACTGAACTGTGCTTGGGCTTCAAAACAGAGCTTGAAGAACAAAAACTGGTGGCAACCAACAAGAAAACTTAGAAACTTGCACTTCTATGTTTCTCTTTGTATTCAGACTATACAGATGATCAAACCGAGGACAAGTATAAGGACAGATTTGCCATTCAAAGTCAGTGGCAGATCCAGACCTTCGGGGGGTGGGAGGGAAGGAACGGTCTCCAAAAAAATTGTTTTCAGTTTGGTCTAAAAATAAGGGGTGAGGGGTGGGGGGGGGGGCTGGATCTGCCACTGAGAGTAGTAGGATTGTCATGAATGGGGGAAGTTTCATACCAACGGAGAACACCAGAGCTTGGGAATCTTGCCTTTTCTTCGAGGGTGATGCTAGGTGGGTTCATCCTTCTAGCCAAGCCAACTTTTGGCATCTCATTTAAACGGTTTACCATGTTTTGTATAAAGAAAAATATGTATGAAAAGTTGGCCAGCCCAGGGTAGCTCAGGTAGGCTGGTGACCTGTTACCTGGGACAACTTTTCTCCTTATAAGTGCAAGGTGCAGATGGGTACAACTACTGATTGTGTGTAGGAATCATTTAAAGTACTTTTTAATCTCCTTTATTATATTCTTATCATGTGCTAGTGCAGTGTGCTTGTTTGATACAATACCAGTATGAAGAAGGTATATTAAAACTAAATTGTATAAAACTAAAAGCATTCAACTAATAAATTGTTGAAGATCCAAAAATATATTCCGAAGTGGTTTCAGTTTCTTGGACAGTTCTTAGCAATAAAAACTTGTAGTAATATTAGAATGCCACCATAAACTTTCAAAATAACGTAGATCCTAGGGTGACATAAATCACAAAATTACAAAATTGTGACTGCTTGCCAAGAGAGTTTGACTTCAATGCTTGAAGAAGACTAAAAGAAAAGTTATTCTAAAATCTTGCAAATTATGGTCATCTTAAGTAACTACTTAACTAATAAGTCACAATACAAGTGATAAAACACTATAGCAAAGCATTTTTTGGGCTGTGAGCACTTGCATCTTGGTGATAACATGTGTCACAATTGTTTAATAATAATTCCAATATTGTCATAAATTTATAATGCAAGGCCGAGCAGAAATCCACCAGCAAATCCTGAAGCTGCAGCCATGTTACGTCGAGCATATTTATAACCCTGTTGAGAATAAAATGATGAAGAATTTATAATGCACCCAGGAAATAACAACTTTCAAGTTTCAAGTTTAAAAAAATCAAGCAGTCTTGTCTCATGAAATACTCCATGGAGGGAAATAATAGTAATAATCAACTGAACAGTAATAGAGTAATACTTGACAGACTGTATTTAACCTATCTTGTCAAATGAAAATTTAAACCTCTTCCTACCCTATTTGCAAGTGCAATAACTCCTTTCTCAACATCATCACTTTTTCGCATCTTTTTCACTTGTTTTCCAACTTTGTGTGTGATCTTATCCACATCTTTTTCCATTCTCTTCCAGTTTATGTTGATATAGCCTGCCCTATGAGCTACCTAAATGGCAATAACATGACAAAGTGCATATTAGGAAAGTAAAATAATCAGAATTGGCTGTTTTCTCACTAGAGACGGATTATCCATCTTAAAAATCCGTCAACATTGACGGGAAATCAGATGGATAAAGTCAGGTGGATTGTCCATCCAAAATTAAGACTGTTCCTTTTTCAAATTAAGACGACTATTATCAGCTTGATGTGAATTCTCCAATGGATAACTCGTTTCTGATGGATAATCATCTCTAGTATGAAAACGGCCATTATCAGACAATACAAACATTGAGAACTTATTTTTAACTTTAAAGTCCTTATACAAAAGTTGATTTAACAAACATTCTTTAGTGAAAAGTTGGAGGAAAATACCATCTTTTGACAACCCATATGTTTAACAGACCATTTGCATGATGATGTCATTTTACTACCACGACCAGAATCCTTCAGAATTTTTTTTTCTTGAACAAATTAGGGCTTTTGTTATTTAAACCTTGCTTGGATAACCAAATTTAAATATGAAAGAAAAAACGAAAAGGATTCTAGTCATGGTAGTAAAATGACGCCATCATTCGAATGGCCTATTGGCAATTTAGTCTTTTAAATAGATAACCTTACTGATATTCTATGATTTTTAATTCCACAAATCCTGGCTACAGATCTTCTGTTTTCACGTGTGACAAGAAAACAATATAAATATTTTTTTGTGTTATATGAAAATTTTACAATAAAGATTACACATAAGGAAACAGAAATTATTATAATATTATTGAAACAAAGTACTACCCTTTTGTGACTATCAGACAGTTCTGTCTTAAGACATTTTGTTCATGCACTCTTAAGTGGTGAAGCCAAAATCCATTACTTAGCTGGCCAGTGAATTGCCCACCACGGCAAAAAACCAAAAGAAAAGCAGTCAATGTATTCATTCAGTCCCCAGCCTTGGTGAAGGGAATGTAGGTTGTGGATTTATATACCTGTAAAACAAGAATTCCTCCCCCAATCATGGACAGTGTGAGCTTGCCAACTCTTTTAAAAAGGTACCCTGCAAACCTAGAAAGAGGAAAACCAAATGAGTTGCACTTGAGTTGCCATTAATTTGTGATAAAGGTCATACGTGCAAGCTGTACTGTTCATGATGGCTAGGATTCAAATATGAGAATCTCCTAATGGAATCTTCGTCAACAGAGAGAGGGTGACTATTTTATACAGTGAGGCTGAAACATCGTTAATAATTATTTGTTGTCTATCATTTTTGGCAATATACCCAAATATGCCTTGGGATTAAGGAGATATATGTGATGAGAGGTTAGGGATAGTGGTTTGACCATAAATGAACACTGTAAGCCCCAATAACTGAAACAAATTCTCCAAACCAATGTCATCTGCCTTGAGAACTAAGTGAGAGAATTTGATAAAGAATCACTGCAGTTCCCTTCAGTGATCATTTCGTTAATTTTCATAGTCTCTTCTTTTGATGATGTTAGGAGAAAATTTAAGTTGGTCATTCTTGCGGGTAAAGGGGTTAAGAAAACTGGATTATCCAACGTAAACACTCCGCTGTTTGGTGTCACACCTAGTCTGCTACACAGCTGTTTTTAGTGTTGACACGCAACACTCCTCCCCTGTGGGGAGAAGCGTTGTCACTGAGTCGACACCAAAAACAGCTGTGTAGCAGACTATATCTCGCCAGCTGTGTGGTCCAATCAAAAAAATCTCTGTTTACAAGCTTACCATCCAGAGACTCCTCCAATGGTAAATTGCTGTACTGCGGGTCTTTCTGCTAAATCCATGCTGATGAGTTGTTCAACAAGATTCCTAGAGCCTGGGGTCTCAAGTATTTCATAAACATCTCCATCCTCTTCGTCTCCGCCTAATTATTGTTATTTATAAGAAAGCAAGCACTTCAAATATGACAAACAAATTATGACAGTTCTTTACTTGTTGATCAATATTTTTGTTTTCAAAGCAGTGTGTTTGTTATTAAATAAGAAAGCTTCAAACAAGACGGTTGTTATTAAGTTGAGGTTATTAAAAAATGGGTAAAAGAAATGTTGGAAAATTCCTACATTGCACGGAAACTAAGTTTATTATTGATATTAAATGTAGGACAAAGTTTAATATAGAAAGCTCATTATATCAAAATGTTTGTCGTCACAGCGTAGAAAAGCTAGAAATAAGAAATACATTCGAGATGAACTTCAACATGTAGATAACTACCCAATCTGTTTAAAGATAAGAATCAAGAAAAACTTACTTTGTGATGACATCTTGAGTGAAGGAACGTGATGTATTCGAAAAATATATTGGCTTTCAGTTCCTGTTTCCGCAATTCGTACTGTCCAGCGGAATATACAGAAAAAGTTCCTTTTAGATGTAACTTTCATAAAGAGGCCCCTAACTTTTCTCCTTATAGATAAAAGATTACTTCTTAACTAAACTTACATAAGGAAAAGTTACCTTGACGAAGTATTCTCCAACGGAAATATCACTTATTTCATTTTTGTCTTTTTTGTCGGTATTTTCCTAGGATCCGGTTTCGTTACTTTTTACATAGAGTGAATATTGCCAGTTGTGTCTTGGGTATCCATGGTTTTGGACGTTCTTGCTGTTTATTTATATTTGTGGTAGAAAATTGACCAAATTTATCGCTTTTCACCTTTATTTCCACTACCTACTTAAAAATGGAGTAAATACGCCTTGTTGGGTGTTAAATATAGCCACAACGTGAATAATTTTTCCACGCAAGAGAGACGATCAAAAGTTCTTTCGTCAAGCTTCGCCAACATGAGTGAACAGCTGAAATACATCGTCGACGAACTGAATAAGGAGCCTTTCAAGAGGAATTATAATCTGATAAGGTATACATTTCACTTTTTTTATGATACTGAGAATTTCAAGGCGAATATATGACTTGTGAGCTCATACAATTTTGGAATTTATTGCCAGTGATTTTAAATTACATATGTGACAAATTTATATGAAATAAATCATATATGAGAACCAAACGAAGAATGATCCCAGCAGTTATATATTTCTCATATATGATTTATTTCATATACATTTGTCACACTCATCTCTTTTACGCGAACGTATGAACACATAATTGACTGGCTCCCAACAACAGTGGCTTCATAGCTTAGTTGGTTAGAGCATCGCACCGGTATCGTGAGGTCATGGTTTCAAATCCCGTTGAAGTCCTGAATTTTTTTCAGGCTTCATGCGTAAGTAATTTAGTTTGAGGGAAGTTTGAGGGTACGTGCCATCGCATGCACGCTTAAATGGCTTTTTTTTTCATTGCTTGCAAAAAAAATTCTTTGAATTTCTTGTGTTTTGATTTTAAAAAACCTAAAATATCACAAATTTTGTTGCAGTTATAATTAATTGGTAACAGAACTTCTTGTTATCCAATTTAGTCTGTAATCATGCTCGTGATTAATCAAATCAGAGTCCTACTCTGCGGTTGTCCGATTTTGTTTATCACTCATATGATTACAGACCGAATTGGACTCCCTTCAGTTCTATTACCATTATTTAATTTGATGATAGATGAAATTTTTCTTTCAGTTTTGATTCTCTTCAACCACTACAGTTACTGCAAGTACTAAATGATGTGTTTGCAGAGATTAATCCTCAGGTAATGTAATATTGAGGTAACAAAAGTAAAAAAATTCATATGATAACAAAGCGTAACATACTTCCCATTTGACACCATACCAGTAACAGACACTAGAAATTTGGTGGTCAATGTAATTTTAATATTATTATTTTCATATTTTATTTGCAGCACAAAATAGATCTTCGTGATGAAGACCCTGAACAAATGGCAAAGAGAATGTTTACATTCTTGAGAATTCTTAAATTCAAGCCAAAAACAGAAGCAGGGAGTCTGTAAGTAATATCTACCTTGTTATCCATAACAGTCAAACCAGTGAAACCACGAGCAATTGAAATTTTTCAGGAATGTTTGTTGTGTTACGGCCAGTCACAGCAAAGATCAGGACAGGTGAACTCTAGCCACAAACAATCATTTATTAATCAACGTTCTTGCTTGGGGTTTAGTTTCTCACACCCGATTGGCTTTATTCTTGCAACACAATAACATTCCAGAAATATTTCTGGTGTTCACTGTTTTCCCAGTTTGACTGTAAGGACTCAATTAATTCTATTCCTCTTAACTCTCTGGACCATTCTGTGAAACAAAATATATTTCTCTCTTTTTTCTTTATTCTTTATAGGAGTGCCTTCCGTAATGGACTCATCCAAGGTGACAAGCTGGTGGTGTATCCCATTTTACAATGGCTGTTTGAAAACCTGGCAGAATTAAAGAAAAGAGCTTACCTGGCAAGATACCTTGTTAAGCTTGATGTACCTCCAGACCAGCTGGCTGATCAGGAACTTTATGAGCTTCATGAAACTGTAATTATAACCATTAATAGATTAACTGTGGCAGGGTTAGCTCAGTCGGTAGAGTACTTGATTGCAGAGCGGAAGGTCACGAGTTTGATTTCCTGGGCCGGAACAATACTCAGGATCTTAAAATAACTGAGAAATTAGGGTACTTCCTTTGAACTGCAAGCAGCTAGACCGACTCGGGTGACCACATAAAATGGCAGTCCGGTCTCGAGTGGGAGATGTAAAAATAGTGCCCCTAATTAGTACTTTCGTGCTAAATACTTTCACACTCAAGTAAAGAGCAATTTATCCATTCTTAGAGACCCAGGGCAGCTGGTCCTGCAGAGAACTTTTTCCTGGGTGAAAGATAACTTTGTAGTCCCAACTAGCTGACCCTGTGAATTTGAGGTGATAGATGGTTATCCTCACACATGGTGAAATATGAATTTTTGCCAAGGTTATTATGTTTCCTGGGGTTTAAGTCACTTGTACATGTATTGATAATGTGTTTGATTATTTCTAATTAGTATTTAGAAATGATGGAACAATTTAAAGAGCTGCACAAGACAGTGGAACAACTAAGGACATCCGGATTATCAACAGGAGAAATGAAAAAGGTTAGCAGATCATTTTAGCACCTGTTATTCTAATTTTGTGTATATTGCAGAAGGTTGGTTGAGGAAATGGCTCTGGTACCAGAATTTAATCCAAAGATATCAGGTTTAAGTTCACTTCTGATGATGCACCTGTAAGTTTCAACTCCTCTTGAAATCATTACACTTTTATTTTGCCATACTTTGAACTTTAAAATTAATTTATGTGTTTTTTTAAATTTTGCACAGGATATAGTGAATATGGAGGATGAAAAGGAGCAACTTCACAAGAGAATTGACAGGATGCAGAAAAAGGTATGGCACAGTTTACATCTGTAGTAAAACACTGTGGCATCTTCGCAAAGATTTGAAATGTAAGTCATTATAACTTTATTTTTTGTTAAAACTTTTTTAGGTTGAAAATGTGAGGAACTACGAAAAGATGTTACAAGCAGCTCGTACTTTGCGGGTTGAAAGAGAGAAGGAACACACTCTTGCTCAGCAGAAACTGGAACAGAAAAACCAGGTTAGTTCTTCCAAAAATATCATTCATTTTGAACTGTGACAGCTTGGGAATTTTCCTTACTTTCCAGCTGAAACCTTTCTGATCAAGGAATATCATTGTTCTTTGGTTGTAGTTTGTCCACTCAGAACAGCGTTATCAACGCATGCAGCAACAATTAAAGGATCTGAGAGCACAGGGCGTCGGCACAACTGGAGCAGGTACAGTTGACTGTCTCTTAATAGATACCTCTTAAAGACGGACACCTTGGTAAAACAGACACCTAGAGTTGTTCCCCGCCTCTGTTTACTCCCCGATGGACATCACTTTTACACAGACACTTAATGTTGCTCCTCAAGGTATCCATCTTAGAGAGAGATGACCATAACTTTATATTAAATATGATATGACCTGAAGTGTTCACAGTTTCTTGTTCCAAGACCTGAGCCTCAGTATTTCAATCCTGTACAAATTTCTTTAGCCAGGTATTTATTCAAATTCTGGGTTGTTATGTTATTGTAAGCCAATAACAAGTGAATGAATTAATTTCCCCTGATTTTTTCAAAAATTTGCCAAATGGCAATTTCTTCTTGTTTGGGCAAAATGTACTCTACTTTGCATCAAAGAAAAATTTGATGTTGAATTTTTTTCATGAAGTTAACTAACTTGATGACAGATGAAGAGGCATTTTAGATGTTTTTTTATTTGCAGACCTTATAAAGAGGCTAGAAGAAGAAAACAAGGTTAACATGTATCTTTGTCAAGAAAAACTGCCAAAGGTATGATATTTCAGCTTCTACCTACACTAAACACAGTAGTTGGTAACAAGCAGCCTTGCAAAGATGGAAGGCTGCAAGGCGGCAGCGTAATAAAGCCACGTGTGAAAGTTCCAAGGCAGAATGAATCTTAAAGCAATGTAACATAAGGTAGTATGACGTAACTTTTATGACATAGTGCAAAACAGAGAATGCATTGTTTTCGAGTGAACACGTTATACGGAACAGAGAATCACGAGCTTTGATGGACACATGACTACCCTGCAGCCTGCGTTCTCATAAATTACAGTAATTCATGACATTTCTAAACAAATTGAACAGTGCACGTTTAGGTAAAATCGTTGGCACTTAATGATAGCTATAACTAGTTTATTAAGTTCATTTGGATAGGAAGACGAAATAGGGTTGTCTTCTGCAGGTCTTGGGGCTGAGATACATTTTTTAGTGGAGTGACTAAATTGTTAGCCTGCAAAGGCAGACATATTTCGGGTTGTCGATTCTCTAAAGCAATGACCTGAAATATGTCTGCATATGCAGTCTACAAACTTGTTAATTAAGTGTGTTAGGTTTTCAGGTCTGTAAGTGTCAACATTTCGGTCTCTATTAAAACAAGTCAGGTTGAAAATGCTTTGACTATAGTGCTCATTCATTTGTTGTTTGAATTTAAAGGAGCTGGAAGGCAAAAAGAAGTATGCAAAAGATTTGCAGAAGGTTGCAGATGAACCAGCCATGGGACAGAATGACATTGATGAACTCAACAAACGAGTAAGACACAGATACTTTTATTGCAAAGATAAAATTCTTTTTGGGCAAACCACATTTTACCAATACAGTCAAAGTTAAGATTTCTTTTGTAACTAAAAAAACACTCCACATAACTATGGTGTTACCCTAAGATTTATTAGCATAGAAACTAAGGGAAGAGGTTGCAAAACTCCTACCTCAGCTTGCAGCTAGCATCTGAGTTTTTCTTGTGTTATTAAAGGCAAATTTAAGGTATAGGAGAAAAGGGCAACCCTTGGCTAAAGCACATATTAAAATAATTTAACCATAAAGTTAGATCCTGAATTAACTGTATATAACTTAGGGTTCATGGCTTTGGAGACTTTAAATTTGGTTGGCCCAAAAACTGAAAGAATAAGACAGAAAAATGTGTTGAAAAGACAGCAATCTCGTAGAAATTGTAATCAAGGAACGTTAATTGCTATTTGTTTAAATTGCAGATCAAGCAGCTGTCTGCAGAGATCAACTCACTGATTGAAAAAAGGATGGTGAGGAATGACCCCATTGATGACAAGCTGTCCCTTTTCAGACAACAAGTAAGTGACTTTTTTACCTTTGTTACATATTAATACATAAGTTAAGTTAATTTCTAAGAGTGAAAAGAATATTCAATTCAATAGAAAGTGATAGTAGTGAAGTTTTGAGTCAATTAAGACGTCAAAGGCATCAGAGATTACCGAGGTAGATGGCAGGTTAACCCATTAAACCGCAATATCCACATACAAATTCTTCAAACTGATCTCTATACATTTCCTTAAAGAATTAGTTGAGAGAATTTGAGAAAAGATCAAAGCATTTTTCTCAGATGATCATTTTATTAATTCTCATAACCTTATCTCTTGACAATCTATGGATATCGTCAGGAGAAAATTGATGTTGGTCACTATTGGCACTATAAAGGCTTAAGAGTATTTTCAAAATTATTTGGAATGAAGAGCAAAATAGTGAAGACAGTTGTGGCTTAAGTTCAAATAAACAACTGTACACTACTTTGGCAGGCATATCCTAAAACCACTGACGAATAAAAAGACTAAGTAATCATTTTTACATGTTACCGAAAGAATGTAAACGTTCAGTCTTTCATGAATCAATATCCATCCTTAGAGGGAAGGACCTTCCATCTTTTGAGCAGTTGTGTTCGTGTTTTCATCACATTGTCTTTATATTTCTCATATTCCAAAGGCTTCAATAATAGCGCGCAAGAAAGAAGCCGCTGCAGAGAAACTTCAAGAGGCGATGGATGAGGTAACTGACCGTTATTTCATGAAATAAAAGTGATTTATTTTGTAAATGCTATGATTGATCGAGGATTTTTGGGCTTGTTAATTTCACGCCACAAGACGCCTCAAGACGGAGATGGGTAAGAGGGTAGGGGTGGTGATGTTTAGTTGTACAATCGTTCTGTGAAACGTCATTGAAATTCGTTCAGGATGGGGAGAGCTCTTTGGCGAAAATTTTTAAAAGAGAGTATGAAGCTAACTATCCTTTTTCAGGGGTTGGGGGCTGAGGGAAGGTTGAATTTTGTGGGAGCATAAACTTCTTTTGGTAGGGACCATAAGCAACAACAACGGCGACGGGAGGGAAAACGTTACATGTACTTTCAAAGTGAAACTTTGCTGAGATTACGCCACTCTATTTGTCAAATATAGCGTAGGCGAATTCCCCTGGGGTTGTAATTTTTAGTGGTATAGCAAGGTTCTAAAAGAGAACGAAGAATTCGCTGTCGTGTGGTTTTTTGACCTCTATCAGGACCATAAAACGTCGTACTGTTTTGTTTCGTATTTTTAATTTCGCGTTGCAATAACCGTAGTTCTTATTTTTATACAGAAGTTTAAACTATTTGTTTGTGTTTAACTTCAAGGTTTCCAGTGCGGAGGCTGACTACCAGAAAAAGAAGGAACTGCTTAAGGAAAGTGAAGGATCCGAGGTGTTAAAAGGGGACGAGGTATGTTTTTAAATAGCAGAAGCAATCTCTAGATATTAGAGAGCTTTGGGGCGCGATCCATTCAACCAACATTCAGACCGGTCCGACCGGGAAAAGAGGACCACCTCAAAAGGTGGACCTGTTTTTTCGAAACTTTTCCGGTTGGCCCGAACCGATCCATTGAGTTTTGGACCGAAATTTCCGGAAATTTTGGTTGAATGGATCGCGCCCTTGGATTCTAAGACGAGAACGACGAGTACAAGATTTTCTCAATAGTGAAAAGCGCTCGCGCGTGAACCGGCGTCATTTTGGCGGGAAAACGTGGTAGCTGTCGGCATTCTACTACGAGTTTTAGCGAGTGGCGGGAACAAGTTTTAGCATTTTGCAATCGGGGGAGGTCTTAACTTCCTTCAATAACGATAACAGTGCTAATTTTTTTGGTGATAAAAAGTACAATGAAGCATTCCGGGGTGTCTACTTTTTGACAATATGCGAAAAAACTTAAATCAAATCTCGTACCCGTAGTCCTTCTCGTTCTCCAATCTATTAAAGGTCTCTATTAACCTTTATATTTTGCACTACAACCTTTCACAAATACTATTATGGTCTCTTCTCAATTGCAGTTCAAGAGGTACGTGAATAAGCTGAGAGGAAAAAGTACTGTGTATAAAAAGAAACGACAAGAGGTAGGTAGCTCAACTTGCTATAAACCAAGGGGGGTATAATTATTTTCAGCTTGTCTAAAGCATCTATAAATTTGTATGGAGATATACTTATCCGAGATTTCATTTTCATAAGTCGCGTCTTTAGTTGCGTGACCTTTGTGCTGGACGCGCCGGTGTCGCTTTACAGCGACCGTTGAAATAAGAGACTTTGTATGAGAAATAAAATACTGAGATCTGCAAACGCTAAATAACGTCAAATCTCCTTCAATGAAATGAATAGAAAAGGCGTAGCTGCGATGTTTTGGTGTCTCCTTGTCGTTTTACGGCGCGTCCAGGACAAAGGTCACGCGTCACCTTTTCCTCGTAACGTGAGTTTGGGACACCTGTGCTGCGAGCGTAGCCTCCTTTTGTCTTTTTCTTGATAGAGGTAGGCGCGCCAAATTTGAGGAAGCAAAAGAAACGCTCTGCTAGCAAGGCGCGTTTTTAACTGGAATGTTCCCCTTTGCACATATTTTTAAAGTTCTATTTGTCTTTTCTATTTTTAGTTGGCAGAGCTTCGTGCTGAGTATGGTGTTCTTGCCAGGACAGAAGAAATCCTTAAAGCGAAGGACGACACATTCCAGCAACAGATGGTAATGATTTAACCTTTTTACTGCAAAATTTAACTTTTAAGAGAGGTCTAATTTTTTGATAAGGATGAATAATTTCATTTCATTGCTGCCATAAACGCTCACGATTTCATCAATGCCGACAATCTGTTGTTAAGTATGAAGTCCCTACTCACATGGTGCTCTGTATTGTTCCTTTATAGGCGAACCTGGAGGCCAAAAAGGGCGTGTCAGGTTTCCATGAGACACAAGAACAACTGGAAAATGTGTCTACCAAGAAAAGTGAACTAGATGAACAGAAGGGAAAAACACTAGAGGATATCTCTGAACTGGTAGGGAGGGGATGGATGGTTTCTTATGTACAATTGCTTCATACGCGGGGGAATGGACTAAAGAATACAAACACACAGGTTTTTTCTCATTGATAGGGAGGGGTTCCACGGTAGCATTTTTGGCAAATGCCAGAACTGTAAATAATATAGGGCAGGTTTAGGTGTTGTTTTTTATCATTACTAAATAGTAACTGGTCATTATTTTTTCAGGTTCGACAGTTAAATGCCACAATTGCCGATAAGAAGAGCTCTTTGGCTCCAATCATCAAGGAACTGAGGCCTATGAGACAAAAATGCCAGGTACCCAGTTCTCACTTTTCTTCTTTCGTTTCCCTTTGATGTCCGATGTTCATGTTACATATCGTTGCATTCTAATTTGTTCTTTTTTTTAATATTTGCCATTAATCTCTTTGTTACAATCAACTCTTGTAATTTCTAAAAGGAAATCACTGGAGAATACGAAGAAAAGAAAGCAGCGTACGAGAATTTAGCTGCAGGACTGGAGAGCAACATGTCAAAATTAGAACAGGTACGAAAACTTTGCTTAAATTTCTTTAAATGTAAAAATTCAGTAACTCTCATTGGAATGATCACACTCTAGGTTTTCGTCCACAAACTCAGAAGTAAATAATGATGATGATGATAATAATAATAATAATAATAATAATAATAATAATAATAATAATAATAATAATAATAATAATAATAATAACAATAATTGCTATACTTATACAGCAAATAAATAGATTAGCTGAGTATAAAAGAAACAGCTGGTACAAACCTATGTGCAGCAGTAAAATATTTCAAGATAAGAACGATAGAACAACTCAAATCACACCTCTCATCATTTGACTTTTATTGAAAGGATTATTTTGGTTAATAACATTCGGAGTTTTTGTTTTAGGAAGTACGTGTACTTCGTGAAGAAATAACCCATGAAGAAGGCCGCTATCATTATTTACACTGCATGTTAAAGGTAAGACAAACCCGCTCGTTTGAGACGTTTTTGATATTGTTTGACTCATTTGATAAAATTGCATTAGCCCGAGTTCATCTGAACTGTATACTGTTATGTTAATTCATTTTTATTTTCGCGATCATTCAGGTACTTGAAGTACAACAGAAGCGAATTGACGATGAACTGAAGGCTTACCGTTCCGCGGATACTACAGATCGTAAAAAGTCCTTCAGGTACTCGGATGCATGACTGTTAATATCTTAAACAAATACCTCCCTCCCCTTTGCATTTACTAAAACTGAACACAACTAACGTTGAGCAGCCATTGTCAAGCTTGCCCCCTCGTTTGAAAAAAAAAAGGTGTACTGCGTTTTAGCACTTTAGTTTGATTTCAAGGACTTAACCGAGTATCGCAATAGGTTTTTAGGGATGCAGGATTTGCGTTATTCGAAGACCGGGATTTGGGAAAGAATGCTTGGGTTGCAGGATGCCGAAATTAACCGTCGGGATCACAGGATTACAAGGTCGGGCAGTTGATGGGATTAAAGAACCCACGTGAAAATTATAACCTTTCCTGTGACACTGTGGTTTCTTTGTCTAGGGAGCAGTTTACTAAAAAGATTCAAGAACAAGAAAATTTGGGAAAGGTATGAAAGACAACAAAGCATCACTAAACCTCGTTACACTATTCAGGCCCTTAAGTTTTACTTTTTGATTCCTTCAGAGTCTGCGCGATAGACAAAAAGCTGTACGAGAAAACCAAGCACCTAACATGAAACAAATGAAGATGTGGAGCGTAAGTAAAAACCCGGTCAAAATCTTAGTTCAACAATGGAACCGTTTTGATTATCAAAACATGGAAGCGTTAGTGTATTATTAATGTAGTAGTAGTATTACTAGGGGTAATGGTGGCATATACATGTATATGAAGTATGCGTGTAGATAGTTAACGTATAATTTGTATGTAAAATCTATGTACGTGTAGTATGTATGCAGTATGTATGTAACATGTATGTAATTTGTATGTAAGATGTATGTAGTACCTATGCAATAGTTATGTAGCATGTATGTAATTTGTATGTAAAATGTGTGTAGTACGTATGCAATATGTATGTAGCATGTATGTAATTTGTAGGTAAAATGTATGTAGTACGTGTGCAATATGTATGTAGCATGATCTAATTTGTATGTATTATGTGTGTATGCGCTGGGAAAAGCATATAATGTATGTATGGGTACTGCGATGAGGTTGAGTTGTTATGCGGTAGCAAGAGAGAACTTGGATCTAGCTCATTCTCTCTTGGCGGTAGTGAGGGGTTTCAGCTCTGTAGCAGTCACCTAAACTGTTCTAAAATAATGTCTTACTCTTTCACTCCAGGATCTTGCAAAATTGTTAGAGTGCAAGAGAAACTGTATGTTAAAGCAAGAGCAAGAAAACCAGAGTGGGGCGGCTACCCTAACACATCAGGGGCAAGATGGAGAAAATTTGTTGGTACTTTGAGAAGAAGACATCTCAGTCAATATTTATTCAACAAGATAAACCATTCATGGGTAAAGTGATCACAGCGCAATTTCCCCGGTATCAAACATATAATTGTTAAGTTTCTGAGACTGTTTAACTTATCTTAAGATGTAGTTTCGTTGTGTGAAATAAAACTTCAAAGCATAAAAATCATTTTCGAAGGTGGTATTTCTTCGTGTGATTTGGATTGATCGTGGCGAAGTGTAGAAAAGCGCTAATTCGTGTCATAAGTGACGTTTTTAGTGCCCTATCCGTCGTCTTAGCTAATCTTGGTAATAATAAAACTTTCTCGTGTCCTTCAAAAGTTGGTGTCATTACAGTGTGATCTCACGGGGGTGGGGAGGTGGGGATGAGTGCTTTCACTATAAAATCAAAACTGGTCAATCTTGACCAGATAACAAACTAACTTGATAGCTTTATTAAATCTCTCTTATTTATGTCTTAACGAAACAAAACTTTTAATGTGACGAAAATACCATAGAAATTTTCCGACTTGTTGCGCTTGAGAGTGTCGTTGGTTAAATCTTCGGCAGGATTCGTACAACTTCGGACTGCCGTCACCATACATAGGTCGAGCGTGATCTTAGATAATGTTGTCTATCGCATTCACGTTAGAACCTGTCTTTCAGTTTCGTTATCTCTCTTGAACAAAGACAGTTTCTTGAGGGAACAGTCCCGCAGACTTAAGGGTCGTCGCAAAGTCCAAGGAAGTTAATTTTCTTCTTGGAAAGTTCGTGACAAGTTCATATCGTTCATTAGGATAACCTTCCTTTTGTACCATTAAAACAAGATCCTAGAAAACAATAATAAATTAGAAATGAGCGAAGTGAATGCCTCAGATGGAAGATGAATGAAAAAACAAAGGAAACTTAACTGTAAATAACAAAACAAAACTAAATTTAAAAGGCCTTGCAAATGGGTTGTACTGTGTTCTGTTGTTTGGCGGGAAGATTTCGTCAAAGCTAAATAAAATCTTTCTTTTCAAACGTTTTTGATCGAAGATGATGGACCGGGTACCTAAACAACATGACAAACGCAACAAGAGATGTTAATATTTTTCCTTTATAGCAGTCGAAAGATTTGTTCCCCAATATTTGTAAACTTTTGCTATGTATCCAAAGACATTTTTAGTCCTTCCGAGGACGAGGTGCTCAGTTTTCCTATGTTCTGTAAAAGTTCTGGAAAGCGCGCACGGGATGTGGCCGCCGCTAGCTTACTGACTGTATTTACCTTTAAAGACGCTTCGGCGCTCAGCGAGATATGAGTCCGGGATCCATTAGGAAATCGAACCATAATACTGCACATGGGTCCTGCCAGGAAACAAAGTGCGCACGTTACAGCGTCAAATCACTGAACTCTATGGCGCGAGTATAAAAGCGGATTTTTAAAAGCGAGTTTTGCGGTGGATGTGCATTAGACACGTGGTCAGTGCGTTATACAATGCAAGACGTTTTCAGAAATTTCTAAATGTTGCGGACCATTTAGATAAACATTTGAGAGTGAAAAAGAACTTCGCGCGCTGAAAGGAGACGTAATTGCGCGTTTACAGAGGGGGGTTTTATCGGCTATTTGAAGGTTGCGAGTGAGTCTGTTTCAGTGCCGCGTCGAATTGTGTTATGGGACTATTCTTCTTTCTTTTTTCGAGGGACGCAGCTATTAGGCGATTCTGCCTGTTTTCTTTTCCCTTTAACGAGGCTGCTGAGGAAGCGAGTACAAAATGTGCGCTCCAAAACTTTCCGATAATAAATGCCACACGTGAAATTGGCTCAGGGATAGAGAATTTACTCACCAGCCTGTTGTTGCGTTCTTTGGTTGTTTGAATCAGATTTATCCTCCTTTTTAGAATCATCTTCATTAACTTGTACCTCATTTCTTTCTGCCGTGTTGTTACTTATCTTTGGGGAATCTCCTTTACTAATTTCATCCTTTGTATTACTGTTCAAAAGTTCAGTTTGTGGTGATTTGATTTCTTTGTCACTAGCTTCCTTCTCAGAAGCCTCATCAAAATTTATTCCTCTTTTTACTTCTTTTTTAACATTCGAGGTCGCGCTTGTTTTGGCGACTTTCTTTTGCGGCGATAAGTCAGAATCCGATCCACTAAATTCCAGATCTTCATAATCGTCATCATCATCATCACTGCTCGACTCAGTTTCTTTTTTAGACGTAGTGCAAGCTAACGACGCCGCGATTGCTGCACGAAGCTGTGAATCTTCGGAAGCATCTAGAATTGATTCCTGGGAAGACAAAACATAGCAAACAGTTGAAGGGGAATTTGGTAATATTTCTTCTCTCCGGGTAGTCGTCTATTTTGATAAGTTAGGGTCATATTTTCTTTCGGTGCGAACTTGGCCAAACAGTTTCGTGTAACGTTTCTTGTAATACGCGTCTTGTATAATAGCGTCGAAGATACCACGGATAACGTGTAGAATGAAAATCTCGTTGACTCTCAACTACTTCACTTGAACAATGCTATAAAATTGATAGGGTTCGGTTCAATCAATCAAAACCCCTTCCCCCTCTCTCCCCCTAAAAAAAAAGAAATGACAGCTCTTTCAGCCAATATACAAGTCAACCTAACCAAATAGTCACCAGACCAATTTTCTTGACCTTTCCATTTTGAATCACTCATTTTCTGCCCATTTTTCGGGAACAATTTGTTGAAAGGGGTGTTAACAGCGAACCAACCAGTCTAACTATAACCACGTTTGGCCAATTTCGACAACAGTAACAATTTTACACCACTTCTGATGTCCCCTCCCCTAGAAAAGTTAAACAATGAAAAGTATTCCTACAGCAACTCACACTTCGTCTTTTCTTTGCTGGCGGAGTTTCTCCTTCAAGTGATGGATGTTCCAAGAGGAATGCGGCAGCTGGCACAGAAATACAAAATAAAAATTGAAGCCACTATAAACGTTACTCAAAATAATACGTTCTAAACTTCATTCAAGGATGCTGCAAACGATATAAAATTTCCAAGAAAAAACACTAAAAGTTTTTTGAGGTTTTTAAGGCACCCACCACAGTCACAGAACGCTTGAGCATCCATGAAACCCCATTCAACCATTTTCTCTCCTGAAAAAAAAGAATTAAAAAAAATATTTGAGAAACAAGTAGCAGCAGGCTAAACATTCAAGGAAGGCAGTGAGACTTGACAGATAATTTAAGGAATTAAATTAACATAGCTGCAATTGTCACAGAAATTTATGAGTGACCGACTGTACAAAACTCCTTCATTACACACACGCACACTCATTCAATCATTGAACTTGAAAATTAAAAAAATTAAGGAAATTCACTCAAGTTTATTTACCTGTTCTAGGGTCAAGTACTGCTAAATATGGATATGAATTCACATGATAAAACTGGATAAACCTCTCTCCTTCATTGCTGTCTCTGTACACCTGCAATAAATAGATATCTATTTTCATTAATGTGAGAAGTAATATATCAAGCATATTGATGCAGTGTTTTATCTGTGAGAAGAGAGATGAAAACATGACATGCAGCAGGGTATTTTTGACAAACTTCGAGGAGTTTCATCTGGTGATGAAACACTGTTTTGAATACTTGATATTACTTCTCCAACAAAATGATTTTAGCAGCTAAGGAAAAATTAAGGATGCAAAAATGAGCAGTTTTTCATCTGATTTCCAAACACGCATTAAACATTAATTTCCTGTGTAGGGGAAATAATTACAGTCAAGGCAGGTCAAGCATACCCCCTAAGATTCTATTAGTGAATTGATTAGTTGAAAAATGAATCCGTTAGTCGTTCCGGTAACTAGCAATAAATTCAAATCGGCACTCCTGCATGCGTACTGAGCAGTGAATATTTTATGAGAACTTCTCTGTATTTGGTCAGATTGACAATCTTTAAATGGGTTTAATTTCATAGAAGACATTTACTTAAATTCAGGGAAACTTAGCTGGTAGAAATTTCGTAACTGAATCGCGTGTGAATTCACGGCTCATTACGCAGGCAAGAATGCAGACATGATTCTGAAATCTACAACTACCAACGGATTCAACTTTCGAATAATAAATTCATTAATGTAATCTTGGAGGGTATGCTTGGCATGGGTTGACTGTAAATTCATACTTGTTATTAATTTGCTTGAGAATTAGAGCTCAAAAGCTTGGTTTGTTATCTTAAAATAAGAAGAAACACTGCCAAAACTGGAGAAAAAAAACTATGAAGTCAAGGGAATAATCAACCCATAAATGAAATAAGCTCCCGGTGGAATGGAATTTGATCTCTTGCCATAAACTCAAAAGGATGCATTCTTTACTTTACAACTGCTGTTGGGAATTGTGATGGGTTTTTCAGGTTCACTGACCAGAAAAAAAAATCATTTTAATCAAAGATTTTACTGAGACAACAGACCCCCTATATAATGTGAAACATTCATACTTTTAAGAAAAATTCAAATATGTACACCTTCCACCAAAAGACACTACGAAAAGGTATCCCACCTGCCAGAGAACAAAATTCTCTTTGATAACATTTCGAACTGCTTCATTGCTCCACACATCTCTGTTTAATTGTTGGCATGGAAACTCTTGCACATCTTGGACGTTTACCAAAAGCCATTTGTTGTGTTCTTGACCATCAATCTTAGCCTAAGAAAGTAAGACAAAATGTTGTACAACTGGATTGGTCTATAAAATGCCTTTCTGACTTTGATAATACCTTCACTGATTGATTAGGTGAATAGCTTCTCAAAACTCAAAAGACCAAAAATGGTCAATAAAGAAGTAGCAAAAAGTTGCTTTGAAAGATTTTTAGAGACCGCAACACTATCCAACTCTTCCTAACCTACGTCTTTATCTTCATCTTCCTTTTTAATATTGTTAATGTTACTTTTCAGAAGGTTCTAAAAGTATTGAAAATTGCTCACAAAGGAAAAATTGTGTACTACAAATTAACTGGGAACTTACAGTGTCAAATGTTCCTTTATGAAGAAGGTCAATTGGCGGTCGAAATAAGTCATGCAATGTCTTTTTCTTTCCTCTGGAAATAGATGGGTTGCTAGCAGCTTCTTGTTGTCCTAATTAAGAAAGTTTTTCAAATATGATTAAAGACAAAATCCTCAAAAAATTATTGTATTAAGAAAAATATTTCAACAGAAATTTTCACAGAAAGGGCATTAAAGAATAGCTTAAAACATTTTTTTGCCAAGGGGTAAGGGATACCATTAAGGATTTGTATGGTAAACTCAAATATTGAGCTTTTGTGGAAGTGCACAGTTGTCAGCCATCCTTGGTACCGCTTATATCTTGTAGAAAGTGTTATGTCTCTAAGCTGCTGGATTGATGCTGAGACATGGTTGAGAATTGCCAAAAAAAGAACTGGAGAGGATCACACAATAATTATAAATAATTATGGTTTATTAGAAAATCCAAATATAAATTTGATCTCCTATGCTAAGTTGACAACATACCAGGGAAAAACAAAGACTTTTATGCAAAATATAATGAAATACTCTACAAAAAGAAACTACAAGTATGTGCCTTTTCAAGAAGCATTTCCTTGGATTTAATGAACGTGTCTGGTGCCCCATCTCCACAGGGCCCCCACCTCACTGTCTATGATCTTTTCCCTGCACTTACTTGCTTCTGCTTGGAAATCTCGAAAAGCATCAAACACTGATTTTGCTTGACGTCTTCTTGTTGGATATGCTGAAAATAAAACAGTCGTCAAAACATTCAAACGTAGTTCCTTACGCACTAAATTTTAGCAAAAATGAAACTTTCGATAAAAATATAATCCTTGGTAGATGATAAAAAAACTTTGCTCATATCTTTTGTTAATAAAAAAAGACCTGATTAAAAACATAGAATTTTCAAACTAATTTATTTATTTCTGCTTAAAATTACCCTTTTTTTCTTTATAAGTACAGTAAACCTGCCAAATTATCCTTAGAGTGCCAGAATTGTTCGTGGGGGACCTGCTCATAACTGAAGTTTCTGAAGGAATTCCAAAGTGTTCCAACATTCTCAAGAAACTGATTGTACCCCAGGAACTTTTCCTGTTTGACAATTGGTTCTAATTTATATAATTTATTTTACTGATATATTATTTTCTTAAAAGTATGTCAGTCAAGGCTACGATGGCTCAAATTCTTCCACTGTGCAAAAGTTAGGTGTGAATATGTCAAGCTTTCCATCCACAGCAGTGAGAGTTGGTTTGTGTTGAACGTCAAAGGGAATCAGCAATGTTTTGCTTGATTGAGCACAATATTAAAAATATTATTGATTAAAATTAACAGGCCATAAATTCCTGATTTCCTGTTTAGAAAAGATTTAATCTTTCACTTATTTGTGTTAAAAGTAAACCAGAGCTAGAAATATAAAACACACCTTGATAAGGTTCCACTAGAATGCCTCGAGTCTGAGGAATAGGTGCTCTCACATCACCATCATCAGTACCACTTGAAAATTGAAACAAACAAAACTGAATGAAATTTAAATTTTGAAAATATGAGCTTATTTGGTGAAATGAACATCGTTCATTTAAAAACTAAATTTTTCCAGGATTTGGATGGACAAAATTTAACAGCAAATTTTGCGATAGGAGACGGTTAAAAAATTAAAGTGAGCAATCTACCTTAGCTCAATACAGTTTCTGGTAATTTAATTGCCAAGAGGCTTAAAATGATAAATCGATTCAGACACCAAGACAGGATAGAGACATTGTCAATTGCATCAATCGTTTTCACTTTTTCTCTATAAACACATCTGCCTATTTCAGGCACATTTGGTATCCGAGGATATTCATTAAGGCCCAGTAAATGATAAATTACCACGTTAAATCAAAAATAAAGAATCTAACACACAACTTACCGACTAGGAAATCCAGCTGCAGTTGACTCGTGTGCCGAACAATTCGAACTTGTGGCCTGCGATTGGGGATCCTCGCAAGAATCTAAGTGCATTTCCACTGCCATTTCTAAGTTTCCATTACAAGCTTCCAGCAAAGACTTTGCAATCGCTTTTGTGGCGCCCGTAACACTCACAAATTGATCTACAAGACTTGCAGGTATTTTCGATCTCGCCGCCATTTTGAAAACCACAGATGGCGAGCGCGGGAAATTTGTACAGCCGGGGAGGGGTAAAGTCACGAACCTCTCTTGACGGATGTTGAGATGTAGTTCTTTCAAGAAAGAGGAAAAATCAGTCAAGGTGTCTAATTAAGAACATTAGAAACCTCTCTACCATATAGCAAGAATTGTAAAAGAAATTTCGTATTTTTACGTAACAATAGTTAATACAGACTAAACTGACTCCTACTCGGACGGGATATTGTACATTTCATAAAAGGAAGAGATCTGGGGAGAGTTGTTTGGCGTCCTTGCCGTGAGTCACGGTTTTGCTTAGAACTTGGTACATTATTTCTTGTAGAAAAAATCACCGTGACAGACTTTGTTTTTTGGCAATCTCGAGTTCATCGGACCGAAGTTAAGTGAAAATGTGAACCTGTTGGTCTTTATCTTGCTGAGATCAGTGTTTGTTGTCATAATATGCTTTACTATGGTCAGCTCGCGGGGAATTTGAAAATATGCCATCCTCGTTTCCTTTCGATTGCCGACAGTGATGTTGTTTGTCTGAGTAATTTATCCATTCCTTGCCACACTAATGAACTGCTACACGAAGAAGATTATCTGAATTCTTCCCTAACATGAGTAACGGTAAGTTTTTGTTTTTTCTTCTTAGTAAATTAAGCTTGTATGACTTTGAGCCAATTCCGCTGTGTAAAAAAGGGGAGCGTTAAACTTGCAGTGGCTCGTATTAAATGAGAGCTAACATCCTCATTGTCAAGTCTATAACAAATTAAATTGACCTTTAAAAAGGCCATCGCTTTAGTTTGAAGGCATGTTCCACAGGGTATAAGTCACGTGAAAACAGTCATCAAATTGATATTGAAGACATAACAAAAGATTACATGTTTCCTGGTATTTGAATATGATATTTTTTCTCTACGAGTGAAAAGAATGTGGCTGCAAAGATTTTCTTTCAGAAAGCAAAGTAATTCCCTGTAAATGATGTTATTGTTACGCCTCGTCTTTTCTATGGCTCCCGATTTCTTTTGAAAGGGTAAGTTAAAGAGAGTGGAGTGCGCTTTATCAGCGCCCAGTGCATAAAAAGATCAGCGTTTTACCTTTTCACAGTACGTACATCGTAGTAGCACAAGGGTATTTGATCTCCTGAAAAGGTGGGAAAAGCTGGGCATTTTTTAATTTGCCTGTGATGATAAGAAACTACAAAACAACGAGTCCATGGCCAGTATAACCGTAGTTGTCTTGGCTCAAGTTTTGAAGTTTCTTGTGTACAGAGAATGTACAGTTGAACCTTTCTACAACAGGTACTTTGGGGACACACTTGGGAGACTCCCTGAGACAGATCAGAATTAAATAGGGAACTTAAGTAACCGCCTGGTGGTGGCAAATGTAAAAATGTCACACAAATAATAATATTATAACCCTTTAAGCCCTAGTATCCACTAACAAATTCTCCAGACCTCCAATTCTCCACACTGATCTCCATACATTTCCTTAAAGGATTAGTAGAGAGATTTTGATAAAAGATCACAGCATTTTCCTATCGGTGATCATTTCTTAAATTCTCATAACCTTTTCCTTTATTGATGTATAGATGTTGTCAGGAGAAAATTAATGTTAGTCACACTTGGGACTGAAAGGGAAGGAGTATGTCAGTTTGTACACCATTTTCTCTAAGATGGCCTTTGCAGAGAGGTTGTTCAGTGGCTGTTGTGATGCTCTCAGTGTTGTCACTGTTTAGAGGAAGCCATTGAATTCAAGCACGTCATTCTATAACACCATAAAGAAAGTACATGGTGTCCTTACGTTTTTAAAGTTAAATAATCAAACTGTTTACACTTCTTTACAGACAATTTTGAATTTTAATGAAGGCTCAAATAAACTTGAATAACCCTTCAACTAATCATATGAGCTGAAAGTCTGTGGTTAACTTCTGTGATTTGTGTAGTCATTGACATTTAATTTTTGTCATTATTGATGTTTTTATAAGTTTGATTTGTTAAAAAACCTTATTGTTAATAAGTGTTGGTCTTCGAAAACAGTGTTAATTTCCATTGACAGATTTCAATTCTAGAGAAGTTGTTTTCTTTCCTTTTATTTAATAATTTATGATATGCCGGCTACTTACTATTCAAGGATTAGTAAAAATGTTACCAATAAAATTTTGACTTGTCCATGCAATTTTTATTGCCAAAGTATAAAATAATTGTTGCATTTTTTGTGAAAAGAAAGTGTGTTTTAGTAAGGTCATTGTGTTTTTTTTATTGGAAGGTATGAATTTTTCCTTTGGAAGACGGCAAGAAAAAGTTGATTGGCGAAGGCTTGGTAAGAAATTGTCTACATTTTGTTGTTAATACATTATTTTTTTGGCAACTTAATTGCAGGCTTCTTTCACTCATAGTTAAAGAAGGTACCAATAAGAAAAACTTGTCAATGACCTTGTAGTTCAAGTTGATGATAGAATGATTTTAACACCCATCATATGCTAGTCATTTTGTTGTTCTTTTGCATTAGGGCCATTTATACAAGGAAAAATAAAATGCATGTTTCATTAGGCATGTCCTAAATAAGATGCAAACTATCCCTTATAAACAGCATGTGCATTAAGGTGTGACTTAGCAAAGACGCATCTTATCGAAGAACAGGTGCTAGGGGCTTTTCTTAGATAAGAAGTTTCTTAGCTAAATTTCAAACAAAATGTGCCGTTTTTATGTGATAGTATGAGTCTTATTTAGGACGCATCCTATGTGAGAGGCATTTTATTTTTCCTAGTTTAAACGGCCCTATTGTTTTCATAGTTGAAGACCTGTTTGTCAAAATGTAGAAACATTAAGATATTTTGTTTGGGTGTCTGAAAGATGCCATTGGTTTTACATTAATCTGGAAAATATTTCAAAATGTTAAATCAAGTCAAATAATTAAGTTTTTCATTACATTACGATCCTGTTCTCAGTATAATTATGTGTACAGGAAATTACATATTAATAGTTGTGCAATTTATTATTATTTTAAACTTTAGCATCGGTTGATGTTGACCGCATCTTAAGAGAAATGGATGTAAAGACATTACAAGACAATATTATGCATATCACATTCTGTAACATTGAGGCTGAGCTGGTGGGTGCATTCATAACATTTCATTGTAATATAAATGTGTAAAATTTATTAGAAAATTAATTATTCATCCATGTTAAGACCAATCAATACTTTTAATTTGAGTCACATGTACATCTCTGTTATGCCAATCCCCCAAACAAAATTTAATCAATTTGGTTAATGGATTATTAAACAGTATAATAAATTCCTACTAAAATAATGATTCAATGTTATATTGAGTTACATCAATTTGATACAGGCCTCTAATGATTGTTTTATTTCACTAGTAAAAACTCAAGACAATAGTATTAGGCCTCTGACTGTCATTTACATAACAAACAAATAATTTGGATCAATTTGAGTTTCACCTACTCCTCCTCTAAGTTACAATTTTTCCCTAAGTGAGAAGTAAGTGTTAGTGTTGACTTAAGGGAGGGATAGGTAGGTGGTCAGGTATCTAGAAATCTCTATTGATGAAATAATGTTTGACACTTATCTGACCATACATTACACTGACTAGGAATTAATGATAAAGATTAGAGAAGAGAATTTGATAAAAGATCATAAGCATTTTTCCTCTGGTTATCATGTAATTAACTTTCTTAATCTTTCTTCTTGGTGATGTATTGATCATGGTATTGTCAAGGGAAAATTGGTGTTGGTGACCCTTGAGGCAAAAGGGATAAATCCAAAAACATTAGTATTGTTTTTAACCACTACATTTTGGTTTGAACAGGGATCACAGGGTGTAGGATACGATCCAAACTACATCAAGATGTTTAAACTGGCCCAGCTTATTATTGAATATCTTCTGGTAAGGCATTGTGCTGCATAAAGAAGAATGAGAATGTTAAATGATCTGGGTGTTCATGATTTTGTATATTAACAACAAAAGCAATCGTTGAGTGGAGTCACTAAAGATATAGAGTGAAGAACTTTATGATCTTAGGTGTAGTGGTCACAATTTCTATGTCAGATATTAATGGTTTTCACAAAACACATTGATTTATGTCTTTGCTTAAGCCATTAAAATTTTTGCTGAATCAGCCAGAGTTTGTGAGACAAGGGTGGCTCCTGGTTTCTAGTGATTCTCAGTTGTTTATCTTTATGTTTCCTGTAGCATTCTCAGCAGTTCCTTTCAGCAAACCTTGAAGCAGAGAACAAGACTCTCCAAGATTCACTGGAGGTAAAAATGATCAGATTAAAGTCAGATTATTATTTACATCACTGATGGAACAGATTGTATAAATTCTGAAGTCAAAATTGGAGTGCTATAGATAACCCATAAGCCCTGTTGAGGATCAACCCTAGTAAATAGACCTGGGTAACCTTGAGAGGCAAAAACAAAACTCTTTGAACCAGTGATCACTGGATTTACCTAGTTCTAACTGAGCTATGATCATCAGTCTTAATATATGTCTGTTTTTATGTTGGTAATGAATGCAGGAAGTTGAAAAAGCTAAAAAAGAGCTGGAGGAAAAAAAAGAAGCGTACAAAAAACTGAAGAGAGAATGTCAGAAACAGAAGAAATGGATTGCTGAATATCAACTGCTGATGAGAGCTGGAGCCAGTGGACAACACAAGGTACTGCTCAACATGTCCGCGGTACCTTCTTCTGATTGCTCTTGTTCCAACCTCTATGCTCTAAAGCTTTTGTCCTTTATTTCTTTTGTCCCTTTCCCATATAACATTACAGTTATGATTGTCAGTCTTTGCTGCTTTCATTTCCTCCTTTTTCGTTACCCTTCTCTCATTCTTCTACTGCCTCTTCCTCCTCTCCCTTACCTCCCCTCCCCTTTTCTTTCTTCCCCCTTTACCCCCCCCCCCCCCCCCTTTTTTTTTTTTTCTCCCTTTCCTCCCTCTTTCCTCCCCCCCCCCCCCCCCCTCTTTTTCTCCCCCCCCTTTTTTTTTTTTTCTTTTTTTTCTTTTCCCTTTCTCTCCTCTTTTTCCCTCTTTTTTATTTATTTTCTCTCTTTTTCTCCCCCCCTCCCCCTTCCTTTTCTTTTTTTTCCTTTTTTTCTTTTTTTTTTTTTTTACATTTTTCCCCCTCCCCTCCCCCCCCCCCCCTACCCCCCCCCCCCTTTTTTTTCTCCCCCCTTACCCCCCCCCCCCCCCCGTTGTCTTTGTTTGGTCCCTCTCTCCTTTCCATTCCGTTCCTCCCACCATCCCCTTAGTTCCTCTGCCTCAAGTTTTTTATTTCCGTCGTTTTCCTCTTCCTTCCCTTCACTTTTCTCCTCTTTCCTTAAAATGCTGAACTTCTTAGCTCCCACCGTCTCCCCTTTCTTTCTTTTTGCTTCCCTTCTTTTCTTCTTTTTCTGTTTTTCCCTCTTTTCCTCCCTCCTAACCTCTCTGTTTCTATTGTTTTCCTTGTTTCCTGTCCCTGCTCCCACCTGTTCTTTACTTTTCACTTTCCCTTGCCCGCTTTTTCTCTCCCTTTCCCCTTATCCTCTTCGTCCTGCTTTACTCCATCAGTTATCTTCCTTAATAATTTTCCTTTTCCATAACATTATCCTTTTACTCTCTTTAACTTGTAATAACTTTCCTGCCAACCACTTCTCCCAGTCATTTTCCCTCATTCCTTTTATCTTAGAACTCTCTTCATCTTCTTTATTCCAGTGTCCTTGTTGTGCCAAATCATTTGTTAGCCATGAGTATGTTATATCCCATGTAACAAGACGTCATGAAGAGTACTCCAAGAAGATGAATGGACTGTTGCTGTCTTCAGCACCCATTAGATCTGTAGGTGCAGTCACAGTCGAGTCAAAGCCTGGCATGACAGAACAAGAGAAAAGCAATCTTGAAAAAGAGCTAGAGATGATAAAAGTAAGACTGCAAAAAACAGAGCAGGAACTAAGTGAAGAGAAGAAGCTAACAGAATCGCAGGTACATTCATTTGCTTTTCCTGTAAACTTGTCTGTATGCCTCTCTAAATGTTCATTTGAAATCTTGACGAAAGCTTGTTCTCTATGTGGCATGCCCAGCTTGAGTATTTTTAAGCTTAAATAGTGCATTTAAGAAAACTGTACTGAGTTAAAAGCACTTCAAAATCTGTTTCTTTTTCATAACAGAGAAATAGGCTGACAGCTGAGCATCAGAGTATTGATGAACTTAGATTGATGTTTGAAAGATGGAAAGAGGAAGAGAAGGCTGAACAACAGGTCATTTTTTTCTTTAGTTTGATATCGTTGTACATCACCTGCATACAGAAGTTGTATTTTCCTCTCCTAACTTCAGAACTGTTCACTGCTGACACCATCCTTGCCTATTCTTTTACGCTGTCCTGATGTGAGAAATAAATATTGCTTATAAATACAGCAAATTAAGAATTCAACTGGCAGGACAAGTAAGATCAAGGTGTTGAAATGTAAACTTCTGAGAAACAGCCTCAGCCAGATTATTTAGGAGTCTAGGAAAGGGTTCAACACAAGAACCAGATAAATGCTTGTAGAATGAAATGAAAACATCTATTTATCTTATTTTATTTATCTTTTTATTTATTTTCACCTTAGTTTATTTTGAATGAGAGTTTTGAAGAACTCGTGGAAGAGAAGTTTTCATGGATCTCTCCTTTTATTGTAATTTCAGCAAGAGATGGCCGAGTTCAAAAGAAGTTACCAGTATGATCTAATGCAAATGCAAACAGAAAGGGATGAATATTCTCAGGTGAGTTAAATACACCACTAAAATAACTATGTGCAAGAGAGAATAATTAAAAGTGATTCGTCCTTTTCTTGACTGCATCCAGGTACAGAGACTTGTCTGCTCCTCTTAAACCATTACCTATGCACTCCTGAGACCAAAACTGAAATTCTCCACTCTTGTACCCTACATTTGTTAGAGATTTTGTAATGATTATTGTTAAAATAATAATATCAGGCAGGATTTCTTGGCATCATAATAAGAAATGTCATTGTGATCTCTATTGGTGTTCATAAGAGCAATATTTACAGAAAACAAAGTGGTAAACAGCAGTGATGCCTTTTTTGCAGAAAGTGAGTGCTTTGCAAGAACAACTAAGTAAGTAAACTTACGTCACAGTTTCGTAAATGTATAGTTATTCACTTCTCTTTTGAGCAGCTGCTTAACCAACAGCAAAAAATAAGACAATGTTATGCATCAGCTTTCCTTGCAGTTCAACTTGTTATGCATCTGCATGGTTTCTTAATTTTATTACTTTATCTTTTATTCCAGGACAAAGAATATCCATGGTGGGATCTATAAGAGTAAGTATAATTAACATGGCCAAGTTGACATGTTTCACTGATTTTCTATTTTTTTGACCACGAGCAGCATAGAGTTAGAGAAGATCACCTTCACCCACACAACCCCTGTTAAGTTAATTTCCTTCATTGTTATACAAAGTTCATGGGATACATGCTATTGTTTTTTAGGATGATGATGAAACCGATTCTCCAGCAAAGGCCAGCAGAGGTGAAATGTCTCAGCAAGCCTTAGCTCAGTTAGAGGACAGGGTAAGTAGGCTTTTTATCTAGTTAACATCCATCTTGTACAGCATAACAAACAGTACCACAGGAAAGTACTGCTCAGTAGCTTTCATTTGAATGGTAACACTTTAGGATTTCATCCACAGACTCAAAAATTTTAACCACCTTGTACAGCGTAATAAACAGAAGTTCTTTGCCTAATCTTGTTTACTGTAGGTAATTCAAATGCAGATGGAAACACAGCAAAATTTGCAAAAGGAGATGCAGAAGATGCAACAGAAGTTTAAAGCTCGGGAAGATAAGTCTAAGAAAGACCACAGAGAGGAGATGACGAGGGTATGTGACGGAAATGTTTGACTTGAGGACAGAACAAAAATAGAGCATCATAGTTTACCACGTACAGCAAATTGCAAAGGGCACGAATTTAGCATTTTGCTTTAACTGAAGCGGTAATGAAGCAAAAACAAAGTAAAATTTAAGTCGACAATGGATTGAAAAACAGCATTTCTTTGTAGTTTCAGGAGATGTTAAGTCAGTACGAAGAAAACCTAAAGAATGAGAGATTAGAGAAGGGCCAGCTCTCTGAAGACTATGAGAACAGAATACAGATGCTTAACTCGGTGAGAGCCATTATTCAAGTTCTTTTCTCTGATTATCATCTTCATCACTGCGAAAGGTTTGAATCCAGGGGCCATTTGATAAGTGGGTTGAGCATGACCGTCCAGGTGAGGTTAGTCCTGAATAGAACTGTTGTTGACAGTGACTGTCAGTGACTGCGAAGATGACTACCGCACAGGTTGTCCAAACGTCACTGTCAACGCAATGCTCTACCTACAAATCGTTATCGTTATCACTATTTACGTGTCATAATTCCGAGGTATTTGTATGTAATTAATGACCCACCTTGTAATTCAGTTTATGCTGCAAAAAGGTTGAATAAACAATCATAATTTATTTATTTTTTATTTGAAATTTCTTTTTGCAGCAAGTACAAGACCTCAAAAAAGCGCTGGATTCACAGAAGGTAAGCTACAATGAACATAAATATGATGATGATGATGATGATACTAGTCATGGTGGCATGATGATGGTGATGATGTTAATGAATGATGATGATGATAATGGAGTGTTGATTATCATGGTAAACGTGAGGTTGGGGAAGTGATGAAGTTTTTTTAAGTGATCAGTGTTGGTGTTGATAACAATAATGATGATTATGGTGATTATGATTATGTTGATAATGATGATAATAATGATGACGACGATAATGGTGGGGATGATGATGACGTGCCTTGGTGGTATATGATCATGATAGGATCAAAGAGGCGATGCTGATGGCTACACTTCTAATTCGCACAACCAATTTTTGCAGTAAAAAATCAACACCTGCCCAACTGAAATTTTCGATGGCAATAGAAGTACTTTCGTTATCAATGCGCCCAGTCATAAGCCATTTCCACGCTGTTTTCTCGATGCTGTCAGGTCTTGTTTTGTGTAACATGTTCTTGTTTTTTTTTTATTTATTACCAGGTGGAAACAGAAAAGATACAATACACCTCCAACGCTCAACCGCCTGCAGCTCTTGGTACGTAATGGAACTACTCCTCTTCAAGTAATTTGCGTATCGGAATTGTTTTCTCTTGCTCTTTACAGTCGGGACTTACGAAAGACACCCTGAGTTCTGTAAGGAGTTCGTTTTAGTCACCATTCACGGATTCTCGGGTGTAAACTTTTATAGTGATGGACTGCAGAGGTTCATATTCAAGCCTCTTTCTCCACTTTCTCTAATAGGTGCATAGATAGGTCCAATGACGTGTCGTTTGGCAAGAAAATGACTTCCGCCGGAAGTTGTCCAAACATTAGACTGCAGTAACAATCATTTTCACAGCCACTCACATTCTCTTCTTTTGTTGTCTCCACAGCATCTGTACCTCCCGTCCCTGCTCCTAGGCAGACCAGTCCTGTTCAAGGTTAGTGTGCAAGACACAACAACAATGATTTTGTTGTTGTTGTTGTTTTGTTTGTTTGTTTGTTTTTATGCATCGGACCTGTAGAGCAATTTTCTAATGAAATTCAGTTGAATAGGTCATTTCCGAGTTCCCCCGAGCCTCTGTTTCAAAACAAGGGTAGGTGCTCAGCCTTTGATTTGAAATCTTTTTTCATTCTCATGCAAATAAAACTCATTTTCACAGGAAAAGTTGTGCACCTAACCTCATTTTGAAAGTGAGGGGGTTTGGAACTCGGAAGTGGCCTATTGATTTAGGCAAGCAAAAGGGAAAATAACTGGTCTCCAATCGGAGATAAACTTTCCTTTCACAGCTCCTGGTTGGTTTGGCCAACACACACGGTCAAGCAAGAGAATTGCATGTGGATATACGTTTTTGACTCCACTCCCTTTTTTATATATAGCGCTGCTTGTCTATTATTTGGTTACTTTTTTTTAAGGTTCGTATTGTTTTGATTTCCTTTTCTAAGCTGAACCAGTTGAACGAGAAAGAGCCAAATCTCCAGAGAAGAGTGTAACAACTACAGGTACTTGATATAAGTGCGAATGTTAAGTTATAACTGAAAAGTGTGGAAATAAAAAGCAATCGTACGACAATAGAGAGGAAACGAACCACTTGAGACAGAATTCATGCTATGGCCCAGTTGCCAAGTTTCTCGCCAAACGGAAACAGCAAACATTTTGGCGAGAGCATAGGAATTAATAACTAGGAAAAACGAATGTGGCCCCTGACCTTGAAAGTGCAATGAAGCAACGATGCATTGTAAGAGGGTTTTTTGTTGTTATTTCGGTGAAAAACGACTATAGGTATCCCTGTTATTTGGAAAGTGATAAGAAGTTTAGTTTGTCTCTTTATGCAATAAAGAAAAAGTACTTGGACATACGAAACACCTCTTTTCTTTTCACCTTGCTGGTTTTCTCCTCTTCAACATCTTAATACTGATGTGGTGCTTCATTTCTATAGGAGACTCCATCACTCTCTACGTATCCACCAACCAAAACAAACAAGGCCAGTACCGACTTTGGCGTCAATCTTCCGACGGCTCGAATGAATGGTCTAACCTGTACGCGTTTACCGGCTTCATTAAACCCTCGGGGAACTTTACCTACCCGCTGTACGTCTTCGCGGCCGGGGGATCACCGTATTGGCGTCAATACATATCCGCCCGGTCAGCCCCACCGAGTTCAGAATACCGCCTTGATTATATGTTCTACTGCTCGCAGAAGCCTTTGCCGGGAACACAGCAATACCATGTACTCGAAGCTGGGAGTCTTCCTGTTTTAAGGTCATATGTTTCAAGGTCTAAGAACGTCCCGGGATGGAAGGACAAGGGGTTGAATTTCTACGCTCCGAAACTGGCTCTTGCTGGCGATAAAACCTGTAAGTCTATACAGAATTTTTTAAGAATTCAACCTGCGATATTTTTGTTTCGCTTTGATATTAATTGCTCGCACAGGAAACTTTAAATTCCCCTACAGCATTAGCATTCCCAGAATAACAGATTAACGATTTCTTAAGTTGTTGTTTTTTTGTTTGTTTTTGTCCTTTTCCAGTGACGAGTGTTTCTGCATCGTTTGAATCGACTTTAACCACGGACAAAAGTCAAGGTTTGTTAGTCTTGTTGTTTCCAAACAGTGGAGGCGTAGTGATAGGGTGGTTAACAACTCAACTTCAGATCTTGGGCCTGTTTCTGGAAAGGCCCGTTAAAAAACGACTCCGGAAATCTTTTGTTGTTTACGTTCAAGATCGAGGCTTCTATAGTTTGGTAGACAACATGATAAAATCATCAGTCAATAAAACAAAATGGACTGGTTTCTTAGCTAGGCCCCAAGCTCTCATTCTTTATATTTTGATTTGAATATTTGGTTTTGGGCACGGTAATTTCGACAAACGGCCCCCTGAGGCCCTGTATCCAAACTCCTTCAAATTCGTCCCATGACTGTTGGAAGTGTGTTATAAAAGGCATCCAAATGAGCCTGTGAACGCCCTATCGTTCAGGGAAATCTTCAGGGAAAATTTTGAGAAATTTTAATTTGCTCTTCATTTTCTCGTCTTCTTTACAGATTTTGAGGAAAGTGAATCCGAAACTGAAGAAGAGTCTCCGGCCCCTGTCGTAGAGGCTCCTGTCATACCAAAAGTGTAAATATCTATAGTCATTTTTTAAACTACACCATATCGTGGTATGAACAGTACCCAAGGAAAGTACTGCTCAATAGCTTTCATTTGAATGGTCACACTTTAGGAATTCATCCACAGACTCAAAAGTTAGAACCACCTTGTACAGCATAATAAATGACAATACCACAGGCAAGTGCTGCTCAGTAGCTTTCATCTCAGTGGTAGCACTTTAGGATTTCATACACAGCCTCAGAAGTTAGAGTAGTAGTAGTTATAGTAGTAACTTTATTAAAGTGTCAGTCGTGACTCTTTAGATGGTCCAGTTTTGACACACTTCCCCTCACAATTTGAAGTCTCTCAGACTATTCGTTTTACTTCAGTGAGATCGATGAAGTTGACGGGAATGACAGTTTGGAGAGTGGCGAACTCGACATCAAGGAATTGACTTCGTAAGTTTCTTGTCCTCTTATATTTCTACCCAATGTTTGGTAGTTTTGCAAATGTTTCAAGTAGACATCAGCAGTATTTTAAAATATGAATTAAGAAACGACAAGAAAATTAACAACAACGCTGGCGTTCACAGCAATCCACAGAAAAAGCAAGCATACTTCGTAACATCCTTTTAGCACGTGCATTGCACGTGGTACAAGTAAGTGTGATCTATCAAAACAGGAGCGCTAGAAACACTTTAAAATTCACACGCGTTGCAAAGTGACGATACTTATGTCCTAGCTAGAAAGGGGAACGCCTTTTAATATAGTTTTTCTAACCTGAGATCAGGCTCAATTTTCGTTTCGCTTTGTAATAACATTCCGGCGGGCAAGGCAAGCCGTTAGACAGAATGTATGAGAACCGCTAAAATTGGGCCTGATCTCAGGTTATTGTTTTTCCCACTCATTTGTGGCCCGCAAGGATAGGTGAATGTGTTAGTCATGAGCTTACAGGCAGTTACAGCTTGTTACTTTGTTAATTAAGTACTTGGTTTTGTTTCCTTTACATTTCTCTTTTATTATGGGATAGCTGGTTGCAAAGTATATTAGACTTTGATTTCTTTCTTGGTTGTTTCTGGTAAATATAGATAACCTTTCAGCTCCTTTGGAATCCTGTTTCCAATTAGTTTCTTTTCTTTTCTAGGGGCGTGTCAAGTTCTGAATGGGTAAGTGCCGTAAATTTCTCACCGCGTTAATCTTAAGTAAAGTGTGTCCGTTAATTCTTAAGTTTCTTATCTAAACTGATAAATTATTTTGTTGTTTTAGGGAACAGCTACACTTGAAGCCGGCGAGTTTCGCCCTTTTCCTCACAATCAGCTTATAACCAGTAAGACATGAAACAGATCGCCAGTTACTTTAGTTAATGCGAAACTTTGCTCGGTTTATGCTGTAGTGTGATTGTTTTGGACAAGGTTGAGAAGAAAGGGCCTAATTTTTTATCCTAAAATTGCTGAGTTTGTATTTAGCGGCGATAAATTTTCGATCTCAAAGAGATGTCCAGCAGTCAATCAGATGTGTGAGGCCAGCGGGAAACAAATGAGACTTTTCTCTGATTGGTTAATATAAACCAATCTGCAATTTCATTGGTTGATCCCCTAAAATCTTGCCAGTTTCACTCGAAGCGCAGGAATATGACAGACAGCCACGGGAAAAGAGCGGGAAAACGGTTGCAAGCAACACAACAAGTCACATGGGGCTTAGATTTTACTCCTGAGTGGTTGATGAGGCGCCAAAGCTAATATCTTCAGCCAATCAAAGCGAATCGATGCAGAACTGTTGACTGAGACTCTCAGTTAGAAAGCGCCTTGAGGAATGACGTAAAACGTCAGCTTTTGTCCCGTTTTTTCTTTGTTTGTTTTGCAGCGCGTTTCAAACACAGACCAGAGGAGCTACAAGCGTGTAGACAAGAGATTGGCGAGATACTTGATCAAAAACTCGCCAAACAAGGATTGTCTGGTGTAAGTATCAATTAGAAAGTCTACCTATTTTCCTCGCTAAATTTGAGCATATGCCCCCTGTAAGTCATTATTCTTTTCGCATGGGGGGGGGGGGGGGGGGGGGGGGGGCAGTCTCTGGGGTTGTTTAGGTGTTGTAGTTATAAAATCTCATTTTGTTTTTACAGTTCAACAACAATTTCCAACTTACTGTTGTCTAATTTCAGTATAATTCTTGATTTTCTACAAGAAGAAATGGAAAATTCGGTTAGAACAGATGGTGACTCACAACAATTTTGTCCACAGGGGGTCTTTGTTTCCAACGAGCGTTGCAGTTACTATACGCGAAATCAAAAGAAAATTCAGACAAGAGTTGATCTCAACATTTTAAAATTTTGTTCAGCTTACACAAAATCGACTGGTTGATGATGGATGAACTGCACTTTCTAAGAATTTTCTTTTCTTTTGAAACCTTCTTCAACTCACCTTACTCCGTGCTTGCCTCTCAGTTTTAAGCGCTGCCATTTTTTCTTCCATCTTCTGTGAAGACATCCGCGCATTTTGCTATCGTGAAAAAAAATTCATAATTCAGGAACTCAGTTTCAATCAGATGCACAAGATATAAAGCGATAGGACTTCTTGCAGTGTATCNTGATGATGATGATGATGATGATGATGATGATGATGATGGTGATAGTTTGACACCCCTAGGTTTTCCGGTTATACCAACCTCCTTTCCAGGGGAGTAAAGTGAAGAGACCCTGAAAATGAGATCCTTCTTTTGTCTCTCTCACTGACATGTCCGTCCGGGGTCTGGAAACCTGCGTAGAATTTCCTCAAAATGCAATGCTGAATTACAGGTTTTCGTTACGCAGGAGCATTTTAACTTAATAACACTTATCATAAGTGAATTTATAACTGGTGATTCTATCTTGAAGGTGTGTTAAAGAGGTAGAGGAGATAGTGAAGAAGACTTACCGACGTAATGGCTCTGGAGAAGGAAACGCCGGTTTATCAGGTATGCAGTCAGTGAAGCTAATAGACCACTTTTGAGTTTCGAAAACCCTCACTCTCAAAACGAGGCTAAGTGCATGAGTTTCATTTGCATGAGAATGAAAAATTTTCATATCAATGGCTTCATACTGATCCTCGCTTTGATACAGAGGCTTGGGGTAACTCGGAAATGGCCTAACAAGCTAACCTTTGAATGGAAGCGAGGCTGGCGATGACTTTGTTTTGCAAGAAAGCTCTAAGAACACGTTTTACAGTTGGAAAGATGTGTGGTTATCACAGTCAACTGCAACCTCGCTTCCACTCAAGGCCAGGACACTCAGCAGGGTACTTGGTGGGTATCCTGTGGTTTGCAATGCGTCTTTGCCTTCTCCTGCGTACATAAGACATTAGTGGCTTGGAACAAATACTATTAAACAGTTTGCCGCTTTTTCTTCAGCTCCCACAAAAACTGGTCCTGTTAGTACTAGCACACCGGCAGCGAGTTCTCGAACCATCGGCGCCAGTTCTCCCTCAAACAAACGTCTCATCTTCAAGACTACTGCTACCGCTGTGCGAACGTCCGCTTCGCTACAACAAGGTCGGAAGTCACCTGCTCTTAGAGGAACACTAGGGTCGACTGGGTAAGTTTTGCTCACCCATAATTCGTATTGTCACGTGAAAAGGAAAACATCTAAAAGAGAGTTTTTAACAAAAAAATATATACGATGAGGCGAGGAAAGTTGCCTTCGGATGTGTATGGACAAGTAGCCTTCATTAGTAGCCCTTTTGCAGCCCTTCGAGTTCCTGACTAGGGTATATGTAGGAAGTAGATTTGCAGCAAAACTTACAGAGGTCGCTAAGCAAAGCAGTTGACAACGATTGGGACCGAGTATCGATTACTTTGGTATTGATACCAGCCCCCCGTTTCCTGTCCAGTCCGGGTGAAAGCTTTGAAGCACACGAAATAATGATATTTTTATACATGATTCTCAAGGAGCGTTCATGCTGGCTGGAGTTTTTGTTGAGCTTTACTGCGTTCTCAAACTAAAAATACCAGCGTTGTTGAGAACTTCTGATGGGGAACACAAACTCTGAATTGAATGTCAAAGTGTGAGTAACTTTTATGAAAAAAATTAATCAAGGTTTTGCTTTACCAGTAATTGTTTACTTCAGTAGTAAACAATTATTTCCCAGAAATTCCGGATAATTACTGAAAGTTAGAGTGACCTTAGCGGTAGCTTTAACAAGATAAAACTTAAAGTGAAAGATAAAGTTTGTTTTAAAGAAATTGGGAGTGGAAGTTTTCCTTTTTTTGGTGCTCTCGTTGGCGGGTTTTATTTACCTGAGTGTGTTAAAAACCGGTAGGTTTTTGCTCTCGAGTCTTAAGTTCGCAAAGCAAGAATACGACGTAAAAGATATATCGTAAATCTAAGGGGAAATTAATATCGACATACCATTGAACATCGTAGTATAACTTTCGTATCAAGTAGTTTTTGGGCTTAATGTTTCTAAAATTAATTTAAAAATTGAAACCTAAGTTGTTGCATCTTCTTCAAAACACGGTTGTTTAATTTGCCTTTTCTGACCTGAATTTCAAATCTAACAGAATATTATTTCTATTGTCGTTTGGTTAAAAGATTTTTGACCATCAATAATTTAATTTGGGGCAACGGGGGGCAAATTTTTCTGTTATAAAACAAACATTGTTTTTGTTCCAGCGTTTTAAAAACAACTTCTGATTTTGTTTCTGGCCCTTAAACTTTATATCTTGTTCTTTCGCATGACCATCAAACAAGTGTTATTTTCATTTCCGTCTGTCAAGAATTTAGTTTGTTTAGTTTCTTTAGTGATGGCCTCCCAAGCAGCTGTTACTTGGATCATCACGCAACGTTCCTCCCCAAATTAACTATTCAAGTGCGGAGCGTTGCGTGACTACCAGTGCACGTTTTGGTCCAAAAAGATGAGACCTCGGCCCATAACAACTTTTGTCACGCGCTGTCTTCATTCAAGTTTTGTAATGTGTAGCGTTACTATTTCTGCACTACTGTAGCTCTACTACTGGCGGCGGTGACATGACCGTTAGCGTGACAACCGTGACAGACCGTTCTTTCAGTGGTACATCTGTGACAGAACGGACACTGAGCGAGTCTGAAGAGGAAGTGAGTGTGACAGAAGGTTCACAAGAGGAAGAGGAAGGCGAGTCCAACTGGGATTCGGAAGAGTGAGTACAGTGACCTTATATGCCGTATGTTCTCAAGGGAATTTGCCCTTCGTCTTTTCGTAAATTATGCATGTAAATGCACGTAGATAGGATAACCTTTAGTTATCTGGGGTAACATAACATGGTCTGAATTAGGAAAACAAAAGGCTAAAAGGGTCTTATTCTGTAGCTCGGAGATCAGCGCGTCTAAACGGTCTCAGGGATTCCTTGAGTTCTAACTCCCGCCGCCCTCGCTTTTAGCGTCTCGTAGCCTCGCCACTAGCGCGAGTGATACCCCACTTACTCTGGAGAAAAGCAAGAGACTGAGAAATTTGTTTGTCTGCGTGCTACCTTAATGACTTTATGATGAAACATCCTTTCTTACCGCTATGTAAGGTTATAAGGGAAGGCTACCTTGTTCTAACGGTAATTTTGTGCAATTTTTACAGGGAAGCTGCCAAACCTCCCCCACAACCGACGCATAAAGTAGCAGTTCACATTCCTTCGCAGAAAAACTTTGATTCTGATTCTGAAATTGAAGAGGTGAGGCGTCGAGTTATATGTCTTCTCTGAAAGCCTACGTGTGTTTTGTTTTCGTTCATGGACAACCTACTTTCTTTTAGCTTCTACTTACATTTGTCTTGTGTTCCAATACAGCTTACTGAAGTTAAAACTATCCCTACACCTGCTCCACGGGGCGAAAAGGTGAGTTCCGCCACGCACGTGACTCGTTACGTAACGCTCCGCCCCAAGAATAGCAAATGAGGGAAAGGAGGTAGAAGGCGCGTTACGTGACGAGTCGAAACCTTTTACTTTACTTTCGCCTGCGAGCAAGCTCTCCTATTTGGGCGAATGAAGCGTCTCTCCTTTCCCCTGGTGGATTTCGTATGATTTCCTGGGTCCTGCTTAATGTTTTAATCCCCCCCCCCCAACCCCCGCCCTCCCCCCTCTCCCTTCCCTTCCTCTTCACTTACTCGTAACTTGGTTTATTTTTTAAGGACTGTTTTTTACCTTTCCTTACGCCTGGAGCAAGCTTCTCCTTTTTGGCCGATGGAGCGTCCTTCCCTTCCCCTGGTGGATTTCGTATTTTTTTCTTTGACCTTCTCGACGTTCTCAGCCCCCCCCCCCCATCCCCCGCCCTCCCCCCTCCCCCTTCGCTTCCTCGGCACTTACTCGTAACTTGGTTTATTTTTTAGGGTTCGCGAGTTGGCTGAATCATTGGAACGGAGTTTAAGCTTTGGCTCATCTGTAAAGAAACCAGCTGGCGGCGTATCACTTCACTTCCAGGGAGCTGGAAACGAAAGCAGAGAGCCTCAAACGACTATACAGAAGACTTCGCGACAACAAGTGAGAGAAACATGTCGACACATTCTCAGTGTAGCCTTAATTACCTGCCCCCTTTTGCATTTTCTTTACTTTTTCGTTTATTTTGTCCCGCAGAATGAAGATGACGTAGACAGCGACTTTTCCCTTTCCTCAGTAGACGACATGTCAACTGGCCCAAGGTAATGTGGACGAATAACTCCTGAAAAAATTTAAACTTAACGCTGTCTTTAAATATCAAATGTCAGGCGCGCGAACATTTGAAAACGTTGGCCAAAGGAAACTACTAACGTAAAACATCGAAGATTTCTTCCTCTGTCATCTCTAGTAAAATATATAGAGGATATTAAATGGCCGCGCTGAGATATGAAATTTCTTTTCGAGTGTTGAAAAATATTTCACGAGTGAGCGCAGCGATATCTTGAATGCTGCGTTCGTTTTAAATCATCAAGCAACGCCCCCACTCTCCACAGAAGCTCGTGTTTTCCGATTTGGCAAGCCAAAATAAAACTGCCACTTGTATTTCTCCGGTTTGGCCTCCTCTACAATGAAAACCGCGGTATCAAGATTGGGTGAATTTAAAAAAGGCCGGCAAAGTGTGAATGCTTAGGCGATTGACATAGAAGTTTGTAATCCCAGACGAGTGTCACTGCGGCCATGCGGATATCTGAAAAAGGCCCTCTCTGAACAAGGCGCGCACGGTTTACCGGTTATTTTAATGATAAGCGTTTGTAGACCGAGATAGCGTTTACTTGTAACCAGAAAGCGATACAAAAAGAACACTTTTCGAAGCGAAAACGCCGTTTTTATAGTTATCCACAGCAGTTTTTTAATGATTGTTTTATTTTTTCTGTCAGGGCACCAGTTCAAGGAAGAGGAGGACAACAAACGTCCGGTGAGAAACCTTAGTTATTTACCTGGCTCCTTTTCTTTTTTACCTAACAAGTTTTTAGAAAATCCAATTAAAAACAATAAAAATCCAGTAAAATTAGAATCCAATTCAAAATTGCAGAGTGGACCTGGGCGCTTTTTACAAACCCCAAAACTCGAATCTGCGATGAAACGTGCTTCATGCAGATTTTAGAGGGACATTAGGCCTGCTTTAAAAACATTTCCTAAATTTACCGCGACAAAGCTGCAAATGCAGTAGTCCTTCATCGGACGATGTCTGACTATGCCCATGTCCGACGAGAGCCTAAACGCAATATTTTTGTCTCATTTCATATTCAGCTGTTAGACAATCTCAATTTCCAGTGTTTAAAAGACCTCAACCCCAGGCCACACGCGTCCAAGCGTTCACTGATGACGATTTCATTTCCGATTTTGACGACGATTGAGAAGTCGCGCCCACGTTCGTCGCTTCTCGAAGTTAACATCGATACCTGGTGAACTTAGAAGCCATTGAGGATTTGTACACATACATATATTTATTGCAAACATAAGGGGTCACATGCACACTTCACTTGTATCCAGTCTGTTCTTACCCCGGCCTGTCCCCCTTGGGTACGAGTCTAAGTCACGTGCATAGACCTCTTTCAATCTTCTGTTACAATCTTCAAAAGAATGGTTGATGCGTAAAGCCAAGACTGGGAGGGAATGACGACTGTGGGGACGGGGTATGTGATTATCTATCCTCACAGCTACAATCTTGGACAAAATAGATGGGAAATTTGAACCCTCCCTCCCTGAAGCCCGGTTTCAATTCTATAATCGAGGCTATTCGGATGATTTTATAGGAGCCCTGCCTTATAGGGGGCTAATGAACATTCACAAAGCACAAGCTGGGGTTATCAAAGTCACACTTAAATCAGCTTCGCTCTTGTACTCCGATTTGAAAGTAGCCGATGTATTGTATGAAAGTGCTTCTTTACTTACGATTTAGCCTACGTTTTTAAGTCTACACTAGATTGTTAATTACTACGAAAAGATTCGGGTGTTTCCGTATTGCACTTGATAAATATTTTTTGTATATATAAATCTGGGTGAATAGTATAAGATTGGTATTTTTCATGTGCAAAGAATATTCTTGTAGAGTTGTAGTGTTTTCACTTATAGTTATAGAGTTGGCATACATAAATAATTATAATGGCTAGTTTAAGGCCATAAAAGAGTTGAAGTGATATTTACTAAGCTGTAAAACAAATTTCGATGTTTGTTATCGAAGAGTTTATATACCGGTATTAAATTCTCTTTTCAACAAGATGTAGAAAATTGTATTTACTTTGTCCACGAAATTATTTGTCCTCGAGCGTTGCACGCAGTGAAAAGACGTCAACAAAGTATTTTTGTGTATTTTTTATTCTAAAATACCTCGTAACTTGATCGATCTTTACAACTATAAATACATACCCATAGACAGCGCACTGTCATTGTAGATCAGTGATACGGAATACTTCTCGCAAACTGTAATGCGTAAAATGTAGACTATTTCATAAAGTGTTAAGTTTGTTGTGCCATCTCCCTTTTAGGAATCCAAGACAGAAATCGTCGTATCTTCGCCGGACTTGAGTTTTTTTTTTTATAATGATACCGGGCTATTTCACATAGCAACTGTTGCTTGGGAACATCGTAAACTCGAGACCAAAAGCAAAGAAGCTTAGTTAACTTACACCCTTAGAATTTACAAGAATAGCAAAACCTCTGTACAATTTCAACGTCAAAACGTTAACTCAAGTAGGATTGTAAGAAAAGATTTATCCACAAACTTTATTTCTCAGCTCGTAAAAGTTTACGAAACACAAAGATGTACCGGTTAAGCCACATTTCAACTAGCAAGCTTTGCTTGTCACTGAAAACGCAAAATAAATGAAGTTTTTTTTTTACTAGTTTCCATGTTCTGAACGTACATAGAAACTATTCAAGAGAACAAGGCAAAGCTTGCTGGTGGTAAAGTGACTTAAGTTAGTAAATGGTTTTGTGAGGTTACTTTAATAATTACGATAATTTAATGACTATTCATAACCATCGTAACTATTATAGTTCTATAAAATTGTTATAATTGTTTCTAATCGCTGTAGTTGCATGCGGAAGAATTCTTTCCGTCTCTTTTGTCATCACAGGAACATCAATTCAAATAAATTGAAATCTAAGGAACTGGAGGATGACAATTTAGTTAAAGTGAAATTTGAACTGGAATCCTTCGCCGAATGGAAATCCCCCGTGTTGCCAAGGGTTACCACCACCCTGCTGGGCTTCTGGGTCGAGTGGATCTTCACCACTGTCGTATTTCGCACGTTTTTCTGTTGAAAAGAAAAGAGATAAATTTTATTCACTGGAGTCGCTTGTAGTAAATACGGGCACGTTTGTTTCTGAGAAGCCATGTCTAAAAATGTAGGTCTATCCAGTCTCCTAGCCTGTCTAGCCACGCTCGAAGATCTCTTAAGAGAAAATAGACGGTCTGCGAACCGGCTAAGTCTCATTTGTTCCTTGACGCTTGTTGAGGTCATCTCCAAACGTCGAAGCCTTTCTCAACTTTCAACTTTCCTCTTTAATAGCAAGAACCTTTGGGTTAAATCTATAGGTGCTTTTCACGTTACGTCATCGCCGCCATGCTGGTGGACGGTAAAGAAAAGATCGCTCATTAGCTCGCTTTGTTTGTCCACCAGCATTTGTTCATTTCACCATTGTTATTTGCGTCTCCCGAGATTGCATGAAAACCACCTATTGTTTTGCGAATCTGAATCTTACCGCACGTGCAAAGTGTGTTCTTGACGAGTCTTTCGTGCACGTGCAATCATGCGAAGTTTGATTGCTAATTTGAATGTTACGCATGTACAGTTGTTGTTTGTCTAATTTCAAAGTTTTCAAGGACGACGTCATGGCTCTGTTTCTGAGTTGGAAGAAAGAAAACCCACTAAATAACCAACCAAACGTAAAAAGGTGAGTTCCATTTTCTTTTGCCATTATCTCCTTGTTAACTTGTTAAATTATGCTTTGTGTTAAGTGTGACAATTCAAATGAACAGTACTATACTGTGGCGTTGTTTTTGTTTGTCACCTACTGACGATACAATAAGTGTAAATGTTCTTGACTAAGGTCAGTTTGCGATTAACTGTTCGAATGAAAAGCCGTCAGAACACAGAGCACTGAGTTTCTCTTACCTGGGTCAGACAAGACTTCTTTTGCGGCAGCGATATCAATGAACATTTTCTCGGCTTTTTTCTTATCATCGCCTTCGTAATGGTCAGGGTGCCATTGCACAGCTAACTTGCGGTAAGATTTCATTATTTCTCTCTTTGTTGCTGTCCTAAAAATCAAGATAAGCAAACGACTAGTGAGATACAGTGTAAAAGTGATGAGATTTCAACGTTGCCTAAGCCTTTGCTTTAAAACGAGGGCAAGCGCGAAGCTTTTGATATGACAGTGATTTTTAATTCTCAGGCAAATGAGACTCATTTTTGCCTTTAGTCTCATTTGAAAGCTAAGGGTTTTTGGAACTTGGAAATGGCCAATAACAGTGTCTTTTTAAAAACAGTCAAAAAGTGATCAATTTGGCCAATCGGCATTCAAGTAGAAAAATAAGAACCAATCAGATAAGGGATTAGCTGACGCAAAGCGCGGGAAAAAGCACGGGAGCAGGTGAGTCGTGATTGTTTCTGATTGGGGGAGAGGCGTGAGATTTTCAGCCAATGACAAAGCCAAGAAAGTACTAATTGGGGGCACTTATTTTAGGTCTCCTTCTGGAGACGGGACCACGACTTCTACACCGAGCCGCGCGAGGATGTAGCCGTTTACTAGGCAAAGGCAGTACTCAATGAGTGTTGGTCCGGCCCCGAGGACCAAACCAGCGACCTCCCGCTCTGCAGACTAGCGCAATTCCAACAGCGGCCAGCTCTACCGCAGTCTAAGGCAAATTAAACACCGAACAAGGAAATCACGAAATTATTTTCGATACTCGGGAGAAACGGGAGCTAAATACAATGTAGCGTTTGGCACAAAAAAAACGTTACCTTTTCAAGCCTAATATTTTATAATAATCCCGTTTCTTAGATTGCTTTTGTAGTCTCAGTGCTCTTTCAAGTCCTTCCTGAACCTGGGAAGAACAAACAAACAAGGGGTTGAAAAGTTTAAATCCGCACATACAGACTTTTCTTCATCTGTCTAAAATTTTAAGGGAAAATCCAGAAATTTTTTCACCGGCCTACCTTGTGTAAGTGCTCATTAATGTTCTTCGCTTTTTGGTAATCATTTACAGCTGTGAAGAAAGAAAACGTTTGTCCAAGTTTAACAAAAGATATTAAAATCAAAATCTCGTTAGTCTTACATATGCAAGTATGCAAGTGCTCTTTCGTTTTTTTCACTGTCATACTAGCTGACATGATGGCGATTAGAGAATGCAGAGTATTGAAAGGTGGCCAAACGAAAACACCCAAATGTACGCATAGGCAGACTTGACAAATGTAACAAGAAAAAATAATCTTTTCAGGTAAGAGGATAAGAGAGCGTGCAGTTTCTAACCTACAATGTAGTGTAAAAATAGAAGTTTGGTGCATCTTAATTGGTAATGAAATTAAAGGAACTCACCTTCATCGTACTGTTCATTAAGTATATTAGCCTCGGCTCTGTCGCAAAGTGCATCAACATCGTTTTCATCAAGTTTCAAGGCTTCGTTACACTGTCTGATTGCATCGTTCGGATTTTGAAGCTAAACATTAAAAAAAGCAGAGAAAATTTCATTAAACCTCTGACCACATGCAACTTGAACATATTGCAAGGCCACCCTCCCTGTCTTAGCTCAAAACTCACGATTATTTAACCCTAAGTAACTCTTTAAGGCCAAAGATCCACACACAAATTCTCCAGAAGTCTCCATACATTTCTTTTGAGAATAGTTGAGAGAATTTGGTTTAAGATCAAAGCATTCTCCCTTTGGTAATCAATTTAGTAATTCTCATAACCTTTATTTTTGATGATCTGCTGATGTTGTTAGGAGAAAATTGATGTTGGTCACTCTTGTGACCTAAAGGGCAAGAGTGAACAGCATTTAATTTCCCCTCAAAATATCCACCCAAGTCAAGTAAAGGTCTTGAGAATAAATTTAAAGAATAATCTCCGAGGAGTTTGACATTCACCTTCAGATGGCAGTGACACATCTGTCGCCTAAGTGTTCCCGCCAGAGAAGGGATTCTAGACTCTGTTTTGAGCGCCTGCTTTAGTTTAGATAATGCTTCTTCGTATCTGCAATAAAGCAAGCAATACATTACTTGAAACGTTACTTCTTGGTGGTGAAATACCACAGGTTACCCAGTCCTGTCCAAGGAGAATTTCCCTTAACAGGGATACCAACAAGTTTCTTTTAAGTTTTTCTCAAAATTTGCTTTAAATTGGTCTGGTTGAAAATCGACATACTTAATCAATCCTTTGCTTTTAGGAAGTGTGTCCATGATGCAGGGTATGACCAAGTGTCTTTGTAAAATAACAATTTTTTCACTACTTACTCGCCCCTGTTGATCAAGTCCTGTGCTGTTGTCATCTGTTTATTTAGTTTCTTCATTTTCTACAAAAAATGGTGAAAGATACTTATTATTGAGCTACTTGTAATTTACGAGTAAATTTTGCCCACAGTCCATCTGATGGATTTGCACAAAAACTTTTGTTGGCAGCGTAGCAAATTTTTCTGTGGCAAAACATACCAACATACCAACACCTCCACGAAATAAATGCTCTTTGAGTGTCATAGACGAAAAGGAAATTGCAACAAAAACTGTTTATCTAGTTTGCTGTCATTATTTAGTGGCTTGTTGAACTTGCTTTAACAATTTGTACTAAATGCATAATACTGACCTTGTAAAAAGGAAAGCATTCCTTGTGATCAGGATCAAGCTTCAGACATTCTCGAATTTCTCTGAAAAAAAAAATCATATGGACGCATTTTAAAACAAAACCAACACTAAAGCATTTAAGTTCAATTTTAGCTGGAAAATTATAAGCAGGGATTCTCATCACTCTCAAGTCAGTACTTGTAAAATTAAGAAGTAAAAAAGTCATAATTCTGGAATCCCACCTGGCTTGTAAAACATTGGTTTGAACAATAATAAAATGCAAGTGATGAAACAGACTAAAAACTACATAACCTACCTCAGAGCATCTTCCAATTCACCCATATCATAATGTAATTCACTAAGCTGAAGGTATGCTCCTGTATTATCACTTATCAACTTTGTAGTAGGCCTGGTAAAAAAATGGAAAAAATATATGAAATGAAAAATGTTATATAATTTCCCATTATTTGTAATTATGTCTTAAAAGGCTGGCAGTGAGTAGGAATGTAGCTGCATTGCTTCTGTAGTTAATTAACACTCACTTGATATCTGAAATAGCACTGATATAGTCTCCCATTTGTTTATGACAATCAGCTCTCATCATTCTGAGATCAGGATCCCAAGGAGCAATCTGGAATTAAGAAAAAGTAAACAAATACATTTAACTTGCAGTTGAATGCTCCTAGATCTACCTGTATCTTATGCAATAAATTATGTAAGCTTTTGGAATTGACTCTGTAAAACGTTAGGCAACGATAACCTTATACCCTGTACTTAGTGAGGATTGTCCAAAAAACAATAGAGGGAGCAAAATATAAGTTGGCATCCAAAGATTAGATCAAAGGACACAGAGCACCTTTCACTCCGCTGTGGTTGGGTAGTCACGGGCAGGTATGACAAGGGGGTTAGGGGTTACGGTTAGGATAGTCAAGTCCGTCCATTTCCATTATTAGTATTGTGTTATTATAAATTTTACAGGTTAAATTTTTTTTAACCTAGGTTGATTCTCAATATTTCCTTTCTCTCCCATCCCCATTTCATAAATAATTAGGGCTAGGGGACAAAGGAAATTGAGAATCAACCTAGGTTAAAAAAAATTCAACCTGGATATAATTTTGACCTGTAACATAAACAATAACTGATTATTGACAAAATTATTATTAGTACCTCTATTGCTTTTCCTAAAAATTCTATTGCTCTTGGGTAATCCCCCATGTTCATTGCATCCCTAGCTTCTATGACATCTCTTTTGATGGGTTCTATTATGCTTAACTGAAAATCAAACAAAAAAAACATTTCAGACAATTGAAAAGGAAATAGGTTGTAACATGGAAAAAGTTGATATTTTTGAAATCTTTCCAACTGCATACAAACCTGCTGCAGTGCCTCAGGATTATCAGGGCTTTTCCGTAGCTGACAATCAAATAAAAAACAATAAGATTATTTTACTACTGTTATTTTGTAGTAAATTAACATTCTGTGTGGGTATATGATTATAATTTTCACAGAAATAGGTATAAAACAATTATATATACTAGACTAACTTATAAACAATGCCCTTTGATAGAAAGTTAAACTTACCACTGCTTCATAATCAATGTGTGCTTCATCTAATTTTCCTTGTTTGAGTAAAACATTTCCTCGTTGTAACCGTGCCTACAGAAAAAAACAAGGAAAACAACAATCTTTATAAATTATCTATCAAGATCACTCACCTCTATTACTAATTCCAACTTACTTAGCCCAACAAAACCCGAAAGAGGGATGATGATGATGATGATGATGATACCTTTATTAAAGTGTGACAACTGTAATAGCGGTGTATAACCACTAAGTAGGGACAATACAAACCACATGGTCATGGTACCCTGCGCAACAGAAGAAACCAATCCTCTGGTTAAGTCTGTTTGCAAAACAGTGCTGAAATCCCTTGCTCCAGGACCCCACCTGTGTACCAGGATTTTACTATGTGTCATGATTGGCCTGTTAGAAATGCCATCATCAATTGCCAATCATGTTGAAGGGAATTGAAATTCAAAATGTTGTCTGTCTGTAGTCTGTTGGAGGCCCAGGGGTTTCAATAAGCACCAACTACTGATGAAACGCGTCAGCCACATTGCTCAGAGAAGTCGGCTACTTTTTCTCCCGAACTAGAAGTAGCTAGTTTCAATAATGTCATGGGCAAAAACAGAATTTGTTCATGCAGAAATGTACATAACTTAGTATAATTATCATTTGTTCATTGCTTGTAGGAGTTAATTGTCTGACTAATAAATCAAAATTTGAATAAAACCCAAATCTTCTTGACTAGAAAACTCACTCTTTAAAACTCAATTTAGTCCCCTAAATGCTGGAAATAACTGCTTATTAGGGCTTTACAATTTTAAAATTTTCTGAGGGGGCATGCCCCCAGACACCCTTTGAAAATGTGGACTGTCGATACAGTCGGTTACTCTATTAAAATCTGCTGGCTACTTAAAACCCCTGGAGGCCCAAAACATGGATATCATGGCCGCTTTGCAGACATTACTAACGGAGGTTAGGTTATGTCTGCAACCCAGGCTAGATCAAGGATGACAGAAAAACAAGAAAGAAAAAAAGGATAACACAGGGATCACTGCCTCTGAAGTTGTCAGTCAACCTGTAAAACTGCATTATGGATAGGAAAGGAACTTACTTGGAAAAAGTCAGGTTTAAGCTCTAGAACTCGATCCAAGTCAGGTAATGCCGCCTTTGAACGACCCATGGCAAGAAAAACTGTAGCCCTTTTGAAATATGTTAAAAAATTGTCTGGGTCACCCTCTAAAAAAGAAATGCAAAAACAATCTTTAATCAGTTAATTACCAATAGCACAAACTAATTGTGGCAATAGGTGGTCGTAATTAGCTAGGAAATAGGTGATGACAGATAGCTTTTTAACTACGGCAATAAAAAGTGAATATCTGCAAGTTAAATATAAAGTTGTTTGCTTTTTTTAAAATGCCTCACAAAGCAACATATTAAAATCAACATTCAGGAGCCTAAACAGAAATTTCCAAGGGGGAATGCTCCTCATTTCCAGTAATCCTGAATCTTCTCAGCCTTAGGTTTATACAACTTTTATAATTATCATCTTTCAGGGAAAAAATTATCAACAGTGCTGAATCAACCAGAGGTATTTGCATTGCAACCTACAAAATACGATGCCTGGCAAATTTCTATTGGTCGGATTCTCATTAAATCACTGGCGCAACTTTCACGCGGTACTATTATGTCAAAATCAGCTGATTTCCCAACGAAAATTATACTTATATTTTTCAGCTCTTTTTAACCTGTATGAAACAAACCTTTTTATCTTAACTACTACTAATTCTTTGAGGAACGGGTATCTATCAAAACTTATATTAATAGCTGAATGTTTATAAATAACGATCTGTAGACTAATGTTACTCGCTGTGTAATGTCAAATCTATTTCATATCGCCGATTATAAACATAGCGGTTTTAGCTCCACAGAAAGCCAATATAAACTGCAAATTTGGGTAAGAATAGCCTGGGAAACGGAAATAATTATATGGTATCCAATTCGAATGCTAAAACAATCGCAATCTTTATAAGTAGGTTACTACAGTTACTACCAAACAAGATCGACTTCGGATTTGGTTTATTATATATTTAACACCAACTGAAAATTGCAATTTATAGAAAATAAGAAATAAAACTGATGAAATTTAAGAAGCGTGATCAAAACAGTTAAAAATTACAGTCGTCAAAGGACATGAAATAAAAATTCGCACCGGTACAAATTCACAGGGTACAAGCCGGTTCGATTCGATCAGAAATATACCACTCCGTCAAGATAAAAGGCCCAACTTTTTTACTTACCTACAGCAGCATGGTAATGCACTAAAGCATCGCTGAGTTGTCCTAAAGACAATAATTGTTTGCCTTGTTCTAAATGGTTTTCAATCTCCGATGCGGACAATTTACTGGAAACTCCTGCAAGAATTCGGAGGCACGTCATCATTTTAATACCTTCATAGTTCCACACCTTGCGAAAAAGATCACTTAAAAATCCCCATACGTCGAATCTGACACATTGAAAGGACTCACCGATTATCTTGAGCTCCAGACTAAAGAATATTAAATGAAGAGACGAGAAAAGTTGACTTAGAGTACACATTTTCTGTCTGACATTGACTATGTTTTGCCTTAAATTTCTGTTTCTACTCTGTGTCCTAAGGAAGTCAACCGCAGATCATTTCAGTGTTGGCGCACATTGTCGTGGTCGCGCCTTATTGGTCAAATTTTCGTACTCAATCCCTTTCCAGATCTTCACTGTAGGTCGCGATAAATCAAGGAAAATATGCGCGTTCATTTCTAGCCTTAACGAAAGGAATGGGCTTTTAAACATTAGCGAGATTTAAGAGAAAAACCAGTTTAGACAAGGGGTAGATGTAAGGGGGGGGAGGGGGGGTGGCGGGGAAGGGGGCTCCTTGGGTGTACCCAGGAGCCTATATGCACGAGCGAGCAACTTCCATGCGTTCGCGTCGCGGCGTTTTCACGAACCAGTTTATTTCTAGAACGGTTTTGGCGCGAATTTTGAATATCTTTTAAATTCCACAAACCAGTCAGCAAAACCTACAGACCTAAACATGACATTTTTTGCCTTTTTTAAAATAACGTTTAGTTTTCCTTTTTGATATCTTATACTTCAAATGGGCTCATAAATATAGTGGAGATTCTATTTTCACGGGAAATAAAGCCCTAAAATGTGTCTTAAAATATATAAACTGGTCCGTAAAAACGCCGTGGCACAGGCTCAGTATGGGAGTTACTCGCTCCAAGTTATGGGCTCCTGGTGTACCCCATCATGAACCCTGGTTTGGCCCAGCCAGGTGGTGACATGGTATTCACCTTTAATGTATTTGGAGATAGTTTAATTTCCTATTTATACCCCTCCCTCAACTCAGAAAACTTCTATAAAATATGAGCCTGCATAACAGACAGTCTAAACCCCTGGTCCCAGTTCCTCAAAAGATAGTCGACTTTAAGCCGAATTTTAAGCAAGGTTTTCTTATCTAAGCCAATCATGTAACTCGAGCTTACTGTTCAGCCTTTACTCCGAGACACAGTAATGATAACACAAAATGCTACTCCAAGCAATTTATAGGAAGGTAAAATACAAAAACAGAACAAAATTTTAATCCTGGATTAGCGCTAATCTGCCTTTCAGGAACTAGGTTCTGATACATAGACTATATAGAGATCTCTATCTGGGTCTCCAGTGACAAGCGGGTAGGAGCTCTCTGAGCCTCTCCTTACCGCCCCCCCCCCCCCCCCCCCCCCCCCCCCCACCCACACAAATTATAAAGAAGGAAAAAAAAAAAAAACAAAAAAATTTTTACTCCGGATGTGCGCAACTTTGCCTTTCTGGGACCAGGGTTTGATACAAAGAGTAAATAGGGGTCTCTCTCTGGGGCCCCCGTGGCAACGGGGGGGGGGCCCTCCGGGCCTCTCCTTTCCCCCCCCCCCCCCCCCCACTCTCCCCCACACACATACACTTCCTAGAGTGCTCTGTTTTGTCTTTGGGGCTTAAAAAGTGTAGGTTTTTTAGGAGCCATTTTTTAACATCGCAAAGTCGTTACCTGCTTGAGGGAGAATAGTTTTGCAATGAGACAATTAGACTATAAAAAATATGTCTATCCAACCCTTTGAGTCCCAAGAATGACCAATGTCAATTTTCCCATCCAAAACTATAAATTTATAAAAAGATATTTACCAAAAGAAACATGCTTTGATCTTTGATCAAATTCTCTCAGCATAATTCGTGAGATATATAGAGTTACATCTGGAGAATTTGTGATGATGCATAATTTAATTTTAACCTTGGTTTCAATTTTATTTTTCTTCATTTATTATCATTAATTAACAATGATACCCCAAAACAAAGGAAAATAAAATTTCAGCCAAGGATAAAGTTGCACCTCAACATGGATATTTGGGTATTATTATAACCAAACACCATACATGGTATTATACCCAAACTATTGTAGAGGAACCTTCATAAGAAGGCTGAGTATGATCGTGTGGGTGAACGTAGTCCTGAATAGGACTGTTGTTGTTGACAGTGACTGACACTTTGACAACCTGTGTGGTAGTCACCTTCCGAGTCAAAGTGAGTTGCATCACATCAGTTGACGGTATTATAATCTGTGGAAGTTGCATTATCCAGTGGATAGCATTCTCCTCCTTTTGAACAACTGGGACCAGTGTGGGACCAAAAAAAGGATTAAAGAGATTCAGATTTGGGAATGAAATATTACATGATAAATAGTATTGTTCAAACTATACTTCTCACTGCCTTCCTCATTAAATTTGCATAATTTCAATACAAAGACCAAGGCTGTGCTCTAACGAAAATTGAAGGGAGCCCAGTGCTCTGAAACTGTAAAATCCAGGGTGCCCAGCATATGATTTGTATGAAAAATCTGAGATTTTCTAGTCGCCCAAGGGTAAATGTTAGGCGCCAGGGGCCACCGGGCTCTGCTAGAGCACAGCCCTGAAAGACTTGTAAATTCATATTAAATTCTATTACATTCAGTAAAATTTCTAAATTTACAGAAAATTAATCATGCATGCCATGTAAGCTTGTCAAAGTCTTGGAAAAATAGAGAGAGAGTGTACAAAAAGAATGTTTGAAATAATTTTGCTCTGGTTAGCAAGATCACCATATGTTTCCACGAAGCATAGACATGTACACACATACACTGCACCAAATGACAGCTGGAACAGCTAATCATAACTTTGAACTCTGCATTTACGCTCAACTACCTCCAAAACCAGCTTTGGGACCAGCATGCACTAACTGTCCATCTCAGAGAGGTGTCTGTCTTATAGAGAGTCAAATAAAGGGTCAGTAAAGAAAGACAGGAGCCAACTCTAGGTGTCTGTTTTACAGAGATGTCCGTCTTATAGAGAGTCAAATAAAGGGTCAGTAAAGAAAGACAGGAGCCAACTCTAGGTGTCTGTTTTACAGAGGTGGAAATCTTATAGAGAGTCAAATAAAGGGTCAGTAAAGAAAGACAAGGACCAACTCTAGGTGTCTGTTTCACAGAGGTGTCCATCTTATAGAGAGTCAAATAAAGGGTCAGTAAAGAAAGACAGGGGCCAACTCTAGGTGTCTGTTACACAGAGGTGTCCATCTTATAGAGCTGTCTGTTAAGAGGGAGCCAACTGTACACTTCATTGGTTAACTGTTAACACTAAAATAGACTAATTTATCCATGCGTATGGAAAAAATCCATTGTCAAGCCAAAAGTCACACTCCTTCTTATGATATCCATCCCTCCCAAGAATTTTCTCCCCTCCATCAGTAAAGACAGAAGTATTTTGAGGATATTTACCCCAACTTGTGAAAGGTTTGTTATGAATGAATTTACTAAACTCTGTTCTCAGATCCCTCATGAACCTCAGGTCTTTTTCAGAAGGACAGTACTGAAAGTCTTTTGGAAAACCAAAAAATGCAACCAAGTCCCACATGTGGCAAGCAAGTGTCGCTGGAAATCCAATCAAATTTATCGGAGCAGATGGGGAATTTGTCACCACATAACGATAAATGGGACTCTTGAAAACTGTAGATGCACTGTGAGTGAGGACATTATTCGGACAAGTTACTCTGACATCAGATGCCATGGAAGTGTAAAAAAACTGAAGAGCAGAACCTTCAGATACACTTTTGTTGTACATACCCAACACTTCACTGACATTATCTCCAATAAAAGGAAACAGTTTTTCCTTGACATAAGCACTATAATCAGCCCAAGTAGAATTCTCAAAGTTTTTAACTGGCTGAAAATTTGTCTCCTGTGCTGTTGTTCCAATAATCAATGGTACATCACTTGCTCTTCCTGTTGCTATAGCAACAAGGGGAGGATGTGGCACTACAACTTTGTCAACTACAGCAACAGCACCATCAAACATGTTTTTAGTGGGCAGATCATTTTGATCTGTCATGCGCCAGTATGGATACACATCCCATGGAATTGCATCTTCAATTTCCTTGGGAGTAAGTGAATACAAACATTCTCGCTCAGCAGATGAGTTGTTTCTTACGCAGTTAGACTTTTTTACAAAAATCTCATTGTCACGAGCTGCATCTTCCGATGACTTGTTGAAAATTGGTGAGCCGCTCATGAGAATTGCACGATGGAAAAGTCCTTTTGCAGCAGGTGCAGCAAGAAGCGCTAGAAGAGACGTTGCACCGGAGCTTTGACCAATCAGAGTAACAGAGGCGGGATTACCTCCAAATTTCTCAATATTTTCTTTAACCCATTTTAATGCCAAGATCTGATCCATAAAACCATAGTTTCCAGAGGTTATAGAATGTGGTGCATCTGCCAGAGACTTCAAAGCTAAAAAACCAAATGCATTCAGTCTGTAATTAAAAGAAACTCCAACCACGTTTATCTCAGTCACCAATTCAGCAGACGGACTTAGCCCATTCCAATTTCCTGAGCAATACAGCAAGTATCCACCGTGAATGTATACTAGCACGGGCAGCAACTTTTCACTGGGCCTTTTCTTTGGCGTCCAAACATTAATAAACAAACAGTCTTCGGTACCGATGACTCTGGTGGGATCCGTTTTGTTTAGGACATCTTGCTGGGCACACATAGTTCCAAATTCACTTGCTTCAAAAGTTCCTCTCCAGCAATTGTTTATTTTACAAGCAATAGGCGCCTTCCAACGCAAATCTCCTTCGGGAGCCAGTGCATACGGAATGCCCTTGAACACAACAGCATCATTCTCGAATATTCCACGCACTGAACCACTCTTGAGTTCAACTTTGTTGCTCTGAGTTTCCTCAGCATTTTCGTATTCCTTTACTTTGCGCGAGAAATAATAATACAAAAGCCCTCCTAAGATGGCGATGAAAAGAATGACTACAAACACAAGTGCACAGCGTCTTGTTCTGCGCTGTCGAGCCAAACGGATCCGTGAATCGAGTGAACTATAATGTACACCATCTTGTATTTCCATGTAAGAGTCGGAATGTTTTCGATCAGGAAGAAAAGGTCTCGTTTCTTGCGATTTTCGCATTGTTGAAGAGTTCCCATCGGTAGATTTGTAGTCGCCATGCATGCGCACGTGACACGTAATTTACTATCAATAGAAGCGACATGTCACGCACCTGTCATGCTGTACAAAGTTCTTAGAACCCACTCGTCTCAGTGTCGATACTATTATTACAAATGCATGTACTAACATGATCTCCCTCTTCACACGAAAAAAACTACTGACTAGGTGTTAAATCCATTATAAACATCAAGTAAGTTTGTTTAGCTCGTTGACTCTTATGCACCCGTGGGTGTCAATGATACCGAGAAATATTGCAAAAGTTAAAAATTACTTAAGTAAGTTTCAAGTTTGAGGGAAAATTTGGATTCCATGGAAGGCTGGAATCCAGCACAGCCAAAACAGACTGATGGAATTTGGGACAAGATACAGACAAAACCAAGGCTATGGTGTTCAGACCGAATTCTGGAGACATGAAAAAAAAAACAACAAAACGAAACAAAACAAAAACAATCAAAGCGTACCTTACACCTAACTGAAGCGTCTGAGTCAATTTGCAGGTTGCAGGTTGCAGGTTGCAGGTTGCAGGTTGAAGGTTGCAAGTCAGAATTTGAAGAACGCGCGAACGGTCAACGCTAAAGTGAAAACACACGAACAGCCTGATTTTAAAGCGAGCAATGTTCAAACGAAGACAGAGTTATAATTCAGTTTAAGGTCGGATGCTGTGCAATATATGCCCGGGGGGAGGGGGGGGGGGAGGCACTTGAGGGAAGTTTGGGTGTAGGTGAGCCGCCAAGGCCTTCAAACCCTGACCCTGTTTAAGACAAAATCCGTTCATTTTTGCCACCCTGTTTAAAACAAGAGAGTGTTTTTTGTGACTGTTTTAGACTGTAGCCCAAATGCCCTGTTTAGGGAGATATTTTCTTTTTAGATAGAATAAAATACAATACAAAATGGGGAAAATATATATATTTAATTTTTTTGCGGAATCACATGAAAATTTTTTCGACATTACTGACAGAACAAACTGAATTATTTTAAAAAAAACATCGTTACACACGTAGACCGCACACCGCCAAACTTCACACCCCGTTTAAGACTGAAAAGCATACCCTGTTCAACGGCACAACAAAAAGAAAGCAAAATATTGATGTAATTGCCGATCTGGCGACGAATTACATCCGTCCGGCCCTTAATGTGTGCTCTCTCTAGGTACCTTCTTTTTGTTTTGTTCCTTTGAAAGTGTACTGTTTTGAAAGCATTATAACATGTTATAAGCACTTCCGGCGCGACCTTGTGTCACATATCAAATATCTAACGCCGTTAGCCGGCACGTGGAAATTTTCACATCGGGTTTTTTTTACGATTCCTTTTTTATTTTTAAAAGTGTGAAGCTGAGAAATTTTGTACCTATAGGGCTTCGGCTGCAAAATCTAACTCCCAAAAGACAATTTCCTGGGACTAAAGATGTTTCCGGTTTGCGTGACGCTGTAAAGACAGTTTTTTCTCAGAATCACCTTAGCGTTGACCGTTCGCGCGTACTTCATATTAGGGACTTTAACATCTAACGACGCCACGGTAACGAGAACGCCGCATAAAAAGTGAATTTGCGTTTCTTCAGTCTTACTAGCGATTATTCCCTTTTTCAAATGTAGGCGAACCCTCCTGAAGCTGAATTTCAAGGGACCATATCCAAGCTCAGAAAGAGAAATAAAATTTCGTCGTTCCTTGTTTACGTCCTCCATAAAACGCCAAATTAGGCATTTTCACGTCGTAGTCGTGCAAAAACAGGAAATGTACAAAAAAGCGTGATTCACGTGCGAAGTTGTTGTTTTACTTATTAAACCAATTGTTTTTTTGTTTTTTTTTTACGTTCTCGTTGCCGTCCGCGTCGTTGGATCTTGAAGTCCCTATTCTGACCTGCAACCTGCGACCTGCGACCTGCGACCTGCAACCTGCAAATTTAACACCCTCCGAGTAAAACGCGGGGTCGTGGCCGGGGCCGGGACCCGAGTCTATCTTTTTTTTAAAGAATGTTGTTTTAGGATTACGGTTAAGGTTACGGTTACGGTTAGGGTTAGGGTTAGATATGCATTATTCTCAAACTCCATTGAATAACACTTGCATAAAAATAAAAGATATTAAGCCTCCTAATGTACAAGGAGCTTTTGTCACGAAAACGCTTGACTGCCTTGACAAAAGCAACAACGGAAGATTCTTGACGCTCAATTACAGCCGCTGCTAAGATGAGTCCTAACAGACGAGAAACGAATCTATCAAATCCACTTCTGTCGAGGAGTGATGATGAATCAGATATTGAGGACATGATTTTGTCGAGAGCAACAAAAAAGACGAAAAAGAAGAAAATTGCTGCGATCATTATCATGCTCATTGTGTTTCTCGCTTTCCTTGGAGGAATAATTTATTATTTCTTTTCCAAAAAGGCAGGAGTATCAACAATATTGCAAACAGTTGAAGTAAAAGTACAAGGCGGTTTTGTTCGTGGACAATTCGAAAGAAGCGTTGTTGCGTTCAAGGGTATACCGTATGCTAAACCACCCGTTAAAGATCTACGCTGGAAGCCCTCGGTTCTTTGCGAGACAAACACATGCTGGAATGGAACCCTGGACGCTACAAAATTCGGGAGTATGTGCTTTCAACAAGACGTTACAAACATCCAAGACCCAACAAAACTAATTGGAAGCGAAGACTGCTTGTTTATAAACGTCTGGACGCCTAAACAACGTAGTAAAACATTACTACCCGTGTTAGTCTACATTCATGGCGGATATCTGCTGTATTTTTCGGGCAATTGGAAAGGGCTACATCCAACACCTGAAATGGTTTTAGGGTTGGACATTGTGGGAGTATCTTTTAACTACAGGTTGAACGCGTTTGGCTTTCTTGCGCTTAAGTCTTTAGCAGACGCTTCCCCGACAAAAACCGCCGGTAATTATGGCTTCATGGATCAGATATTAGCACTTAAATGGGTGCAAAGAAACATTGAGAAATTTGGAGGTGACCCGGCATCCGTGACGCTAATTGGTCAAAGTTCGGGTGGGACTTCTGAACTGGCACTTCTAGCATCGCCAAGTGCTGCTGGACTTTTTCATCGAGCAATTGTAATGAGCGCTTCCCCGGTTTTCAACAAGTCATCTGAAGATGCGGCCATTGACAACGAAATCTTTGTTAAGCACTCTAAATGCGAGAGAAATAGCTCGGCAGATGAGAGGGAATGTTTGTATAGTCTAACTCCCAAGCAAATCGAGGACGCCATTCCTTGGGATGTATATCCTTACTGGCGAATGGCTGATCTTATGGATCTACCCACAAAGAATCACTTCGATGGCGCAGTCGCGGTGGTCGACAAAACTATCGTAGCGCAACCCCCTCTTGTTGCTATGGAATCCAGAAAAGCAAATGATGTACCCCTGATTATAGGAACAACAGCTCAAGAAATTAATATTTCGCCAGTAAAAACCTTCGGGAACTCAGCTTTCAGAGACTATAAGGACCATGTTGAGGAAAAGCTGCGTCCATTTCTTGGCAACGATGTGGATGAAGTATTGAGTATGTACAACGACAGTCTGGCTGAAAGTGGCTCCCTTCAGTTTGCCTTCTCATCAATGGTGTCAGACCTGCGTGAAACATGTCCCACGAATGTGCTCGCGCTGAATGCTTCCAAAGGTTTTAAGAGCCCCGTGTATAGATACGTAATTACCAACAGTCCCTCCACTCCAATCAATGTATTTGGTTACCCGGCCTCTCTCGCATGCCATATATGGGATCAAGTCGCCTTTTTTGGTTTTCCCGCTGAGTTGAAGTATACACCATCGGAGAAGGACAAAAGATTTATGAAAGACCTCAGAAGGCAATTCGGTGAATTCATTCACAAAGGAACTGTTAACGACAAATCGTGGAAAAGGTACCCTGAAAGCACCGCCCTCTTCACTAATGACGGAGTCACCGTAATTAAAGAGGACTACCATAAGAGAGAATGTGATTTCTGGATTAAAAATGGCTTTTTTTCGTATGGATGGATCAACTGATTTACTCTTTCACTGATAGTTACACTTCACATGCATTGTTACCATAACTGTAAAACAATGGTAATAACGATAAACAATGTTGTGGTATAGCAATAAGGCATGTAGCAGCTACTGTAGAGTCTTCTTTAAGGATACGGACACGTAAAGGGTAGTACTTCTAGTAAAGAATTGTCACACCAATATAAACAATACTGAAGCCCAGCCTAGTCCCTAGTCGTTCTCTCTTGCTCCGTTGTCCGCGCGAAGTCTGGGAGACTCTACGCATGCTCATTACGTTTTTCCGCCCTGAAGTTCTTGGCGAGTATCTCTCGGTGACGTCACAGCTCATGGTAGAGTCCAGGAATGACCCAGCCGAAAACGCCTGGGGACTAGGCTGACTGTGCCATCTGTTACAGTTGTTGTTGTTGTCATTTTCTACTTTTCCCAAGATATTCTTCTTTCTATTGATTCTCCTGGTCAACCTTTCTTCTATTTAAATAAACCTGATCAGGTGATACAATGTATCATTAAACACCTAGCTTATGACGAACGAAATCATAGTAATCTAAACATACAAAAACGAAAGATGGACAACGAATACGTTACAGAAATTATACCACTGTAAACTTAGTTAGACAGTCTAGCTCTAAAGGAGCTTATTAACTTTTCTGCACATAGCATAAGAGAATATGTAAAGGGATATTCGGGCCGCGTAGCACGGACCAGGCTGGAAATTTCAGCCCGCTTAAACACGGTGAAAACCCTCTTCTGTTCGGAAGAAGATTTGAGATCTAGAATTTTCGGAACATTTGTTGTAAAATTTCTTGCTTGCCGGCCTCTCCTAGCCTGATTTTCGAACATCTAAAAAGGGTATCATTGCCCATTTTTAACGGATTTTTACCCTAAAAAGGTCACCAGTAATTTTCGGGAGCCTTTTTTCTGGCTGAAATTTTCCAAAAGGTAAGTTTTGATTCCTATAATTTTCGGATCACTAGACTTTCAGCTAGGCAATCCGAACAGATGAAAAATTTTTACGGGATAAAAATATGCCTGTATCTAGCGTTAAAATACTAAAATACGTTTAACAATGCTATGTTTGAATGGTTTTGAACTATATTCCCGTTGGGTGCCATCGAAATTTCAGCCCGGACTGAATTATTAACGTAACCCGCATGCGCACAACCCTGAAACTTGGATGTGAAACGCTTAACTGAACCCGGGCTGGAATTCCTCATTTAATCGGCTCTTAGTAAAAGCGTTTAAAAAATACGCAATCATAATTTTTAGCAATCTTTTATCCGGGTCTTTAAATTATCATTTTGCCAGTCATATCAATTAAATACGCGATGAAGCTTTCTTCATTTAGCATTTTTCTCTCACTGAATAAATAGAAGATTTTTTTGTTGTTGTTGTTGAAGAATAGTACATTTCACTTCTCATAAACTGGGGCCATTAAACATCTTAGTATTCTCCGAAACAGCAAATGATAGATCGTAAAAGTCGTTTGGAATTCTTCCTGAAGGCTTTGTTGCTGAAAAAGTACACCAGAGGATTCACCGAGGAATTTGTTAATCCAATGGTTACTGCCCATACGTAGAAAGTATTAATGTTTTGTTCTGGGTCAGTAACAAGAACATATCCGTATGGAACCCAGCTTAGAGTGAATAAAGCAATTACCACAGCAACTGTTTTGGCCGCACGCCGCTCAGATTCCCGCCTTTTCTTGGCAGCACGTGTGTTAGCAGATCCTCGTCGTTTTTCGGTCGCACGCGCACTACAATCCTGATGACTCTTGCTATCGAATACATCATTAACTTTTCCGTTGCTGAGTTGACAGGCACTGTTGTTTCCCTTGTTATGAAACTCTTTTACTACTACTGTTCTCGCGAAGTGCACTTTGAAATGCGTTCTTGTTTTTAGCAGTAGTATTCCATAGCTGGTTAATATGACTCCGTAGCAACCTGCCAGTCCTATAAGAACAAGTATTGAAGAAAACCTTGTCCCTTTGCCAGCTATTAAACCAGATGTGCCAAGAAGGCAAGGAACTCCCCAAATGATAATCAACAAAAAAAGAACCCTTCTCCGAGTGAGATGTCGGAGTTGCCTTTGTCTTAGCGGCCACACAATAGCTAAACACCGCTCCACGCTCATAAACGCCAGATTCATAAGCGAAGCGCCGCACGTTATGTAGGCTGCCAAACGAAACGCATCTCGCAACTCGTGATTGCAAATCCCCTTCATGCGCGCGAAAGTGAGAACCGCTTCCATCGGTTGAACAACAAGATTTACCATCAGATCAGCGAGAGATAAACTGCAAATAAAATAACACCATGCCTTGTGAAGTCGCGGGCTCCAGTACACTGTCGAACAAACCAATAGATTACCAAGACTTCCTAAGACAGCGGAAAGAATATTTACAGAAAACGCGCCGATTCCTTCAAGTTCACGAATTGCGCAACTTGAATTTGACATAGCTCTGAGTCGAGATAAGTCGGAAAAAAGTGATAAATTTTCCAAAACAGCTTCTTAAGTAACTCTCAATGAGTTGTTAAAATCCAAGACTTCAAGATAATGCCTTGAAATGGAGTTACGTGCAAAATAAATGATCAGTATAATGAAAAAGCGGACACTCCTTTTCTGCCAATGGTGCTCAACATACAAAATTAGTACGGATATAGATGGTTGGCCAAAAGTATTTGTTTATGGAAATTTCATGAGGACATCTTTATTTCTGGAGGGAAAAGCTATCAATTAGATTTGTTTCATGTTTTAAATAAAAAATTTAAGGAGAACAGTAGGGTATTACCGAATGTAAAAATAGGGCTAAGAAACACTGTCTTTTCAGTGAAAAGAAAGGAGTTCAAAAAGCTGTTCTAAAGTATTGAGACATTTCATTTTTAATAACAGTATTTAGAAAATCACTTTTGACTAAACAGGGAAATAAGCTTTCTTTTTTGTTTGTAAATACTAATTTATTCAGAAGCCTTAATCTTTGTCTACGGAAACAGGTCTGTTTGCTCTGTTTTATTGTTATCTTAGAAGTTTATTTTACCGTGTTTAGTTTCTGTCTAAATATATAATTCATTGAGAATTTTGCTGGTTTCAAACACATTTGTTCTGCTATAGGTTTCGAAAAATACGCGACATTATCTTTAAAAATAGAGACGCAAAATAGCAAGTCCTGTACCCGCCTCCAAGCGATTATTTGAGGCAAAAAAGTTAAATGTAATCGCACAGTTGGTTTAATAAACCATGTGCTGACTGTCAACTTTTTCTTGTTTTCTTTATTTCGAAATGAATAACTCAAAAAGCTTAACCTTTCGTATAGGAGCTTTGCTTTTAGGTTTGCCTGAATCTAAAAACCATGGTTTTACTTTTTAAGAGCGCTACCGGACATTGGAGCTTTCAGTTGAGTGGTCATATTTCACTGCGTTGTACTGCAAAATAAATCCCACCACAGGAAAGTACTTCTCTGTAATATTCATTTGAATAGTCATACTTAAAGATTTCATCCATCGAAAGATCGACTCAGTTTTAGTAATTGTTAAAAATACATTGTTTACTTTCCCAAACAGACCCCTTCTAACGAACAGTGCAGTGTTACATGTAGTGTCGCAGTGGCTCCAAAATCTTATTAGAACTGGAATCGGTATTAAGCCTTCTGTCAAATAAATGTAACCGTTGATGATGGCTTTATTTGAGTTAATTGGGCAACTGCCGTCATTTGAATAAATTACAGTCTTTGCTATGACCATAAACACAATCGTAATCACAACTGAAGATTATTAAAACCGTCACCATCAGTAAGTCAGTCTGATAGCTTACGAGAGGGAGGTGGTCGCCGAGGAAGGGCGGGAGGGGGGGAGAGGAGATGTTATGTGAAGTGGTCGCACATGGAGGTGCCACTGTATCCCGAAAAAGCCATACGATCCTCGATAGTGCCGAAAAAAAATGAAAATATTTTATTTTTCTAATAAAATTTTGAGTGTATTCCAGCGACTCACCCTCCCGACCCCCAGGCTTAGAGCGATGCCCGCACTGCCATAATAGCCGGCGATCGATATATTAACACTTTAACTTGACTCCGAGGCTTTAGGGTTAAAATTGCAAATTTTTCACGACTCCATTGTCTCGCAATTCCCAGACGAGACTTTTGCACAAAGAAAACCAAACAAAATATAGAAAAATGACCTGAAAGCCTCTAAAGTGGATCATTTTACCTTTCTGGGAAACTGCCCACCTGTCCCCTCCCCCCCCCCCCCCCTTCCAACCCAACATTAATATTTACATCTCACTTAAGGCAAAATGTTGGCTTAGGGGAGGGGTAGGTGGGAGGTTAGATCGAACATGGGCTATTGTTTGGGTAGGTACCTCAGTTATGATTCCTATATCTGGATACTGAACCTTTTCGACCATTCTTTGATCATTGTACTGACCCATATTGTATATTCATATGTATTGTGCGTAAATAGTAAGAATATGATTCTGAATAAATACACTTTACGATGATGAGGTTACTCTTAAGTTACTTTATCTAATGGGCTTAGTTCCAGCCCAGCTCTGTGGAAACTTCAAGTGAATCTTATGTCTGTAATAATCGACTTTCTAAAATATAGCCAAAGAACTGACTTGGTCTCCAGCAGCGTCGATTTGGCATTAATATTTAAATAGAGTGATTACAATCGATGTGTTTGATAAGTTTAAAGAAATCCTTTATAACGACTGTCAATTTGGGCTGCAAAATGTGTCATCCGTACAGAGGATAAATCCCAACTTACAATGTAAAAATTGTGTTTAATTTGATAACTCCTAAAAATCTGAATTTACTTTCAAAGTACATTGTAAACGGTCGGTTACATCGAAAAGTGGGAACCTGTGGTGAAATCCATTCAAATTATTGGTATTTGGCAGCCTGTACGCTATTGCAAGCATGCTGTGTAGTGACGGTATGATTTCAATGCTTCCCTATTGGAGATTCATCAGCAAAGCGACTGAATCTCAGTGTTAGATTGATTTGTATGGAACTGGGGCATATTTTAGCTTATCTCACACAGAGCGAAAACAACTTTTCGATTCAAGTTTTACAAATATTTCTTTTATCAATTTGTGGTGAAATCATATTATGGCTAACATTCTTATACGAAACTAAAGGAGATGTATTTTTTGTATAACTGGATCGCATCTTATGCAGGGCCTGTTGCATGAAGGAGCGAACAAAATCTGGCTAGGGAAGGTAAACTGTAATTTGAAGGAAGAAGAAATTATTGAGTAGATATCTCTAGGTACTAGAGTTATATCTCAATTCAGTTTTTTTATGTTTAATTATAATGTTTTCTTTTTGGATATCATATCTCATCCTCTAAACTCTTGCTGTATGTTCCTCAGAAAGTATTAATTTGCTATTTCCAGCGTTTCATAGCGAATCTGTAAGTTTTTAAGCACGGTCATTGTCAAAATCAACAACTAAAATCTGACCTTGAGTTTAACAAAAGCAAAGCTAAATATCCTCGATATGAGACATCTTGAAATCTCAAAAACTAGCTGAATATTGTAATTCGCCCTTCAAATGTAAATGAAGCCTTTGATCTGTTCGTTAACAGGACCTAACGATTGTTAACGTAACCCATTCATGTTTTTCACCAAGTAATCAAAAATCTCTATCATCACCTCTTACGACTTCAGAAAAGGAATACCGTCATCTGAAATTAAAGAATTAGACGACACATTTTGATTCAGTCAGATTCAAGTAGCATGCATGGCTAGCTGTAACATTTTTGTCTTTGACTTAAGATTTGAGGCTGAGTAACTTTCTCGTTGTGGCCTTGGCAAAATGCCAGAAGGGTCATTTTATTTCTCCGATATTAAGAGTGTGCATACTTGTTAGTGACAAAAGGTAGTGGAATGAAAGGCTGATTGACATTGGATCTTTTATCTTTTCGCCTTTCATCGAAAAGGTAATTCAAGGGTGGATAAATTCGTCTTTGAGGTTACCAGCTGCCTCTCGCGACATTTCCATAAATCTCATTCAGGTCAGGAGCGTTCAGTTTATCATGTCATGCAGAGCGTCTTGAATGTTTGTCTTAAGCGATCAGAGTTAAAACTTTCACTTCAATAAGACAATTAGAAAAACACAGACAAGCCAATGTTTTTGTGAGAAAAAAGATATAGCCTCTATATCTTTTCGTTTTCAGATATTGGGCGAACCATGATAGACCAGAGCTTACATTTTTGCCAATTAAAGTAGTTGTAAGATGTCTTAAAACAAATTTATACCCATCGGCAAAAAATCCATGTCACACACAACGGAACGATATATTACTGACAAATCCTCTTTTAATCTAGATAATTAAGAATTTTTAAGGTAATAGGAACAGAAAATGAATATCTTAATCCGGCTCTAATTGGCCCCTTACAGCTCGTAGTCACCGAGACTGCTTGCAGTCCGCCTTTTCTCTTATTGCTTGCAGTCTAGTAGTCACCTGATCTTACTTATACACAAATTATTATATAATCAAGAAGGCCTATTTTGAGGTGTTTGTCACACATCCCTAAGATTTTATGGCTGTTGGAATGGGTCAGTGGAAAATTATAAGAATTTGTATGAATATTGCTGAACCACAAGGACGGCACAAGCGACTTTTCCATCGACATATAACCGTATTTCTTTGTCATTTAAACCGTCTTAAAAATCTTGCTGTTATCCTCTCTTGTAAAAGTTAATACTTGAAAATTGTAAGAACCACTATTTTTTGTGTTCTTTCCATTTCTTGTATTTTTAGGGTTGTATCCCATAATTTATGGCTGGAGATAGGTCACGTGAGCCCTACCTGCAATGGGCCGACCTATCTATCTGGCCGAAACATTTTGTTATTAACTGAATATCCGTGTATTCTTGATTATATATTTATCACTTATCTTGAGAAAGAGACATGCTGGGAGTAGATTTGTGTTTTGAAAAAATCAAAACTGTATATAGAACTAAGTTTAATTATATATTTTTAAAATGCAGCTGTCGTTAACACAACGCAAGTGAATTCGATAAATTTTACCCGGAATCCTCAACATAGGATTACTATTAAAATGGAGGTGTCAAGAAAGAACAATGTGTTTAGCTAATGGCTTCTTTTATTAGTATTTAGCGGTAATTTTTCATAATGTTAGCTTCCAAACTGTTTATCGTGTTGTACAAGGTCGTTGTAACTTTTGAGTCTGGGAATGAAATCCTAAAGTGAGACCATTCAGATGAAAGCTACTGGTCAGTACTTTCCTATGTTACGGTTTATTATGCTGTAAAAGATGCCGGTTCTAACTTTTGAGTCTGTGGATGAAAATCCAATGTGTGACCATTCAAATGAAAGCGACTAAACAGTATTTTGCTGTGTCGTGATGTTCCGGTAACGTTCGTTACGCTATCTGATCAATGTTAATTTTTCCTACGGAAAACAAAGACCCAGACGCAGTTGAAGTTTTAATTTCTTGCCAAACCGCAACGGGTTGCAGGGTACTTGGAAAGTGAAAATGAAAGAAAACCAAAACAAAAGTTAACTTTGTCGAAATTACAGATCAAGATATGCCCTTATGTAAGCTTATAGCTGAAACAAATTTCGTTTCTCAGGTTGCAAAAAGTGAAAAACTGGATCTAAAAAGAGCAGTTTTCAGTTTTTTTTATTTTAGTTTCTTCAAAGTAAGTTGAACAAATTATACCAAGGTACTGCTGTGTAATCTATCGGTTGTCGGATACCCTATGTGTGTTGTTTTATCATCGTTATATATTATTTACAAAATATATTTCTAATTAGTGCATTTGTAATCTAGAGAAAGTACGGTTTTGTATTTCTGTCCATTAAACCTTGTACAAAATCAACTGATTTTAAATTTCTCTACCGGCAGAAGTGTTTTTACCATGCAAAACCCGGAAGACGTACTGACGGGACAATTGCTGGAAAATGACGTCTTGAGGATATTTTGTAATAGTCTGTAAGGTAAGCAAGCTTTTCATGCTTTACCGACACTAATTACGTAATAACCACTTGAAGTAAGTCAAAATCAATCAAAACTGATCTATTTTTTTTAAAGGGGAATCGGAAAAAGTCAAAATATGTTTAATTCTAGTACCTGATTTTGGATAATTTACTTCGATACTTTACAAGACCAAAACATGGAAAGATACCAAATCTGTATCAAAATATCAATTTAGTGGTTAGTATTTTTAGAATAACAAAGCAAAACAAGTGTCTGTCTGTACAAAATGATTCTCAAGAACAGTTTAGATTTGCGAAGCTGATTTTCAGTTCGAAACTGAGGAAAAGACTAATCAACGATGAGAACCTTGGATGTGAACCGACGGATGATTAATTTTTTATCACTTGCAAACGTTTTCATTAAGTCGTTTACCTTCTAATAAGTTGTGTTGGACTGATGGGAATTCGCTGTGACCTGTTCTCTAGAATGCGGCTGAGTAAAAATATTTTGTGCGAAAATTTATTGAATGACACTGAATAAATTTTGTCCAATTCTTCGTTAAATTTCCCGCAAGAAAAGAATGTTTACGTTCGAAACTATTAGCAAATCGGATGCAATGGTTTTGTCATGCAGTTATTTGAAAAAACAAGTTAAGATTTATTCTAAAGTTAATTCCTGACAACTCTCTCTATACTGTTTCCTTTTTTCATTTAAATGCCAGGTTATTGGAGATTTATTTTAAGTTGAATTTCTGACAGCTCTCTCTATACTGTTTCCTTGTTTCATTTCAATACTATCTAAAACCATCCAGACTTCGTCGCTCAATGTGTGTAAGTATGAACACCATCCTAAATAGCATGATTGAAATCGTCATCATAAGACTTATTCTTTTAATGCTGTGCACTTCGTAGCATAACGCACACTAATCTCAGGATCATTTGCTTTCTATCAAAAAATCCGATTTCGAATCTGATTTACAGCGCCATCTGGTGGTCCGTTTCTTTCATTTAATATTAACTTTTGGTTTAGTATCGGGAAGTTTGAACGATGGATTTTAAAGAAGTTAGTGTTTAAGAATATGGTAGCCTATGACACGCCCACGGGACAAGCTCAATTAAAACGTTTTTATTAGCACTTTCTTGGCATATGAAATTTGAATATGATTTCATTGAAGGTTCTAAACAAGTTAAATTATATAGAAGGATATTCATTGTGATTTTCTTTTCATCTCTACAGGGTCAATAGGAAGAAAGAAATTCATGATAAATATGGAAAAGTTTTCATGTTTAAAATGTGGAACAATTATGGTAGTATTAATTATACTCCTGCAGTTCCACTGGAAAACCGAAGCAGTGACGTCAGACAGGTATACCCTCTTTTTCCCCAAAATGAAATGATAACAATACTTATAAGATTAATCAAATAAATAACGTTGTTTTCATCAATTCGGATCTGTAACATTCAATATCGAACTTCACCGTATATGTGTCTTTTTCTACAGATCTTGTTGTTCTTTAGTTTAACATTATTATACGACCGTTGCGCTTGTGAAAGTACTCCGTAATCACTAAGTACTAATCAAATAATAATTGACTACAGAGTACAAAGTTTAAATATTAAATAGCTTAAACGATTATTCAAATTTTGGTTTCAGGCTCCCTGAGTATTGTTTCGATGGCAACGAAACATCATCGCACCTTCAGCCAATCAAAAACAGCTCATGGAAGACGACGTCAGCTGCAGAGCTGCTTTATTACATGTTCCAATGCTATGACTCAAGGGTGCGAGTTGAGAATATTAAAGGTACTACCTAAACTACACTTTCTTGTAGCTTAACCCTTTCACTGCCAGATTGTTTGATGGGGTTTTGCAAGGTGACTTTAACTTTTGATTCTATGAATGAAATCCTAATAATGTGACCATTCAAATGAAAGCTCTCTGCCTGTACTTTCACATGATGCCATTTATTTCTCAAAAGTTTAGAAAATGAAATGTGGAACTTTGGTCGAAATTTGCCTTTGGCCACATTTGGCAGTGAAAGGGTTATATATTATTGACATATTTTGGGCCTGCTTCAAAGTTTTATACATGTATATAGCAACTTTGCACTTGCGATTCAGCTTTTAACTGTAAAAATAGCACAGTGTATATTCGTTCATTTGACACAGTTTGGAAAAATTTGAAGTTGTTCGAGCTCGTTCTTTTGCTATCAGGTAGTTTGAAATATAACGTCATGAGTGTTTGGAGAAAAAGCCCTTTGAAGTAAAAACATGCTACTCTTTTGTACGAATACTGAGCGTTAGCATATTTAAAACCTCTTATTACCCCATATTCTAAAGTCTGAGTCTGTAGACTATCTGGGTAAAACTGACCTTTGTGTAAAAGCAAAAACGGCGGCCATTTTGAATAATTTTTGAATTAAATATTCTTTTTTCTTGGCTATGTAAACTGGGACAAATTTTTCTTAGCTGAAACTAATGCTAATGAACGAAAACAATAGATGTTGGTCATATAGTTCGCCACATTTTCTGTCATTCCTTGACAAAGTTGTAAAAATGTACATGTGAGGAGCGCCATATTCCATTTTATCTATATCATCTTGCAGAACTTATATAAGGCTACCTATTTTAAAAGTTTAATCTTTTCAAAATATTGCTCTCCACCAAAAAAGCTGGGGAGGGCTTTAAAAAAAAGCAGGGGCCCGGGGGATGATAGGAAAGTTCGCTCAATTGTTCACTACAATTTGTATTGTTATTTTCTTGTTGGAAACAGAAGAAAAACCCAAGCGGGGAATTGTAATCAGCCCCCCTAAGCTTTCACTTGTACTAAGGTGAATTCACAAGGGCTTTAATCCTGTTAACACGCGTCAATGTTGTGCTGTTGTAGATAGCAAACCCACAGATGTTATTGTCTCTCTGTACTTACTGTCCATCGGGAATTTCAAGGTGCGCCAGATGGTGAGTATATATGGGACGGATTTGATTATAGCGCCATGTTTTGAAGGTTAAGTATCACTTGCATAAAACCCCAGGGGGTGGACTCCGCGTATGAAAGGGGTGGGGATACTCGTCGTCTCGCTTAGGGGTGTAAATTTCGTTTTATTTTCTCCATTCACAAAATCCAAGTTTTCTCCTTTGTCTGTATTTTAACATGGTCTCTTTTGGGGGTTAAAAATAGCTTGGGCCACGCCCAGATCGGTCACCTTTAGGGGTTTAATTCAAAATTTCCGTCGAGCATCCTCACCCCTCTCATATGCGGAGTCCCCCCCCCCCCCCGGGCGGAAAACGGGGGGGCAAAGGGGCCCCCTGGGGAAACCGGTCTTTATTCGTGGGGTAAACCCGTTTAAAAAACCAAAACTCTCCTACATTCCCACAAAAAAGAAGGCTTTTTATAAATACGCAAAAACACAAAAAAATAGAAAAAGGGGGGCCCCCCCCCCCCCCGGGCATAAAACGATCCATGCTCTTGCAACATCACGAAAAGTCAGAATGAGCTCCTTGAACGCTGATGGTGCTGGCATCACACAATCCAATTTAATTTTGTTCAATTCCAAGTGGAAAGCGTTTGAAAACATTCTTTAATAATTTTTTCCTAGGATTTTCAGTTGTCATTCTACTACAGGGAGGTCTGGCGAGACCCTAGATTAGCGTACGGCAATCATTTTCCCAAGGATGAAATCGAACTTGGTGGGGAAATCCGTCAAAACATATGGGTCCCTAACACGTATTTCGTCAACAAGAAGGGATCGGCATCACCTGCAGATGCCCAGTATTTTGTGAGAATTTCCCGGAATGGAACATTGAGAACAACTACCAAGTAAGTTCAACAAAAGCGAGGGAATGGTGAGACTCATTGTGGGCGAGAAGGACTGGGACTATATTAGCCCCTTTTTTTTGGATAGACTAGTCACGTGACAGAACACGGAAGTTTTGTTACGACTGCTTCCCGCTTTTGGCTTCACCTTTCCCTTACATACCCAATCCTTTGTTTTGTTTTTGTTTGTTTTAATTTTTTTACCTTGTCTGTAAAGACCAATAAAGGCGCGAATTCTTAAACGTTATTCACTTTATTCTGTTCTTAGAAATACGATTACTATGGACTGCTACATGGACTTACGGAACTTTCCATTTGACGTCCAGAAGTGTAACTTGAACATAGAAAGCTGTAAGTTTGAGAGTTTTGACTACGCTTTCAAATAAATGATGAAGGTAGTGATTTTTTTAAGATTAATAACAAACCTTTCGCCACATTTTGAAAACAAACAACAACGGTGTTTTCGGGTCCTTTGTTCGTAGATAATGATCAATAAATGCGTGTGTACAATTCAGAAAATTTATAACATTGTGTCATTTATTTTTGGGTTAGTTGGTTTTGCTGCTGACAAAGTTGTTTACAAGTGGATATCTCAGGATAGCAGCGAGGCAGTCGAAAAAGACCCCGGAATGATGATTTCAGAGTTTGATCTTGGGTCAATTCGAACATTTGAAACCACCTCGTACTACAAATTAGGTATGATGGCGTATGATGACTATGATGGAATGGTGATTGGTCAGTTCTTTTGTAATTGCGCCACCTTAGAAACGGGATGGAGACTGGGGCGCAGTTAACTTTCGCAAAGACTTCTGGGACTGTTACAACGGACAGGAAAAAAAATTGGCCAACAGCTGACAGGCGTGTCTCCAGTAACAATTCCAGAAACAGCTGCGGGACGCATTTCTGCCCATGTTCCCTTTTTTGTTTCTAAAGTGACGAATAGTGAGCTTGGTCAAAAAAGTCCACAGCTTGCTATGGTTTTGAATTGCTGCGTTTTGTGATTGGCTGTAATATCTCTCGCCACTTTGTCAAACCACTCGTGACTTGTTTGCCAACATTTTCCTTTGGCTTCAAGGGCTTGTTGGCTCAATTTGCCGGATTATCTTTAGTGTGATGTGGTTGTTGATCCGAGCGAGTAATTTCGGCCAGCCTAGGCCACTCAGTTAAAACAGCATTATTTGAGTATATCAATAAATGTTTACAGATTAATTTTGATATGCTGAAATGAATGGTTACATTTTTTTTTACCGTAACTGGTACTGATGTTTAGAAAAATCAAACAGAAACACATGATCTCGTATTCTCCTTCTTGAGTTCCAGGAACCAACTTGGCTCGGCATGCCTAAATTTTCAAGAGTTCTAAAACTTAGTTAACTAATGATTTGAAAGCATAACCAATTTCAGCCATTTCCTCGAGTTGGACACAAGACACTCGAGAATGAACGACCTCAGAGGAGGGCTGAAGTTCAGGATAATTCTAACAATATCGCAGCTAATTCTAACGGTGATGTTAAACCTTTTTAGGGCCATTTTCCAACTTGCGCATGGAGCTGACCTTCTTCAGAAAATCTGTTTATTACTTGATACAAATCTACATTCCAAGTGGCATGATAGTAGCACTTTCTTGGGTAGGTGATAGGCGAGATCTTATCCTAATAGTATCATGGTCAGTATATTAGGGACTTTGAGATGCCACGACTATGACGACAACGAGAACGTCAAAAAAGCAGTAGGTTGAATAGGCAAAACAACAACTTTGCACGTGCATCGTGCTTTTTTGTACATTTCTTTGCTGGCACTGAACCACTACGACGGGAAAATAACTAATTTCACCTTTTATGGAGGACGTAAACAAGCGACGGCTAAATTTCTTTTTCTTTCTGAACTTGAATATGGTTCTTAGGAATTCGGCTGAAAAAGAGTCCGCTTGAATTTGACAATGTAAATGAGTTGGAGTAATCGCGATAGAGATTGAAAGGACGCAAATTCACTTTTTAAGCGACGTTTACTGCCTAATATCATCTTTAGAAGAAGACGTAGTTATATAGGTCATTTCTGGAACCAGGTAATGGCCTATTGCTGTTTTTCAGCAGACGTCACGGCGGCCATGTTGGTTTACAAAAACAAAAGAGTCTCTCCGCTGGGAACTAAACTCTTCTGCGAAGAAAAATTACATTGTTTCGTCAACCAACCTGGCTGCGCCGCACACCTTGAAGAGTAACGTGGTTGCAAACCAAGAATTAATCACCACAAACTAGTTTTGATATTTCTAAGTAGAAAAAAACAAAATTTAATCTTTCCTTTGAGCATGGAACTAAGCAGATAATCGAGGGACAAAAATACTATAATTTATTCTTCTCTGCTTCCAAACAATGTGCGTCGACCATCGCACTTAAAAAAATTTGATCATTTTGGTAAAATGGAAACTTTTTACTGGAGTGGAAGGGGGAAAGGAGAGATTATGTTCTGAAGTAGTTTCATTTAAATTTTTACGCAACGAGATTCAGATTCAAATTCAGTAACTGTCCATAAATAAACGTTATTAAGATTTCATTATGAAGATCGGATGTCAAGTTGAGGCATCAAACTGACGAGAATTTTCAACTGTAAATTTTAACCTTTGCCAGCAATTGAAGAGAAGGGATTAATTAAAGGTAATTTTCCTTACTAGGTTTCATTCTGGATCGATAACCAATCAATTCCCGCCAGAACGGCGCTTGGCATCACCACAGTACTCGCCATGACAACGCTGTTATTTGGAATCCAGTCCTCTCTCCCAAGTGTACCTTACATCAAGGCTGTGGATTTATTTATGATCGTATCTTTTGCCAGTGTTTTCGCCGCCCTGATTGAGTTTGCGGTTGTCAATTATACGAGCATGAGCGAAAAGGAAAAAAGAAAGATCCGACCAGCCAAAAATACGTACCATGTTGTAAGTACGACTGTTTATTTAATGCAGAGACAGTAATGTGAAAATTGGTTAGATATGAAGAGCTGTGCATGAAAAGCCAAAATACTTATTTACATTTACGTTTTGTTTATTCCCCGAAGGGAGACAAGTTGACATTTTAATATATTCAATTTTATTATGTCGAAACTGTTTTTCTCGCACCGGCTGTAGTAGATAACTTATATTTTTCTTTTAACAGAATCCCGACATCCTTATGCTAAATTTCCGCAACAGGTCGTTCGAAAGTGACGATGAAAACAAATATAATCTTCAAAATGGCTCCGTACACACAGAAAGCACCAGTGCCAATAGTTCATTACACAGATCGAATCGCACGCCAGTCACGAATGGAACGGCCAGTGCTGAATACCATCCACATGATCAAACTGTGATATCACGTGATTATCCACATGTTCAGGAAACTTATAGCGATCGTCCAAGGTGCCGCTGGCAATGCAAGGTTACCGCCAATGCCATTGACGCTTGGTCACGGGTATTGTTTCCACTCTCTTACGGCCTCTTTATTGTTGCGTACTGGATTATCTACTCATCGAGTTCTCAAGCAGAAAAGAACTAATACAAAAAAGTTTGTTACTAGCAATGATGGTTATGATAATGAAGATGATGATGACGATAATTATGATGATGTGGTGATGATGGCTATGATGGTGATAATGATAATAATTATAACGATAATGCCTATGAGGAAGATGATGATGATGATGGTGATGATGGTACGATGGTGTTGGTGGTGAAAGTGATAATGTGATAGTGATGGTGGTAAGTGTGATGATGGTGGTGGTTGTGGTGATGGTTTTGATGGTGATGGTGGTGGTGTTGATTGTTGTGGTTGTGGTGGTTGTGGTGATGGTAGTGGTGGTGATAGTGGAAGTGGTAATTGTGATGATGATGATGATGATGATGATGATGATGATGATAGGGGCGGTGATGATGGTGATGGTGATGGAGCTGGTAGTGGTGATAGTTATGTTGCTAATTGTGATGAGGATGGTGGTAATGATGGGTTGACTGATGGGGACGAAGGTAACCGTGACAGTGGTGGTGATGAGGGATCATCATGATAATAACATCATTCCTTGTCGCGAGAGCTTTTTTGGTTTCATGTTTTTGGTCTACATTTGAAAAGAGTAGCTTCAGGTTGGGCAAAGTTATAAAGAATTCAAAATTTGACCATGACGGTGAAATATTGGTTGTTGGTGGGTTATAATTAATCCACAAATAAATTCGAAAAGAAAAGCAAGAGTCCGGTAGTTATGGTGGCCAGGAGCCCATATCGACTCCTGTAGTGGCAAATCTTGTACAGAAACCTGTTAGAAGGTAGTATATTACTCCCTTTAATACAGAACAGTATTCGATTACGCGTTCTGCCTCATTCCCTAGAAACCTGGTAGCACAAGCACCTGAACACCTCGTCAGCTATAACTGTAATGCTGATTAACTGCACCTATGAGTATCAAAACAGGTCCCACAACACTCACTACAATTCATTGAAAAGAAACGTTGGAGATATCAGAAGTTACGCTGATGTCCCGTCCTAGGCTCAAGATAAAAGAGAGATCATTCTCAGCCTTTCACCTTCTGAGCATTTCTAAAGTGTATTTAATGCAAATCAGTTTATCTTTTCTTTTCATGTTCAATGTGTAGATTTCCAGTAGTATCCATATTTAGTGGGTTGTACAGATTCAAAATAAAGTTCCTTAAATAAGGTGTACAGAAACGACGATAACAGTATGATTCAATTATTGTTGATTTTTAATTTAGAAAATCTTTTTAACTTAAGTATGTAAGTTATTTATGTCTCGCTGGTGTGTAAAGCCAAGTGGTATTTGATACCTTTATACCTTTTTTCACAGTAATTATTTACGAGCTTGCTAGTTTTGAATCTTAGAAAGGATTATGGCACAGATCTGTACCTCTCTTCGGTCAATCTTCACAATTTTTGTGTTTTTATGTGTTAAGTAAGTGGCAAGTACCGGTAAATTTGTTGCGGTTTCGTGTTAAAAACTTAATGAGGTCGAAATAGGTTTACAATGATTTAAATCCATGCTAAACACGAGATAAACTCGTGTTAGGCTTGATTTTCCTTGGTTGCCCTACAAGGGGCCGCGAACGACCTGGGAGACTTGAGAACCAGGCTAGAAGTTATTATCAAGGATTTACATATGCAAAGGCACCGCTGTAGTTCACTGTTTTGTTATTTATTCTTTGTAGAGCACTGAAGGCGCCACTGTGTCGATAATCCATTTTGAGCACTTTATGAAAATGTTCTCTCGCTTCCCTCAGTGAGCCTTTGATCTCTAGAATCCTTCCTAAAATGAAGTCACCGTCTGTACTGTTTGCATCATATCTGAGAGCTAATCGTACTTCTGTTTCAGCAGAGTCAAAGTTACCCTGTAAGAAAGAAAATCAAACATCAAGATACACAAAAACAAAACGTAGTTCTCCGAAGCGGCCTTCAAGACTTACTTTCCCATAAAATGACTATACTGCTACTACTTCTTGACGAATTGCAGTGAATTGTATTAGAATGAAAAAGTGTGTGGAATGTAACGCGCCTACTGGTCAACGGAAAAGATTCCCGCGCCTCTGATTCGTCCCTAGTTTTCCTCTCACGTCAAGTGCGTGAAAAAACTGGGAAAGGTTAAGAAGTATTCCGATTGATATTTGGAGAACTAATAACGTAAACCGCAAGCGTGTGCATATGTTAATTTTGTACATAAAATGCATCTATAACACACGTGCGCTTTGAAAATGGCCATGGGCAGAGTGTTCTCTATTACGACGAAAGATGAATCATGTTTCTATGCTGCGTAGCGATAAGGTTAGCTATTGAAACCTACGCTAGCTACGTCGACCGCTAGCTCATATAGTCCAAAATTGGTGGTGGACAAAACACCGACCCCCAAGTCCATGGACTAGCCCCATGGACTACCCTAAAATGGGCAACCCCGCTGAGGTTTTGAGATGAGGGTTAAGAAACTGAGTGAATCAAGTTACAGGTCAGTTTTTCTAGTACAATAAGCAGAAACTAAATGGAACCTGATTTACTCAGTTTCCTAACCGTAATAAATGAACTTCAGCAGCGTAGTCCATTTTAGGGTTGTCCATATTGGTAGTCTATGAGGGTAGCCCATGGACTGGGGTTTTTCCACCACCTCCGGAATTTGCATTTCTAGTTAACGAGAAGTACAAAAACCGTTAGTTTATCACCTTTATTAGGTAAAGTTGAACCAGTAAAAGGCGGCTGTATGTATCTGGAGGCTTTAAAAGCAATCCTTTTCGTAAGAATCCTTCCGCCTAAAAGGCAAACAATAACAAAGGGGATCTTAGTCAACAAACGCTGTTTGACATCATTATGTAAAAACATCTTTAACGGATGCAAACATTTAAAACCGCTGTATCACTAGAAAATAAACTTCTTCGTCATGTGACGATTAAAAGCCAGTAAATCAAAGTGAAACCAACAGATCTAACCTTTTTGAACGCTTTTTTGGTGTTAGTTTTAGCTTTGGATTTCAGAAGTGGAATAGCATACATCCTTCCAAGTTGGCGAAAAGGACTCGGATCGGTTGGAGTCAGTTTTGCAGTCTTCAAGTACTTCTCTTCCGCTTTCTATAAAGAGGAAAGTTTTTAAAAAAAAAATTGATCAATTCAGGTTTCTGGTTAACAGACCGCCTACCCCTCCCTTAAGTCAGCATTAACAATCACTTCTCGCTTAGGAGAAAATTGTGACTTAGGAGAGGGGTAGGTGGGAGTTACACAGAAATCTCAACTGCCCCAATGGTCTCATTTTAAAGAATTAACCTGCCCACAGCTAATATATGAGAAAATGATACATTTTGCTATATTAACGTTTCCAACTAAGTTTCACAAAAACTAGCCTGCCGCGGAACGGCAGACGTTTCTCCTTGCTCATCGCCGCTGAGGGACGTTTTGTAAGGAGGAACGTCCCTCAGCGAAGATGAGAGAGGAGAAACGTCTGCCGTTCGCAGGCCAAACAAAAAGAAAATTTCTCTAATTAAAGGACACAAAAATAATGGAATAAACAATCAGTAGACAGTGGTAAGTAGCTTAGCGTTTTTATCTGAGCAGAGCTACGATACGGTAAACTGAACACATATTCGAGCTCTATCCGCCTTGTCTTCGGCTCTACGTCGGAGATTTTCTGTAATCTCTGATAATGATATTATTTTAACTGAAAAAAGGACACGATACCTTGCGATTTCCAAGCTTTTCCAGGACGACACCATGGAAGTAGTTAAGCTGTGGATGATTGGGTCTAAGGGTTAATGCCTTTTGGTACTGGCTATCCGCCTCGCGAAAACGCTCAGTCACTCGTAACAAATGTGCCAGGTTAATATTTCCATCGGCACTGTTAGGTTTAATTGATAGCGATTTTAAATAGCACTTTTCCGCTTCCTCGGGTCTGCCTGGAGGAAAGCAAAAGAATAAACATCAAGAATTAGCGTTTACTAAGGGATAGGGAAACACATTTTGAAGAGAAAGGTGAACCTGGTGACCCTGTGGTATTCGTACCTGAATTGAGAAGAACAAGTCCAAGATTTTCCCAAGCTGTGACGTAATGTGGTCTTAGTCGCAATGCTTCACGGTAATGACTTTCACAAGACAAGAGCCCCTGATAAGAAAAAAGGAATCGTCTCAACATATATCCTTGATTTGAGCAATTTACAAGAGGAGAGGCACTAACTAACATGATTTAATACCATGATAAAGAAAGGTGTACCAATGCAGGTGAGCACTACGATACGATCGACAACTTGATTAACCTATAATTTTGTGTCTGCAAACGGAATTTTTCACATATAAAATTAGCCTGTGTACAGACTCCCCTCCCCTCAGGAAAAATCGGAATTTTCCTGTACTCAGGCTAATATAAAATTGGAAGTTGAAAATTTGGAAAAGCAACTTATAAGGTGAATCTTACTGTCAATTATTGAGCCTTCCTTATAGTTTGTAAAGGACATTATTGGGCCGGGCGAAATAGATAATACGTTTAAAAACATCTGCAGTCGAATAGGGGTATGGCTTCATAAGAGAACTGAACAGGGATCAACTAGACTCGGTGCTTACGTGCCCGCTTAGTCTTTTTATCCTCCGCAGTCTGCCTACTTGGGGGGAGTGTAATTTACCCATCTTTTTATTAATACACACCTTATTTGCCAGAAAATTTCCTAATGTGACGTGGATCTTAGCGTTCGTAGGATTAACCTTTAGTCCAGATCTCGCCAATCTTTCTTTTGTCTGCCATTCAGAATTTCGGTGAACTGTCTTTAAAACAAACATCAACAGAAGACTGTAGACGATGATCCAGCCTGCCATGTTCAAACTCAAATTCCAGTTTGCTGATCCCTCTTTTGTGATTCTTTGATCGTTGTTGGTTGTATCCTGAATAACCCATGAAAAATGTAATCAGCATTGGCCTTTTGAATGAGGAGTTTGGTTTAAAGAAGGAAAAACAGGAAAGGAACAAGATTTCCTAAATTGGCTGTCCCTTCTCCAAATGAAAGGCTTCCAAGATATCGGCAAAGTCGTTTTCTCTTTGTGCTACTTAAAGACGCTGGACTTAAATGCAGCTGTTATAAGTCAAAACCGCGGGCTACATGGGTAACCTTTTTGAAATCTGGTAGAACATATCAGAGTATCTTTGTGAAATACTGGAGTTAAAAACTTTTACAGATCTGTTGAAAAATGGAAATATGTATGGCACGAGCTGGTGGCCAGTTTAAAAAGCTGTTAAGCCAGATGTAAGAGTCTAGTTTGAAATGCCCTGGTCACCGATTGCAGTTCTATAAGTACAAGCGTATAAGTAGTATATGGGTATACCATGGCCCGAGCCAATCAAAGAACATTGGAATAAGTTAATTGCTGCCTTTTGGTATATACCTCATTAAATATATCCCCATAGCCGGAATAATGCTTCTGAAAATATTTGTCACCGATTGCACTTCTGTAAGTACAAGCATATGAGTTGTGTGAAGGGATACTATGGCCCGAGCCCTGCAATCAACGAACAGCACTGTGAACTACGTATCTGCAATGGACCAATCAGAGCTGGTTCTCTTAAGGTTCTTACCTCATGTTCTGCCGGGATTGATAGTTCCTTCCTACTCGGAATCTTTGTCGCGCGGAACGAAACTAAGATTCCGAGTGAAACCAAGATACAGAATCCCATGCTTGGAATGTAAAGAATGCGCTCGGCGATGACAAAACCAACAGGAAAGAAGAGGTTTGTAGCTGGTATGAATGGAATGATTATCATACTTAACGCCAAAAGTACAATGCGTTTCCTTTGAGAACCATCCAAATTTACCTGGAGGAATTTCAAAAGTAAATCACAGGGTTCTTTTGGGCAATACAAACTCCATTTTGATTCCAAATTGAAGTCAGTGAGCATTAAATGAGATCGTCAGCTCGGAAATTAATCGGCAAGGAAGATAGAGAGAGGGTGTGCACCTGACAGAAAATTACGCCTTTGAGGGGTAGGGGTGAGGCTTTGCTTGTTACCTTCTGAATGAAATCCTGTTACATTTTCTGGCCTAAACCGTACGTGATTTTCTTTAGGATAGTTCCAGCAATCTTTTCAGTTAGAAATACACAGTTGAAATACAGCCGAAAAACATCCAAACGAAAGACGCCACATTTATGACGTTAAATCAGTTATTCTCACCTTTTTGTCTCGAAGTTGGTTTGTTTCCTTTGCCTTGTGGTTTTTGTAAATAGTATTTTCATTCGAATCTAATGCAAGTGATTTCGAACAGTCCTGGTTGGATATCGCAGATACTGAGATTGGCTCGTTCGAGGGCTTAAAACCTGTAAGAAAGAAAAATATTTATCAGAACGACAGTTACAATGGTCACTGGAAAACCGAAATCGCTTTTCGAAAAGAAACCTTACCGTAAAAACACAGCCAGCCTAAGATTAAAGCGAAGGCAAGCGTTTCAACATTGCGCATGTCCCACCATGATTCTATCCGGGGTATGCTGTCCATTGACCAATCATAGCACAGAGTATTTGGACACAGAAGAAGACGGGCATTTAGTGCGCATAAGTAAGAATATGTTCTAAAGCGAGTCCAGAAATCAGGATGAAATAATGTTGGATTGTCAGACTCAGTAAATGACACCACAAGTCCTCCAGAAATAGCAACTATTCTCAAATAAAGGAGGACGACACCAGCAATAGAAAGGATGGAGGCTCTTTCGAACAAGCGAACAAGCCACCTCGGTCGTGATCTGAAATGTAAAAGACAGATTTAATCAGCCCAAGTATAGCACTCATACTATATAACTCGTATTTAGAAGCACTATTTGCAAAATTAATCACCTTACTGCAGGAAAATACTGCTTTCATACCGCAGTGGAATTAGCGCTAGCTCCGGTTGGCAGAGCGTTTGACTGCAGAACGGGAGGTGAGAAATGAGGGTACATCCTTTATCCTGCCAAGGGCTAGACTTTTGAGTGGCTTAGTTGACCACGTCATAAAATAGTGGTCCGGTCTCCAGTAGGAGACCTACTGTCTTCAATTAATACTTTCGTGCTTTATTTATTGACACTCAAGTTAAGTACTTTTTTTACATGAGTAGCTCAGTTACACAGACCCATACGATGGTCACATCCGCCTGCTAAAAACGTTCTATTCACAATACCCTAACAGTAACAGTAATAGTAACTTTTCAGCGATTACGTAGGGGGTGGTCGGCCAGTCTCTCGAGTTTATAGGGTAGCATGAAAAAACGCCCTAGGCTCTCTGTAATGAGGTCACAATACTCTGACAGTAACAGTAATAGTAACTTTTCAGCGATTACACGGGGGATGGTCGGCCAGTCTCTCGAGTTTATAGGGTATCATGAAAAAACGCCCGAGGTATTCTGGAATTCGAAGGGTTACTAAGCCTGTCTTACCTCAACACGGCCAAGACGGAGAAGTTGCCTTTGAAGAAATTCTGTCCATTAAACTTGCGGTCGAATAAAACATCGTATACAACACAGATTCCAAAGGCAGTTATACCCTGTTCTTTACTGAAAAGAGCCAAGATACACCAAAATATACTCAATAACAGCCAAAGCTTTGAGTACCTCCCTTGTCTTTTATTTCCCTCGGATGTACTTGCGTCAGAGAAGCAGTTTATGTACGATAAAATTGTTAATAAGTAAAATAATCCACAGAGGAGATCGGCTCGGCCCACGACGTTTGAAACCGCCTCGGTGTGAATCGGGTGGAAGGCGAAAAGTAAGCCACATAAAACTGACAACGAACGAGTCTGCGCACAAACGTGACAATTAAATATTCTCGTACAAATGTGAAAAAATAATACAGAGACTGTTGAGTGAAGGAGGACATTGATGATATGGTATCCAATGGGATTCAGGCCCCCAAAGAGATAGTTCCAACGGAAAGTAAGGATCGTGATCGGTCGGTAAGACTGGTGCGAGTCGTTGTGTTTTAATGGAATGCCCCAAAAGTCGTTTGTGAACAAGTTGGAGAAAGGAGTTGAAGGTCTGTAAAAAAAGCGGAGATACTGTTAATATTTTCCCAAACTTTTCACTTTTTTTATTTCACACTTTGTAGCTGTAATTGTTTTGGATTCAGATTTCAGATTTTTTTGGTTTTGCACTATTACCAGATGCTACACTGGTTTTTTATAAGAATGTTGTTTTCCCGCCAAGGCTGAATATTTTAATTTTTCTGTCGTTTTCAGTCTGAAAATATTCTTGTATCATTCTTAAAAAAGAAATAATTTTTCACGATTCTCCATACCGTTATATATATATTACGCTTAAAGTTCATCGAACTGTCGTTAACATAAATATTTGTCAATAAGTTCGATTAAAAACATAGTATAATTGTGCAATGGTATTTACCGATTTTCAATACACGAAACTATAGCCTCCTTTTTTAATCTCAGCCTTGGGTTTATTCTTAAAATATTCTTGAAATTGCGAAAATTTCAGCCTCGATTTTCTTATAAAATATATTCTTATAAAGAAAAAAGAGTGTACCATATACATTTGCAAGAATTTACAATTTATTACAAGAGAAAAAAAGAGGAACAACAAAGTAGATACGTAAATGGTGAAAGGCAATATGGTCGTTTATTTGCCAGTGTATATTAGAATTCGACACATGAAAAAAACAGTCTCACTATAACCCGCTTAGATTTAGCTATTGCTTTGAGTTAAGCTCCTAATCATTTCACGGACTGCCAGATTAAAGTCGAAATCTTTTTGTAACTCTTTTGTTTTTCGAAGCGTTGGTGAATATAGGTCAGTAACCAGATGTTCAGAAGTTTTAAATTACAGTGAATCTTACATTTTCGTGAAATGGCAGAAACGCGGGGAGTGGAGATATAAAGATATCTGTGTTGCTGTGAGTTTCTTATCGTTCCTTTTGCTGGATTTGTTAAAGGTTTTAAACGCTTTGTCTTCTGTTTTTCTTTTTGCGTTCTCCGGGTTTATTTGCTCACATTAAATTACCTTTTTGTTTAGGGCCAATCATCGTGTACAAAGCTAATTGCGTGATCTGTTTGTTGGCGCCTGGTTTGATGCGCAGAGAGATGACTCTAACTGTGAACCAACAGTCAGAGCAGAACGGATTGAACGATCACTGATATCGTTCGTACCCAACTGTAGAATAACAATGTCAGGCGAAAATTTTCGGACTATCTCCAAATCGTAGCGTATGACTTTGGCCACAGTTCGTCCCCCTACTCCATGCCAGCGCAGGTTCATAGGGGTGGGGATGTCAAAATCCTCCCGTAAAGCGTTTGTAGGCAGCCGTACCAACTCATGCAAACGCCTGATGAAGGAGTGCCCCAAAATCAAAACCCGAGGTTCAGCCATAACTACACATCGCGAGAGAAAACTACACGTAAGCGCTACGCAGGCTACGAAGAAATAACAAAGTAGCGTACTTGCCTTAGCACGGTGCGTAGAAATTGAGTCAAAGACTGACGATGTTCCTGCGTTGCTATCTGAACCAACAATGAATCACAAAGCATTGATTGCATGATTTGAGCCTGCAAGGAATTCTAACTATTTCCCTATCTCCATCCCAGATGCAGATAAGACAAACAACCAGGAAATTAGCCCTTCACAAAAATGTCATTAAGCCATTAGCTTAATGGGTGTTTTTTAAAGATCTCAAGTGGCGTGCTTAAATTCGTCTATTTTTAACTTCCTTTAATAAAGAAAAGTTTATCTTTCGCAAATGGTAAATGTTTTCTGAACAAACGTAAATAAACTAAAACAAATAAGGACTTATATCACAAGCTTTGGACATAGACTTCCTTGTAAATGTAAATTTGAAAAAAGTAACTTACCGGTTGCATTCAGTTATTTTTGTTAATGAAACCGACTGACTGTAAAAAGCATGAAAAGAGTTTTAAGACAATTGTCTTGCAACTCTGAGCTCAACAGATCAATACGGCGGTTTGCTGACACTTTTAATAGTGCATTGAAAATTGCTTTATATCGGGTAGCATAACGCACAATAGCTCGGATAGCCAAAAAAGCCGCTTCGATTGGCCCCGACATTTAATAAACGAAGCATTATTTTATTTTCCTTTTTGACTTGGGCAAATTTGCATTTTGTTTGAAAATCAATTTTGCATGAGGTATTAAAGTTGTTGTCGATACCACAATAGCGATAAACTTTTATATATCTATTTTAGCTAAAAATAAATATCCGTGTTTCTCGATTTTTTTATCCACTTGAAAATAAAAAAACTGGATATATTAACCAAATTTCTATTCCTTTACGCTCTAGGTTGCATTCTTGTGTCCAAATTTTATTAAATGATTAAACGACCGGGTCCATCAGACACGTCAAAAACAATTATGTTAAGAAAACTGCTGTCATCTTGGGTTAACAAAAGTACGATATAACCGTCTTTAATTTTTCGCCTTTAAGTTAACGAGGTAAAAATAATAAATTTATAGGCAAACACACTCTGCGCCAAAAAGGTGAAATAAACACCTGAGACGGTTTTCTGTCAAAATTCACAATAATTGAACCTGTAGCATAAAAAGTTATTGTGGCATGTGTCATCAGTGAAATTACACCTTTATTAAAATGCGAGTCTAAAATGCGACGAAAACCTCCCCGTCTGGTTAGATTCGTTTTGTATTTGAAAAACTTAATACTTACATCTATTTGGCTGACTTCAATTTTATCCCCATCGAAAAAGTCCGAAATTTTGCTGCTTGTGGTAACCGCAATGTTGTAAACAAAAAGAGCTTAAAATTACAGACCCGATTCGGTTGGCTTACCTTACATCTGCGTTGGTCTCTATAACTTCATAGTCATCATAAACGAACTCGCCGAACAACGAATTCAAATAGCAAAGGATGGCTGAAATTCCTACAATTAAGTAAGGGTTGAAATTACGAGAATGCTTTGGTGGGTTTGGATCTTGTTTTCCATATTTTTTGTTTGCAAAGCCAAAGCGCGCCATACACCCGGCTTTGCCTCAAAACAACACCTGGTTACTCGACTCGCGCATAATTTGTACTGTGGGTGGGGAGGGTGAGAAGGAAGAAGCTTAAGTGACGGATCACTTTTATTTGAGAAGATATTAATAATTTTTTTACTAAAAGATAATTTTAAAAAACTTGAAAAAAATTCGCTTATCATTCACTCAACACTTGTTGTCTTTGAAAGGAAATAAACTCGCCGTTAATAAATTTTGAACTACCTTCTTACATTTCCTGGCTAGTAAACTTGAACAACAGTCTGTTCTTCAAGCATGCTGATTTTCTTATTTTTCTCTTATCTAGCAGTTATTGGCCACTTTTGAACTTAAAGAGCTTATAAAAATAACAATGATTATTGTCCGGCATGTGTTGGTCGTTTGTGGCTGGATAACAAATGACAACTTGTCCTTTAACCTTTATATAGCTTCATTAATTGTAGCAGACCACGATTGACCTTCCACAATCTTTGATGAAAATTCAGCAATCTCCCACCAAAGGAAATAAAAATCATATTCACACTAAGTTTGAGGAAAAATATCTTCTTTGAGGTAATTTCTTCTGATTTCCAAAGATTGGTTAAAGAGTTCCATATCCATTCCATCAATGCAGGTAGCTATCCTTGCTTGTAAAGTCAGATTTTTATCAACACTAATTTCGCCAATGAACTGATACATAGAACCTCTGTTGAAAGCCATTGGTTCCACAAGTGAAGTGTCAATAATAATTTCACAGCCATCTTCGCAAACTTTCAGTCGACTATTTGTTATGTCATGAGCCATTGCTCTAGAGGAAATTAAAATTAAAAAAACACATTATAACCACAAAGCCATCAGTTTGATGGTTGTAGAAAAACTAATGATGGTGCCAGGGACCGCGCAGCAAGTTTTGGAGTGGGGGGGCTAAAGAAGAATGCGTGAAGGAAAATTTTTTTTTTTGTGGGGTCGGGGGGGGGGGGGGGGGGGGGG